TTAAATTCCTACTGTTCTGCTCCATCTGGACTAACGAAGACAAACATAATTGAATTACAACTGTCAGGGGTTCTTTCATGAGCACACCACAGTACATGTACATCAGTTTTCCATACCATCCGAACAACTTGGTGCAAATCCAAACATTTCTGAGGAAATGAGAGTGGAAATCTTTATACTGGATGGGTGAAGGACTGTTTTCTAATCAAAGGAATTCTAAAGGCATAATTACAAGGATAATAAGGGAGATTCAATCTACAACTATACTCCCTTTATTGCATTACATGTATTACAGGATATCTACATGTAGCCTACACACCATAAGATTATCAAATGGGATACATGTCACAGTACATTTTCACATGAAAAGATCATTCATAACCTATTTTTTTGTTTAATCAAAACTTGAAGTATTTCTTTAATTACGAAGCAGTTAGATGTAGCTTTTTATTCATCGAGTGGTTTACTAATTTACAAGGGTTGAGTTATAACACACTTATGATGAGAGTCAAACAAACCAAATGTTCACAATTATATGTATTTACATGCAAGTAGGCTACACACACACACCCGCCATCTTTTTTTTGTCAGTGCACTGGAGGTCAAATTCTATTCTAAAGAATGTAGGCCATATCATATCATCTATCTAATTATTTTCTTTTTAACCAAAATGTTGTGTGTTGGTGCACTAAAACTAATACAAAATAGACATAGCCTACTGACTCCTTGAAATTATTCTGTGATTGAATAAACAGGATTCCAATAGATTATAAGAGTTGTGTTCATTATAAATTGTGCCTGTCATGGCTCAAAATTGAACTTCTTCAAAATCAAGTCAATAAACCAGGACGGAGGGTCTGGCAAAGGACAAAGGTTAGTCTTTTGGATGGGACAAAGAAACAAGGTCCTGTGTGTACACACAGGCCTGCACCTAAAAGAAGCCTTGAAAGTAGGAATTTGATATACATGTAAAAGTAGGCAGTAGTGCTGCTGTTCAGGCAAAATTACCCCTGTATGGCATATGCCCGTCTTCATTAACCCATTTCATTTTATTTCTCGAATTTAATTTGTAAACTATGACCAATTCACACTACTTGATGTTATTGAAATAAGATGCAATTGAAGTAAATTTGACAAACTATATTTCTTTTCTAGATACCTTGTGCTCATCACATACATGTAAACATACGTGTAAACATTGGTGATTGATTGTTCAATCTAAGGGGTACATGTATAAATCTCCCTTATCAATTATCTAGCAAAATTGAAAGTTTTCAATTGTATGGGTGATAGAGTTTACGTGTACATTATAAAGTAACACATGCATCTGAAGCACCATCTTGTAATACATGTATATACTAATGTCCAAAAGAAAGTATACACTGTGCATTTCGTGCTGCATCAACCAAAGTCGTTTTCCATCGTATGCCGCATTTGGGTACAATGTCAATTTGTTTTGCTTTTTTATTTTGCTTAGAAATGTTGAGTTTTGACGCAAGAGACAAACTCAGTAATGTTTTATCAAATGTTTTTAATCTAAATAAAACTTAGTCAATTTTTTATTGTGTATACTTTCTTTTGGACATAAGTATACATACATTACATGTATGTACATGTATAAGCGATGTTCAGCTGTATAAAATAATGTTCAGGTAAATGTTAATACATTTTGTTGAAAATAATTTATTTGATTTTATACTTTGTGCCTTGTATGATATTTTTTAAAATTAATGAAGTTGTTAAATTATTGATTTCAGATGATAATGTACACATAAAAATATAAATATAAAAATAAATCAGACATAAATAGAAATGGTGAAATCTATGAAAAGCTTTGTTTGTTTTGTCTGGTTTTCTATAAACAATAAATCTTTCCAGTATTAGACTTGTCATAAATAATTAACAGTCCTGAACAATAAAAAGGTATTGAATATTATTTCCTAGGTGAGGGAATACAAATGCAACCCACAAATATTTACCTTAAATTAAGGATTTTTAGCTCAAAGACCAGTAGCCAGTGTCCAACCAATGTATCTTTTCAAAAGTTTAAAAAATTCCTGTGTGTGAAAAGTAGGAAACTACAAAAGTTTCACTTGTTTATCTGTATAAAGATAGGTTGCCAGGCAACGAAACATACGCCCACAGCAGCTAAATCGTCCGGGCAGTCAACAAGAGTTGTCGCATATTTTTACTTTTTTCGGTAATGAAACATTTATAATACACTAAAATCTGATTAAGAGCAACAACTGAGAAAACCATTAGAATTTGTTTGGTTTTTATAAAGTTCTACCCCATGCTAACGTTTTGTATACAAAACTTTTAATATCACGGATTAAGCTGTTCCAAGTCATAAAAATTCATTGAAAATCAATATACTTGTTCCTCTCAAGATCTTAAACTCTGTGTATCAATCCGAAGTCAATCGGATGATAACTTTAGCCTTTAGTGCGTCACAAGATTTTGCAAAGTGATCAAGGGCCATAACTTTGGCAGTAATTATCGGAAATAGTTGAAAATCAATAGGATTCTTCGTCTCATGATCAATCGGATATTAACTTTGGCCTCTAGAGCGTCCACAAGATTTTTCAAAGTGATTAAGGGCCATAACTCTGGCAGTAATTATCGAAAATCAGTGAAAAGTCAATAGGCTTCTTCGTCTCATGACCTTAAACACTGTGTATAAATTAAAGATCAATTGGATATTAACTGTGGCCTCTAGAGCGTCCACAAGATTTGTTGAAGTGATCAAGGGCCATAACTCTTGCAGTAATTATGGGAAATCGCTGAAAATCAATAGGCTTCTTCGTCTCATGATCGTAAACACTGTGTATAAATTTAAAGTCAATTGGATATTAACTTTAGCCTCTAGGGCGTCCACAAGCAATTGTGGACGCCGGACGGACGGACAGAGGCGACGACAATATACGACCACATTTAAATGTGGGCGTATAAAAAGGGACAGAATAGGGTATTGTTTAGTAGCTACATGTAATGAAAACATTGTGTATTACAGATTGATTAATGTCTATCCAAGAAATATTTAAAAGATAATGAGTATCTGAGTCCTGGTGTGCAATTTTACGACTATAGGTACATTTACATGTATCACTTGCAAAACACAATATTATCTAATTAAAATTCCAGCACAAAAATGGTTGAATATTCTGTTTGGTATTTACAGATATATGCCATTGGTCTTTCATCCACCTATGCTACATTGTACTTCTCTATATACAAGTCTGTCGCCATTTTTATTGTCAAGCTAGGTTCCCACTATCACAATTCATGCTACAATTGAAATTGTGTTTTTAATTGTGAAGTAATCATGGTGATAACTATAAGGTATTATCATATACTTAGGTCAGTTGTAGCAAACGTGTTGACTGTATCGAATAATATCCTAACATATCTGCACATAGCAGATCATGGATCCAATAGGGACACTCCTATCGTAACGCAATGCATGACAGTGGTAACCTGGCATAATCTAAAAATCTATTGGTACCAGTAGGCCTGTTTTAAATCTGATTGAATCCATGCCTGGCATTAGTATTTTGATTTGTTTTCTTAACAATCAATTTGTGTACATATTAGTGTTGATTAGGCTGTGAGAAATTTGATATTTAGCAAAAAATGCAATGATGCACCGTTACTTTAATATGCCTACAATACTTCCTTATATTTTCGGTTTTCTTTTAAACAATTTCTGTACTTTTTATTTGGGTAGATGAAAGTTCGGGTCAGGTCAAATGAATACAAATATTGTAAATATATTAGATTTTACTGTAGTACATGAAAGTGTTAAGCCTGGAAATAAGGCACCGGTCACAGAAAATGTCCGACACCATCCCTCTAGTGGCTGTCAGTACATGTATGTCCGACACAAACTTGTCATTTTTCTGTGTATTATTGATATTTATTAATATTTATAATTTAGATTTGGCACAAAGCTAAAGATGGCCATGGCTGAACAGGGTGAAAATATGATACACCCACACTGAAATGTGGGTGTATAAAAATAACATGTACTAGTTCAATAGTCACAGTGACTGACATTTTGTCTAGTACCATACAAATAAAATTATTATTTCTCAGTCTGACAAGTTTACAATAACAATACATACATGTAACAAAGAAATGGTAGAAGTACATTTCTTGTCTGATTTTAATGAATAGCTTGGTTCAAGTTCTTAATTTAACCCGAATTAAACAAGTTCAGCACTTTTCAGACAATCAAGAAGAACTACCAGACTTGTCTTTGTGAAAATTCATTATCTTTGGTGAGTATACTTACTTTATCAATAACAAAAGGTTATCAATGGTTAGTATCGAGGTTTAGTAGTATTTCATTTTTTATTATTAATGAATCATTTTGCATTCAAATTATGCACTGTAAACGTACAAAGAGTAACTTGAGATTATTTTTTACGCTGTACGTATAAAAGACATTAGTAAAGTGTGTAGCCTACCAAGTGTTAATCAACATGGTTCGGAGCCAAAGAAATTCAATTTTCTTGGAGTGAAAAGCAAAGGATGCATTTTATCAAAACAGTTAACCTAGATGGCAATTATCAAATAGTGACCATTCGCCAGAAAATTTATTTCTGATAATACTAAAGATTCCCCTCTTTCTGTCAGACTATGTCAGTGCCTATTCCACTGGTGCCTGTCATGCTATCTGGCACAAATTCCCCTTCTCTGTGTCTTAATGCTTTTTTCAAATGCCCCACAAAATGTTTAAAATATTAGGTACTATGCCTACTATAATCATTATTTCCAAGGCCGACTCACTTTTTGCATCTATACATTCCCAGTTTTTACCATGTAATAAGCAACAACATGTGATCATACAGAACTCTGGGTCAATGGCCTTTACTCCACAGACTAGAGTTGATCAAATTTGGGAGGATGCCAATGTTACTTATATTCTGTTGAATGCAAATGTAACATTATTCTAAAGATGGCACCAATTAAGTTAATTAATAAAATTAAAAACATACCTTTAGCACAATCCACATAGACAATACTCCAATACAATATTAAAAGTAAACATCGATATTTGGACAACATTTTGCCCTTGATAAACAGTCAGCCCTGGCTCCTTGCTAGGGCACAAACAGTGAGTCATGAAGTAAATTCTGAAGCATAAGACGGTTTCCTGGAAATAAAAAAAGATTTGGAATATTAAAGAGAGGGTATTAAACTATTAAAGAGAAGAACTAAGTGATGTACATATACTGGTAAAAACCCATATCATTTTCTTCTGGGCATATTTTGCTAAATACTGTAAATGTAGTTCACAAGAAATGTTAACATAATCCTCCTTGTCTAATTTTTAAATAAATATTACATTAGCTTTAGCTGTTTTGGTTGAATTTTGTTTGGCTGTTTTGGCTAAAATGTTTGACCGTTTTTACCACATGTTTTGTTTATGGCCGTTATGTCCATAACCCCTTATATATATACCTTGTAAAATGCAATCAATGAAGTGCAAATCTCGTTTCAAGTTTTATAGAGATACATACATCATGTACATGTATCAGGTACATGTATTACTGTCAATCGTGTCTTAATTAAAATGTAAGCATTAGACTTCAACCTTAAGGCAGCTTTGGTTTATTTCAATGATGTAAAATTTAATTATATTCTGATAAATAACCTTAGTTCGTGAAAACTTTTTTTTATAATTTTGAGATTATACTCTTATTTTTTTGTTTACAAAATAATTTTCAAATGCAATAAATAATCTGGTGGTATAAATAAAGTGTAATGATAAATCCTTTTTGAAGTTTCCTGAAATATATTAATACACAGCTATTTTCTGTAAAAATTAGTTATCGATTAATATTGTCTGTGATACAATGTATCTCAATGAGAGATGAGAATGTAAACATTCTGTCAATTGTAAACATTGAAGGGTGTGGATTTTGTTTAGATGGGTCTTAATAAAATTGTCTCAATTACCATGCCCAGCTAGCCAGCAGGCCTAAGTAAAGTTTAAATTTAATGCAATGCCAATATAACTGGAATAATTTTGTCAAATAAACCAAATACAGACATTGTAAGAGGATAATCCAGCTTTGAATGGATTTGAATTTTACTTGTCATTGTATGGGGTGATGAAATGTTTTATTATCCTTGCCTTAAAGTAACTTAAAGAAAAAAAGAAATACTATTTTTCTGCATTATGTTTAAACAGATCTATATACCATTGATTATAATTAGACACATTAAACCAATACTCATTGTAAAAGAAGAAAAGAAACACAAAAAATATTTGGATTGTAAGGAATGTGTCCTTTTGTAAACAATAACAATAATAAAGACATAGGCCAGCAAGGAAGAAACCACTCGATATGCCGCGATCGTCCTCTTAAAAAAAGGAGAAAACAAAATAATAAACTCTGTAGAATACAAATATATATATATAAAAAAAACTATTTGCTTCGCACGTAATTAAAATATACAGCAAAGATCTGAAATGGCTAGGATAAACAGAAAAAATAATATAAGGCCCGTCAACACATCAGAATCGAGGCTTCTCCAAGTTCTCGGGGTCATGAAGAAAAACATGGCGGAGCTTGACCGCAAAATGGACCGTTAACGATTAACTACGTCTTATTCTTACTGAATTACGCTTGCAAAACATTCTGCATGCTACCCAATAAATCATAAGTAGTACATACATACTCGATAACGTATTCATTGAACATGCAAACACGCACAAACATAAACAATTTGACAACTTAACTAACCTTTATCAACTTGAGGATTTTGCCTCCGATGCCCCAAATACATTGAGCGGTAAAAAAAGACTTTTTGGTGGACCACGTGTATTCACATTGATCCCAGTCACATTGAAACACAACAATAAACAATAACCTCTTCAATATGTACTTCACTAAATAATTGACAATAAACAATAACTGTCAACTTGTGAATTGCATCTAAAACGCGTTTTTCAGTATGTTATTCCCTCGAACACTGTTGTCATTTGCTTAGGATCTAATTAACCTCATTCCATATATGGATTTCTGACGTCATGATCTTCTATGCCAGCGCCGTCTAACGGTAACTAGTGGAACAAGCACCTGCTGTGCACGGATTTTCCACCACCAGAGTGCAGCAAGCGCGATATTTATTCCTGGAATTAAACCAGCTACATTTTGATCGTAAATTTGTTTCATAACTTCCCGTATATATTTTTCTTACAAAATTGACCTACTCCATACGCGCAACCTAAATATTCTAGTAAACAACATACATAGGGAAGGCGGGACTTAATACTATTGCGTCGCGGAGGTTCTTAGCTTCTATGGGCACCTGCATCCATGAATTATTATTTACTTGAGTGTATTTAAATTTTAAACAGGCGGTATCACTCTCACCCAAAAAATAGATATTATCAATTTTGAATAATATGATAGGCTAACCTTCAGTAGTAAATACATTGGTTGTTGTGATCATGTATATAATATAATGTATACTACCGACATGTTTTTAAATGTCAAAAGAAAGTATAAATTATTATTATCCCAAAGACAGGATTATAATTTTTATCACATTCACAGAATTCCATGACATCCTTTTAAAAAAATATTGTTATTTTTTAACAAAGCAGAATAATGGGAGATATCTCTCTAGAACTTTATTTTATTCACAAATAATGGATTGAAATACTTATACGACCGTTTGATATTTATTAATTATTCAACATTGAGAAGTATTTATTGCATCTAGTCTACAGTTAATCCGATAATTTAGAGGCGATTTTTACTAAATAGTAATAAAATGCGTGTGTGTGTGTGTATGTATGCGTATAACCACAGTCAAGATATTCTCTCTTATCTATGAATTTAACACTCGATATTATTGATAGTAGAGTCCCGGTTTATTTTTGGTTTTTGTTTAATGAAAATGAAGTGAAATGGGGGTTAACGTCTTATTTTTCTACACCAGCCGCACCAATGAAGACGAATTGTTAGCACGTGCGCGCTGTATCATAAAGTCTGTCATTGAGTCAACTGGCGTGGTTTCGATTCCTAGGTTGTACGTGACAAGGAGTAGGGTCGCCTGTCCAACCTCGTGGGTTTTCTCCGGGTCCTCCGGTTTCCTCCCACTGCTAAAGACCCCTACGTGCAAGCGAATTATAAAAATTAAATTGAACCATGTTAGTCCCGAAATGACCTAGTTTGTGTCGAGTGGACGTTAAACCCCATTTCTCTCTCTCTCCCATCCAGTGTGCCCAGACTACGGCATTTCCACCTACTCTCCATCGAATTCTAACCGTCCAGTTTAATTTACGTACATGCCAACGTGTACACGGATTTTTCGTACCATCTAAAGGACTTGACACAGTATTAGAACAAATTACTTGGTATTGATTAATCGATGCCACTTAACGATATTAATTGAATGAAATCAACTAATATTCCAAAACTCGTAACAGACAAACGAAAATATGTTCATTTGAAATATTCACAAATTTTAAAAATCTAAAATTAACCAAAAAACTCAAAATATTTGTCATTTGAATTGAATTGATTATTCTAAAAGCATTCGAATAATGAATGATTCGAAAAGAATTCAAAGGAAGAAGTTAGAAATACAATGTAGTAAATCTAAAATTAACCAGAAACACTCCAAAGATTTGTCATTTGAATTGAATTGATTATTTATTCTAAAGGCATTCGAATAATGGATGATTCGAAAAGAATTCAAAGGAAGAAGTTAGTAAATGTAGTAAATTCGTTGTGACTCCTATGAGACTCGATAAATTTTACCATTTCCGAGAACCCCTTGTACCGTATTTCAAATATTTGAGCTTTTCATTTAAATATCTATATCCAGTTTCTATATTTCTTTGATTCCTGAAAATTGGACAGGGCCCATAGTACTTTTTATTTGTTTATACGAAGGACTAATTCAGGATATGATGTAGCCTCGCCTTTTTGAAGACGTATTATATGTAATCATTGCGAGTTATCGGGGTATACACACTAGATCAATGTTTATTGGTATTTTTAATTAACACGTCTGGATATTGTGTATTATAAACGCGATTTGAATTAGATTGGATGTTATTATAAGCAATGATCAGTTCTAATTAGCAATTAATCAATTATTATTAGCATTTGATCAATTATTATCACCATTTACAGTTCGTATTCTCAAAGTTTAACATTACCGCTTATTGCCTCCTCCATAACATTTTTACATTCATAAATTTAGGCCACATTCAAGGTAATTGGTGGCATTATTGGTCATTAACAAATGTTTTTTTTATATCATTTGACAAAAGAGTCCCGAGGTGGACGTTAGCCTATTTAATAACACAATCACGATCGATGCCTCTGCACAACTGTATAGCCTTGCGGTTTAAGGACAATTCCTAAAATGAAAGAAAAATAAAACCTTCGCATAATTGGAGTTATCACAAAGACAGGGTTTCACCCGACAACGAAATTGTACATTCGAATCTTATTGTTGCAAAGCTAAAGTGTTTTGTTGTACCATTTAATTGTTCATCATCGACCGTAGCCCGTAGGAATTTCAAAAAGAATAAGCGGATTATGCCACTGGCTGGTCAAGAGACATGTATTTAATCAAAATACGATATCATCACATTATTAAAAAAAGGTAAGGGTATCTATTTTTTGTTCATGTGATTGGAGCGTAAGAGCATCATTCATGTTTAGCGTTCTGTTTTAATTGCTTCTATTTAAAACTTGTTTGTTTCAAAAACCGAACATCTAATCTTACAAAACATCAATGATTTACCGTTGTATTTCTTGTCTATTAAAATGTAGACCGATGGTCTATATTTTGTTAACAAAAAAAATGGTACAGAATCTACCAGTCGAAACTCGCCCACGACATGAGTATAAAATGAGCAGCCTTATTCCAATAGGGGAGATTTATTATTTTATACTCGTATACATGTATATACTTGGAATGTACCAACCATTTTCAAAATGTCTCTTCACAACATAACATGTTCAATGCCTATGATACGAATTTTGTGTAGGCTAATGGAGTGGCATAAACCTTTTTAATTTCTGGTGCCACTCCCTCTTTAATAATTAACGAACATGATTAGATGACAACCGTATCGTCACTCGTGATAAAGTGACACCACGGTCTATTTTCAGTTTAATTATTCCAAGTAGATCATTAACGGTTGACTGAATTCGGTGTTCCTTCGTTCCTTTTTTATTGGCAGTTATCATATCGCTATGGGAACGTCAAGTATTTTGTCAATTTGAGAAAAAATGAGTGAAAGTTGAAATAAAGAGAAAGCGATATAGGAAATTAGAAGTCAGAAAAGTTGGACACGAAGGGCCGAGAAATGAAACAGTCTGCGACATCTTGGCTTGCTTGATTACTTTGATTGAAGAGTCACGGGTTCAGATCACGCATGAACATAGTCCACGACTCAATGTCAATTATGGAACTTTTATTCCATAAATGAACAGTTACAGGACAGTTTTATTTTAATTTGAAACAGAAGATATCTTACAAAGTAATTGTATATACCGTCAACAATTTCCCATTATTACACGATTTCCAGCCATTAAGCAATATATAGCACTTTTATCACATGGTACCACCGAGCGGAATCTCTCACCATATTCCAGCACCCGGATTCGAAATGAAGTTAACAAAAATATTCCTAGCGTCAACAAAAACCTAAATTATATTAGAAAAAAAAACATTTCAAGACATATTAATGCAAAGTGTATATATAATAGACTCCTTCCCGCCCCCCACACAAAAATAATTACCGTAAACATACTAAAATATCGAAAAAAGTTTATATTTCACAGAGTCAAGGGATACATAAACTACCAGACTGCAAAATTCCAGTTGCCTCCTATATATGCCGGCCTTTCGAGATATATTACCGTAAACATACAAAGATATGGGGGAATCAGGTTAGGGTAGGCTCACTGCAGCGTACACAATTACTTCTAAACTAGCTTCGGTGGTTACAAGATTTTTATTTCACCAAATCGACAGATGCACAATGTATGAACATGCCAAATTTTATTAACTTTCTATGTTAGCGTTTCGATTTATATCATCGCAAAGTTTCTAGCACCCGGATTCCAGGCGAGGTTCGTGGGCTCAATAAACAAAGGGTAAGGGTACGCTCACGCTGGATCTCAAAGCGCCCAAACCAGCTTTGGTGGCAAAATAATTTTTATTTCACAGAATCAAGGGATGAATAAAATACTAGACTTCAAAATTTCAGAAGCCTCCTATGCTGGCTTTTCGAGATATATAACCCGTAAAACATACTAAAAATATGGGGGAATCGGGTTAGGGTAGGCTCACTGCACACACAATAACCCCTAAACTAGCTTTGATGGCTCCAAGATCTTTATTTCACCAACTCGACAGATGCATAAGGTATGAATAAGCCAAATTTCATTAACTTTTTATGTTGGCGTATCAGGTTTTATCATCGCAAAGTTCCTAGCGCCACCCGGATTCGAGGCGAGGTTCGTGGGCTCAATAAACAAAGGGTAAGCTCAAGCTGCATCTCAAAATACACAAACCAGCTTTTGTGGCAAAATGTTTTTTTTTTATTTCACAGAGAATCAAGGGATGAACAAACTATTAGACTGTAAAATTCCAGAAGCCTCCTATACTGGCTTTTCGAGATATATAACCTAGGAATATGTTTGTTAATTTCATTTCGAGTCCGGGTGAGAGATTCCGCTCGGTCATAGACTATAGTATCATTATTTCACGTTTCACAAATTATTGCTTTATTACACAACTAATTATACACTAAAGGGAAGATATAAAAAATATATTGGCCTTAACATAACAAAAAGATACACATTAAATATCTAAAAGTATATGAAATCATAATTAGGCCTAATAGGCGCAGTGGAGCTAAAGTTTGTGTAGCCCAAGGAGATCGTGCGTTCGCCTAAACACCCCTATCCCCGTGAAAATTAAAATGTTAAACATAAAGTGATGTTGACGTGGAAAATATATGTGTCAGGCATCTTTGGTAGGCCTAAGCCATCTGTAATAGCAAATTCATTAGTCCAGAGTGTCTGAGAACATTTTGAGCCGCGAAGCAATGAAATTTCGGTAGCACGATTTACCCAAAACACCCAAATCCACCATTATTTTCAACTCATAAAATAATATTTTATGTCAATATTTGATAATATACCATTCTTTATGCCAAATTGTCATTTCTAATTTAAACTCATAACATTTTTGCTTCAAAATGCAATTTCCAAGCAAGTGATTTCGTGCAATGCACGAGTTATGTCCCTTGGTACACCATCCAAACTTGCTGAGAAATCGTATTTTGTTTGAGGGGGGATTTTGACACAAAAGCGTTACGATTTTAAATTATAAATGACAATTTAGCATAAAGAACGGTATACATGTATTATCAAATATCGATATAAATTATTATCATATGATTTAAAATAATGGTGGATTTGGTTACTACTTCCAAACTTGCTTGTGTGAGGAAACCGGAGAAAACAGGGTGCCTTTTCACCTCTGGTTACCGCCGACGACAAACAGAAACCGCCGACTGTTCTCAAAATACAAGATATTATTAACACAATTCAGAATAGGGACTATTACATTTGCACCAACGTAAAATCTTCAATCTTTATGGAATTTATAATCATAAATATTTAAGATTTTATGTGTGTGCAAAAAAATAATAGTCCCTATTCTGGATTGTGTTAATGTTTTTTTTTTAGAAAATTTTGATGGTCGTCGGCAGTTAATTAACAGGCTGTCTTTTATGACCTAACTTCCTGGATAATGGCCCCTGATTGTACAAAAGATCACATAACTAATTATTTCTGCATTGTCTTGTAGGATATGTTTTGTTTTGTTCATTACTAATGGCAACAAAAAACCCACAAGAGTACAGGACTCCTGTACCGATTTCAAAATAATCACGTGTCTTAAATGTGGGATATTAGGATACCGTATTTTCACGGCAAGATAACTCTTTAATTCATATATTTAATATTGAATATTGTGCATAAATAGAGTTACAGGTTTAGCTCCTCTAGAGCATCGCTAACGCTGCAATATATGTCCACATTCCTGCTTTCATTGATATGGTACTTTTTAAAGTGAAGAGCATGAAATATAAAATAGCTGCAATGACTGTAATATAACAAGAGGCAAAAAAGGCTACGCTTTGGGTTTGTTTTGCCAAATTTTGAGACCAAATATTAACAAAAAAATAGGTGTGACACCGCCCCAGGGGATCGGGGCATACACTAAAATAAATAGTTGCTGTCTTTACGGTATAAGGAATAAATAGACAAAGTTCCAAGATGATCCATTCAGGAATGCAGCCTTGGGCATGGCTCTGCCCCTGGGGGTTGGATTTGGAACAATATAAATAGGCTCCACCCTGTTATTGAAATGATTGATACGCTGAATTTGAACAAAATCTGTTAATTATAGCAACCTGTAGAGTATTTACAGACAAAAAATTGGATGTGGTACCACACCCCTGGGGGTCAGGACATGTACCAAAATAAATAGTTGTTTATTACAGAAATAAATATGCCAAGTTCCAGGTAGATTCATTCTGAACTGCAGCCTGTGGACAAAAGTGTGTGTGTGGCGGGGATCCAAGTACCAAAATCAATAGTTGCCGTCCTTAGGGTATAAGGAATAAGTATACCAAGTTCCAAGATAATCATTCAGAATTACGGGCATATAAAAATACTGCCATTTGCTGGAGTTTGGACGATGAGCATAGGTTAAAACATTTTAGATTTTAACAGATAGGGTTTTTACATTCCGTATAGATTCTAATCATGGTTCAACTTGTGCTCATTAATTACTTTTTAACAACAATCTCGGTGAAGTTAAGAAACCCATTTTTATGGAGAGTGAGATAAATCAAAGTATTCTAGGAATAATGGTGAACAATTGATGGCAATAAATTCCATGAAAACAAAATGAGAAATTGGGGTGAAAGTATGTGGACTTGACCACAGACAAGTTTCTGTAGGTACCATTACCAATAGCAATTAGTATCCAGTGTAAACAATCTTAGGAAAATGGGTTATATGCAATGCAGTCTGATGTCTGTAATAACGAAGGAACTGCTGCTTAGTAAGCCAGTGAGGTATTCACCGTGGCTCCCACTATCTATGTTGAAAAGAATATAACAATAACTTGTTGAAAAAATAATTTACTGTCTAGATGTTATTTGTAATATAACACTGAAAATTCATTGTCAAAATTATATAAACTTTTGTTTCACCCTTTCCTTTGTAATACCAGACTATTTACAAGACATGTAGTTTATCTTTTGACAAAATTTGCATCTGACGATGAAATAAAAGTTTAAAATTTGAATATCTGTAATAATAATTTAAGGTCATATAAATTAATTCTATCGAATTTTTATTTTTATATTTTCTTCTCAGATTTTATTTCTAAGTCGTGAAATAATAAGTTTGAAATTTTTAATATTGTGTCATTTGCAAATGTCATCAATGTAACAATCCACCAATCTGCTAATATTTCATTTTCTATTAAAATTCTTAATAATTACATTTAAAACTTCCCAATTTTAACATTCAAATAATTATTTCATTTGAGAGAAAATAAAATTGAGCTTTATATAGATCATTTGTCTTCAGAGACAATTGACAAACACTATTTTTTCAAACTGCTAAATACATTTCTTGTTAACTGCTGTTAAAATAAGGATGCTTCAATGCCATTTCTGCTGTTATTCTTGTTTTTGGATTTAAATCCAATAATTTAAACAATAAATTAAAAGCATTTGAGGAAATATTTTCCCAGTCTTTAATATTTTCTTTATTTTGTGACATGTCTTTACGTTGATGTTTAGATGATCTGAAGGGTGCGACTGAACGTAATTTATTACATAAGGTTTGTAGATTAAGAGCTGAGGTAGGTGGATTACATACTAATATTTTACCTGAAAAACAAAATAAAAACGTGAAGACAGGTTGCCAGGCAACGAAACATAGTTGTCGCATATTTTTTCTTTTGTCAGTAATGAAAACATTTATAACACACTAAAATCTGATTACGAGTAACAACCCATTGGCCATTAAGTACTTATCAGAAATCATTAAAATTTGTTTGGCTTCTAGTTCTGCCCTATACTAACGCTTTGCATACAAAACATTTAATGTCGAGGGCCATAACCAGGAGGTCAGGGGTTCGATCCCGGTCTTGTAGACAAAGCTTCCCTGAATTTTCCAGCGCTGTGGTGAAGAACCGAGGGTCAGGTCAAAAACAGCATGTTTGGATGGGAATTTTGTTATGGGCACAGACTACAATGATTGCTAACCGTTTTAGTGCTGGGTATTGCCACTGAAGTCAGGTGCTACGATACGATTTGTATCACGATTCATAATCAGGTCAATATTTACCAAGAAAACATCAGGATAAATGAATAATTGATATTTTTAGTCCTACCGATGTCAAGGAAATAAAACTGTTTTATATCACAATATTGATGTTGATTAAAATAAGGACCAAAACAATTTAAGAGTGTTTATGATAATGTGTGACATGATTATGAAGCAAAAAAAAACATAAAAAAGAATCGCGATATATCGACTTGTAATTCAATAAGCGAATCGTGAGAAGGTGAATCGTGATAGATCGATTCAACGATATGTCGCGCCAACATTAAACCTTTTTAGTGGCTACAGGTGCCATTCTACCATATCAAAGTCAAACAACCACACAATAAAAGGAAATAAATGCCTTTAGTTAATTACTCACCAAATGACTTTGAAGCCGTTTTGACTTCTTCGCTGCCAAAAATACTAACAATCTGAGCTAAAGCAGTAACATCATCATTTGCACGAAAAAAAGGATATCTTCCACTTAGTAAAGACAAAAATATTACACCAGCTGACCATATATCTACAGCTGAAATAAATAACAATGAAAATGTTGTTGCAAATTTGTTTTTATGTTATACAGTAAACCTTGCATAAGTCAGATTCGTATAAGTCGGATCTTTGCTCGACTCGGATAAAATCGTTTGGACCCTTTGATCTGGCACGTTTTTCGGTCCATTTGATCTAATTCTGGCTTTTTTCCTTCACCTAAGACGGATTGGCAGTATGTTCACAACATGCTGTTAAAAATACTCCCCCTCCGCCAAACGGCCTGGCTGACGCCATTGAAATCCAAATACAGTGCCATATGGCCATATAAGACGAAACGAAATTGGAATTTTTGAAAAAATTTGATGGTAATTGGGCTAGGCAAACAATAATTGACTAAAGTTTCTCAGCTTTTCAACGATTCTAATTTTCCCCCCCCCCCAGCTTACCAAAATTTCGTTTCATCTTACATGGCCGAGGCACATAAATCCGTACGCCACCCCACATCTAGACCTCAATGGCGTCCGCCAAAGCCGTTTAGCAGAAGGGGACGCATTTTTAACAGCATGTTGTGTTGCACATACTGACTCTAGCGAGGTAAGCAAGGTCTTATCTTCTCACTAAAATGTTTCATTACATTGTTCAGGTGTTCACAGAGACTGACACACGAGTGTTTAGCAGTAAAAAGTTGCCCAGTAAAATTGACTGGGAATTGATTTTATTTCAACAAGGATTCAATAGGACGGTTCCTGAATGTACCTACATTCAGAGCTGAACTAGGTCTTCGCATAACTCGGATAAAATTGGTCAGTCCATTTAGATCCGACTTATGCGAAGTTTACTGTATTATCTGCTCAATTCAAGACAAAATACATCTCCCCGAAAAAAAAAACAGAGAGGAAAATATGAGTAGCTCAATTCAAGACAAAATACATCTCACCAAAAAAACAAAACAGAGAGGAAAATATGAGTAGCTCAATTCAAGACAAAATACATCTCACCGAAAAAAAGATAGGTTGCCAGGCAACGAAACATATTTATTCCTTTGTCGGTAAATGGGGGCCTTTACAAGACAGTTCCATACAGATCAGATTATAAATTTTGTCGTTTGAGGGTTCACAAAGTTCTACAAACTGAAACAAGGGTCTCAACTCTGGAAGTAATCTACAAAAATTGTTGAAATTTGACAGGCTTTTTCGTTTTACTAATTTAAATAATGCATATAATTTTCATACAGATCAGATGATCACTTTTGTCATTCAAATGTTCACAAGGTTCACAATCGCCATAACTCTAGAAATTATTGACGGAAATTGCTGAAATTCAAATTTAAATGATGCATATAAATTTCATACATATCGGATGATAACTTTCATCAAACAAGGGCCATAACTCTAGAAGTAATTATTGTAAATTGGTGAAATTCAATAGGCTTTGTGGTTTCACTAATTTAAATAATGCATATAAATTACACAAAGATCGGATGATAAACTTTCGGCGTTAGAGCATTCACAAGGTTCAATAAAGTGAAACAAGCCATAATTCTAGACGTAATCAACGGAAATTGCTGAAATTCAGTAGGATTGTTCTTTTTACTAACTTAAATGGCACATATAAATTTCATACAGATCGGCAGATAACATTAGAGGTTAGAGCGTTCACAAAGTGCAACAAAGTGAAACAGGGGCCATGTAAATTTCATACAGATCAGCCATAACTCTAGAAGTAATTGACGGAAATTGCTGAAATTCAATAGCTTTCTTCGTTTCACTAATTTAAATACTGCATATAAATTTCACAAAGATCAAATGATAACTTTTGGCCTAATAGAGTTCACAACGTTCAACAAGGGCCATAACTCTAGCCATAATTTGAAATTAAATAGGCTTCTTCATCTCACTAATGTAAACCACATATATCAATTTTAAAACAATCGGATAATAACTTTTGGAGGTAGAGTGTTCACAAGAAATTGAGGAGGACGACGGACGGACAAGGGCGACGGCAATATACGTCCACATTTCCATATGGGCGTATAAAAAACAGAGAGGAAAATATGAGTAGCTGGACTAGTGTCAAATTGTTATGAACATTTGCTGCTAAAACTATTTGTAGACTGTTCATGAAATGGTAGGTGGTAGAATGGTACTACTGTGTGAACCATCGTAAATTTTAAACGGATTTCTTCGATTATGAACAAACTACTTAACTTTGGTTATTATAAACTTACCTGTGTGTTTGTAATGAACTCCTGTTCGATAAAATCCATTGCACAACTAATTATCACAACGATGAGAACAAGTTCTCTCTTGAAAAATTTGAAAATTTACTTGTAATTTCGACAGAGTCGATGTCAACAATGTCTTCGTGACGTATTGGTCGATTCCAATATACCTGTTGCGGGGGTTGGTTAACATTGAAAGATAGTTTGACAGCGCGATCATTTTTGATCGTATGTGGGTTTGGGCGACGAAAAATATCAATTGAAGGCAATTACATAGGAGATTTATATGGAAACCATTGATCGCCAGTCTATCAAATTTTCTTCACAATTAAAATATCACTGATTGCACGGATACTCGTAAAAATAAAGTCATGTATAAACTATAAATATCCTATCTTCTTTATGTTGTCTTTGAAAGGCATTTAGTGAAAGTGATATATAATAACAGACAGCTTTATGGATGACATTCACTAGGTTTATTAACTGCAACGTTTCAATGAGGTTACTCTCACCGTTATCAATCTAATTTTTCTTATTTACTCTTGCAATGAGACTCGGTATGTCCAGACTTTTGACAGTTTCTACATATACGGGTATACTGTTCTTGTCTGATAGCCTAATTTTACTTTTTCCACATTCGCGGTATCCCCAGTGGTTTCATTCCGTTCTACCCCACTAACCCCTGGGTTACTATATATGGGGGGGGGGGGGAGAGAGAGACACGTTTTCAAGTTATCCGCCCTTGATGCGTTAACTGAACTGAATAATATGTCCCAATCTTTATTCTGGTCAACAAATTGTACTATTTTAGAATATTTCAATTAATTGATGATACAAATTTCATCTTAACACACCTCATTTAAAATTTTTGAAATATTCAACATAATGGTTTGAAACGTCTAACATAAACCTTTTCAAATGAAACTTCAATTTAAAAATATTTTCGAACCCTCTGGACAAGTAAAATAGGATGTAATGGATAATTTACACAACAGGTAGGACACTTAAACATCTAGTACTTAGATAGAGATATTATTTATTTTCTGGAGCTTTCAAGCCAGCAAGAGTGTTATTGTCCCTTTAAAACAAACGCAATTATCAATTTATTAAAACAACACTTTATTATTGGTCCGAGTCGTCTTTCTGTTGGGTCCGAATAGTCTTTTTGTATGGTCCGGGTAGTCTATTTGTTTGGGCTGAGTGGTCTATCAGTTGGTCCGACTGGTCTTGAACCGAGTGGTCTTTGGTCCGAGTGGTCATGGATTCTTGTCGTAATTGTACTTGAATTTCCTATGCTGTCACCCCTAATACGAAATAATATCTTCCGCAGAGTGACGTAACCATCTTCCATATTGGTATTTTTCTCTGGGAAAAGTTTGTTATATTTCAATTTTTCAAGAGAGAACTTGTTTTCATCGTTATTATAATTAGTTGTGCAATGGATTTTATCGAACGGGAGTTCATTACAAACACACAGGTAAGTTTATAATAACCAAAGTTAAGTAGTTTGTTCATAATCGAAGAAATCCGTTTAAAATTTACCAAGACTCAGACAGTAGATGTGTGTTTGCCTGTTTAGATTTGGAAATTGTAGTGGTCAAGTAAGGATTAGTTCGCTGGGAAATACCATATGTAAGGAGAGAGAACATTCTGTACATAGTGATCCATCTACTTCACACTCCCAGAATAAATATCTGTCGCCGTATTCCAAATTTTTTTGATAAATATCTGCCTCCATATCCAAAAATTAGTATCTTGTTTTGTAATGTGGGTTCTACTCTGTTTCAAATCTGGTGTACGCATATAGACTAAATAAACATGGAAGCAGAATTAAAACTGCTCATAATTCTTGAGTGTCGGTCAACAAGCTTAGTGTCTGTTCTCAAGCGGAGCTAACTGTAGACAGGCAGGTAAGTTTAGTATGGAGAGAGAAGTCAGAGCTAATGAAATCGTGTTCACACATTGGAATGTGTAAATGATAAATCTTGTTCAAATTGAAACTCATTTGAGTTCTCATTTATTTACACATAAATATGGGAGTATATAAATATGTACCTGTTGTTTGATCAGGATATTTCATTAAAACTTCTGGTGATCTAAAACCGGGTGTACCCGCTCTAGGTGCTGTCTGGTTACTTCTGTTAATATAATAAGATATATATTACTATTGTAGCAATCATAAATATAATTACCATATCTAGATTCCTGATATTTGTTAACACATTTCTTTATGATCAGTACCAATTGCAAAACCCTTCAAAAACAAATTCTTGGCAACATGTAACAGTGCTCAATCATAAACATGAATCTTCTGTACCTGTACTTCCAGATTCTATTCAAACCCTCTGTATATGAATGTCTGTTCATCAAATGTAAAATAGGTCTGTCTCTATTAAAATTTTCTTTTTTGGATTTCATTTTCTATTTTAAAAAAGGCATTAGCAATTTGTAGGCCTTCAGAATACAACAAGCTAATATAATATAAAATCAACCTTTTTGTCATACATATTTACCTAGATGTACAAATACTACATATCATAGGCTGACCATGGCAGTGGCACGTATTGGTTGCCATAGCACCGTTACTTGAAACTCTTGACTGTGATGTGACTTCTTTATCTTTAACCATAAGAGCTCTTTTAGCGAGAAGATATCGCCTGGGTGATTTGACATTTTTGGTAAAAGCTAAAGAATCCATGTTGGGTGTAGGAGGTGTGTATGGCTTATGATTAGCTGACCATTTCTTTATCTGTGGGGTCACTTTGTTCTCTCTTGATCCCAATCGACTATTTTTATTAGAGATTTCTTTTGATGATAAACTTTCACCCTGCAGAAACAAAAATACAATTAATAAAAGATATTGTATAGTTTTAATCTATATTGAAACAGCAATATTGCTCAATTTTTTAAAATATTTCCTTGAAATTCAATTTCTCTACATCGTAAATTCTATCTAGAGCAAAATAATATTAATAATAAATGCAAAGGTATGTTGCCAGGCAACGAAACATACACCCACAGCAGTTAAATTGTCCAACTGGTCGACAAGGGTTGTCGCATACTTATTCTTTTGTAGGTAATTGGGGGCATTTACAAGACAATTTCATACAGATCATATTATAATTTTCATCGTTTGAGGGTCACAAGGTTATACAAACTGAAACAAGGGCCTTAACTCTGGAAGTAATTTACAGGCTTTTTCGTTTTACTAATTTAAATAATGCATATAAATTTCATACAGATCGAACATTCACAGGGGTCACAGTAAAACAAGAGCCATAAATCTAGAAGTAATTGACGGAAATTGCTGAAATTAAATAAACTTCTCGTTTCACTAATCTAAATGATGCATATAAATTTCTAACAGATCGTATGATAAAATTTGTCGGTTGAGCATTGACAAGGTTGGACAAAGTGAAACAAGGGCCATAACTCTAGACGTAATGTGCAACAAAGTTAAACAAGGGACATAACTCTAATAGTAATTAACGGAAATTATTGAAATTAAATAGGCTTCTTCATCTCACTAATTTGGACGAGGGGCGGACAGACGCGAGGGCAATATACATCCGCATCTGGCATTTGTGCTTTTTCTTCAAAATGTTTTTGCATGTTTACATATCACTTCAAATGGTTTTCAGTGAAAGGGAGTTCAATATCTATTAAATCTACCTTTGATGTGATCATTTTATTGGAAACTTTCGTGGGGGACAGAGGTTGTCGTAAACATGTTTTTTCATCTATCTTTTCACCACCTGCATTATCAGATTTGAGTAAAACAGGAGCTTTATGAGCTAATCCAAAATCTACCAGAGCATATCTGAAAATAGAATATACTTGATATATTATATTAGGGATCGTGCCATAAAGTAATCTTTCTTGTTTAAACAAAAGAAAGTAAAAAGTAGACGTAGCAGTGATTGTGTTTATAGACATTCTGATCTATCCATCATTAACAATCGATTTTTAGTTTAATATTCTTGCACAATATGGCAGATGTCGGGTATATAAAACACTGTTGAATTAACCCGTTCTGGTCGGGTGTTAAAATCAAAGTTTAAAATAAAGGTTATGGAATAGCATTAGATGAAGATCATGGCTATTTTGTTATCTTTAATGCCAGGTTTATAGAAAACTGAGTAAAAAATATGAAATGAAATGGGGTTTAACATCCTACTGTTCTGCTCTGACTGGGCTAATGAAGAAGGGCATATGCCATAGAGTGTGCTATGAGCAACGCTAGGGCCTACTGTCAAGGGATCTTTTACGTGCAAGCCAATGTCTACACCAGACCTCGGTTTTCCGTCCCATTGGACTGACTATATGTTGTCCTTTGCAAGACCCTCTGTCCTGCACCACTGACAAGGGGGAACCATGATGGAAAATTCTGATGAACTTTCACGGCCGACATGTAAAAAATATGTGTTATCTCGACACAAGTTGAGCAGTTAGTGTGTCGATGTCTATTTCATCAAGTTACTGTGAAAAAACAAATTCTAGATTGAAAGGCAGACATGTGCATACAAATCTCCAAATAATAAAGTAAGTACGTACTGTTTTGTATTTCGATTATATAAAAAATTACTAGGTTTAACATCTCTATGTATAACATCAAACTGATGTACTCGTTGTAATGATAATAATAAATTCTTCATATAATTCTTTACCTCTGCTGTACTCATGTTCATTACATAATTCTACAATAATAATATACCAGTATCCCAATTAGTCACAGTCTAATACTTTTACTGACATGTATCATACACCAGACAGGGTATACTTAGTATCAGAATATATTTGACAGGTTTCACACTGCTAATAATTTATGTTGCTTGGATAAATAATTCAGTTAAATTGTACAATAGGAATATATATTGCTTCATGCTTTACAGAAAAGGATCTCAGGTCTTATAGATTTAATATATATATATATATATATATATATATGGGATATTGCCTTTTCATTAGCTTAAGTGTTAAAATCAGTGCCACAATTTAAACTCTCGGCAAACAAAAAGTTGACATAGTAAAAGCACATTATCTTAGTTTCATTCATGTAAAATGAATTTTTGCATACCTGGAATTTTTCATGTGGGAAATATGGCATCACTATAACAACGTGATCTCTGTTCCTTAGACATAATTCTACACCCATAACATTATCACATCCACTGTAAACAAAATAATCACATTATTTAGTTATCTATGTACAAAAATATAACATTATTTAATTAACTACTTGTACACAAAAATTCCAATATCATAAAGTGAAATAATGTAAAATTATTGTCACTTACAGTATATTCTTGTTCTTTTAAAATATAAAGTTGCTAGATTTATATGCTAGTAAAGGCAAGTCCTATTTCAATGGAGCTTAATGTAAAAACATCTCATCTCAGGGGTAGATTTTTTTTTTTATCTACTTTTCATTTTTCAAAATTATTTGGATTCAATTACCATGTTCCTGAAGCAACCACTGCGAGTTTTAAAACATCTAGATGTCGCTAGACTGGTATACAATTTTCGAACTAATAGTTACATTATCTCCCTTTTACCGCAGACATGTGAACAGTAGAGTCCAATCAGAGGTTGTGACACAAACACACTGAAATCAAACATGGCGACCACCACGGAAACCTTGACATTGAACGAACCTTTGAACTTTGCAACTCGATTATCACAGGTAGACATTTTAGCTGGAAAGCTAGGTCGGTGGCCAATCAAAATTAGTGCCAATCAGAGGTTGTGACACAAACACACTCAAATGAAACATGGCGACCTCCACGGAAACCTTGACATTGAACGAACCTTGAACTTTGCAACTCTATTATCACAGGTAGACATTTTAGCTGGAAAGCTAGATCGGTGGCAAATCGAAATCAGTGCTGAAATATGCAGGGTATTATGTGAAGGGCTTGATAAGATTTACTGAGTTAAAGCGAGATCAAGCCTTCTATTGAACTAAATTCTTGATCCCTGTCATCTCTACCTTCAAAGATTTTGGTCTGAGCTTCATAAGACTGGTATACAAATGAGAGAGATTTGACATTCACATTATGAACCAGGTCATTTTTAACTATGATTCGCTTTTGCACAGAGGGTCTTTAGCTGTGTAAGGAAACAGGTCATGGAGAAGAGCAATATCACAACCATGACACTTTATCACTCATCCATCAATTTTTATTCATTGAACATTTTGTGAGCTTACCCTATTTCTTGTAAACATCTTAATTCCCCTTCTATTCTAGATGGATGACTAGTAGGTATAATATGTTTTAAAGCAAATTTCTCTTCTACATCAGGATATTTCTTTAATTTAGCTAAGAAAACAGAACTGAAAGTACCTAAAATACAAGAAAGTTCAATTCACATGTCTTATTCTAACATTCCCTGATAATAGATGATTTTCTTATCAAATAATTTTCATTTAATTCTTTCTGTCAGTATCTGTAACCTTTTGTAAGATGTTCCTGTATTGTTTATTTGGTCTGTATTTTGTCCTGTATGGTCTATAATAGTTTTGAAAAACGATGAATCACAATGAAATGAAATGGGGTTTAACGCCCTACTGTTCTGATTCGACTGGGCTAAAGAAGACGGATGTATGCCATACAGTGTGCTATGAGGGCAATTTTGCCCGGACAGCAGCACTACAGCCTACTTATAGAGCTTATTCCAAATGTCAAGGGTTCTTTTACGTGCATGCCAATGTGGACACAGGACCTCCCTCTGTTTTGTTTCCCATCCGAACAACTATGCAATGTCCCTTGCCAGACCCACCATCCTGCACCACTGACAAGGGGAATCATGCTAGAAAATCCTGAAGAACTTTGCCGGCCAACACAGGGATCGAACATATAACCTCAAGTGTAGAGACGTCTTGCGCGCTGATCCACCAAGGCTCGCGATGGATCACAAGTTGGTTTCATTAATTAAATATTTTCAGTTAAATCCTATAATACAAATTATAACTGGTTTAATGTTAATTCACCAAATTCAGTATTTATGAAGCTAACTTTACTATTTAACAAATAAGATACATATACTATGGATACCAACCTTCTCCTATCTTGTTTAATACTATAAAATGTTCAGATACTTCAGGTACAAACTCATATAAACAATCTATTTCTTCTTGAACATCAACTTAAAATATAAAATAATCATTTCATGGTAAGAAAATTAATTATGTAATGTTGGAATGTGTTAGATTCTTGTTTGAGGACTACTTATTGCTAACAATTTTTGCTGTACTTTTTTATTTAACGCTCAAAATGATTTAGTACAGTTAGTACAGGGCACATGTACATGTATAATATCAGCAGTTGATAAAGTGAGAGGAAAACGGGTTTAACATCTTATTTTTCTACTTGTCATTTGAAAATATCACTTGGATTCCACAAGTAGACGAGTGTAATTTTAACCTCTGTATTATTGTGCTACATATGAGAACCATGATCTGATTTCATTTATATAACTTAAGTACAATACTTACTGGGGATATGGGATACAGAGTTCATTTCTTCTTTAAATTTCAAACAATAATTCTTGTGCCACATACTGAAGCTATGTCTACTGAGCATTTATTGGATTATTAATAAAAGTTTAAAACAAATCTTACCAGGTAAAGGGTCTGGAGAAGAAGGGAATGATTCTCTTTGCCTTTTGATGCCACACTCTTGACCATAAGCACCTTCTGGAATACTTATTGAACTTAAAATAGATGTACTCGACATATGGACTGATTTGGATTATATTGTAGTGTTTCTCTGTGAAGAATTAATTTATTGGTACACCTCAAGTTCTTCATATAATATATCTTCTAATTAACCTGGCGAAAACAATATAAATATTCTATTATAATATTTTCAGATACAGTTCTTGTAAAGTACTTGGTAAGCTTGCTGAGCCCTATATCTACACAACCTTACACTGTGAATGTATTAAATCATTCGGCCACTCAACCCCCTGAATGGAACTACTAATGAAATATATATTAATATTATAAGTGATTGAACAAGTTGGAATTGAATTCTCTCAATCCCTCAATCAACTAAACATTAGAATTCTGAGTACCAAGGCATGCCTCAACAACATATTATACGATTACATGACATTTCGATCCTGAAACATTTCAGACTTACAACCTTTCAAACTCAAAAAAATATGGCCTTGACGTTTTGGACTTGGGCAGGTGACATTGAGGAGCGACACTTAGCTTTGAACAACCAGTAAGGCTAATATCTTCAGGCGCAATAGAGTAATTTGAATGAAATTTTCAAATTATTCATTTTACATTATCTATTTTCGAACTTTATCTAAATCTTACATAATGTATCTTTAAGAATTGCAGCCTGTGGGTGACACACAAAAAGAAAATGGACGTTGCTATGTCCCTGGGGGTTGAACATGCACTACAAACAATAGGGTATAAGGAATAAGTATGCAAAGTTTCAAAAGGATTTGTTAGAAATTGCAGTATGGAGGCAACACACAGACACACCCAAAAACTGGGTGTGGCCCTGTTCCAGGGGGTCGGGCATGCACCAAAGATAATAGAGATCATCCTTAGTGCATAAGGAATAAGTATGAAAAGTTTTCAAGACAATCGATTAAGAATTGCGGTCCGTAGGCGACAGACAAACACACAAAAAGAAAATGGACGTGGCTTTGTCTCTGGGGGTTGGGCATGCACCAAAAACAATTGTGACCTCTAGTGTGTCAACAAGCTAAAAACGTAATTTTTCGTACAATTAGGGGCTATAATTCATGAAATTACAGTCCGATACATGCCAATTTCGAAAGGGACTGAGATCTTTGGGAGATAGACCTATGTTTCAAGTTCCTTCAAAATCGGATAAAAATTGTGACCTGTAGAGTGTTCACAAACAAACTGTGAACAGACACACGAATGGACGGACAGACACATGAATGGACAGAGGCAATCACAATATACCTCCACATGAAAATGTGGGCGTATAAAAAACAGATGTTTAAATTATATATCCCATAAATTTTCAACAGTCTTTGATAATTTGATAATTCAACTGAGTCCGAAAAGTCATCAAGTAAGTCTGAACCATCGTGACCATCGTCAAACTGTTGAGTCCGAAATGCTGCAGGACTGAAATGCCGTGCTACTTATTACCATCTCAACCAATCAACATACAGTAGCTGAAATGTTTGAATACATCTTAGCACATTAATAATTAATTTATATTGATTCTTGATAATTTACAGTTCTTTATGCCAAATTGACATTTTGTATTTAAAATCAGAGTGTTTTTCAAATGGACATTCATGTTTTGTTATGTTGGTTACAACTTCCAAATTTGCTTTGGACTGTCAATCAAGCACTCCGATAAGAGCGATAATGCCTTCGCTACCCTACTGATCTTCTTCCGTCTTGTTCTTGCCACAGTAGTGGACCAACCTAAGGCCTTCTTTTGAGCAAGTTTTGTAGTCAATTGACTAATAAAAGTTACTCATTACTGGCCTGTAACTCCCTTAATTTCCAATAACACTGACCCCAAGCTGTACTGTATATAGCTTAACATATAATAAACCAATTCCCATTGAAGTAAAGGTGAAACCTTAACGTATAATTATATGATTTGATTAAACCCAACTGCTATGCGAAATTTCTGTTCAGATTAAAATCACAGGGTGTCATGTTACTCGAAAAACTGTTCGGTAAGCTTAAGATAAGATTATGATTTCAGTGTTCCACCCTTCACTATTACTTATTTTCGGTATAAATCTAAAAGATGAATGATAATCTTTCAATTTCGATCATATTTATAGCTAGATAACGCTTTAGATCAAAGTAATTAATTTTAATTGTTCATGTATCTATCTTCTTACTTAAATGTGTAAATACAACTCAACTCTCACGTCATGTTTTTATTACTAATCCATAACAATTAATTGCATGTTTATTTAATAATAAACAATAAAGTACATGTTTATTGAACAATAAGTAAGTGTTTAACAGTTTATTCGACAATAAATACAACTCAGTTAATTAACTGCTATTATAATAACAAGGGGGATGAAACAGCTCGATAGAAAATTAGGTTGGGATGAAACAGCCCGGGGTGAAACGACGTGGGGTGAAACGACATGGGATGAACAGACCCGCATCCCTTATTTCCATGCAAACTGTGAGGATATGTTGAAAATTATGCAATAGAACCTAATTTTACTTGCTCAACAAAGCCTAGAATATTGTATCAATTGCAGCCGTAGATAAGAATTATCACGGCTAAAAATTGCAGGTAAGCTAGCCACTAATATAAGCCACAGTAACATCCACTGCCTGCAGACTAGTTTCGGTGGATACTCATACTGGATTGTTAAAGTATGTTGCTGTCTCAGTCTGTAACTTGTACACATGTAAGTGTAGTCTACTCTTAATACCACTTGGAAGTTAGTTCCGGATAGTGGAGGACACAAACCATATACCTCCGAAAGTTTTCCAAAGAACTGGGATTAGATAGGCCAAGTCTACTCCTTCTAGACTCAGACTCGGGATTCCGGATTGGTCATTATCTATTATCAATGGACATTATTATATCATTCATATATATATATGGAGCATTTTTTACGGTCAATAGTCTACGGACTGCAGTGCTTTACCTCTAAACTAACTCCGTTCAACTGCTGTCAATGTCGTCTTGTCTTCACAGGTTTTTATACTATTAATGCAACTAATAAAAATAAAACAACAAACAATGACCCCCTTACCTACACGTAAAAAATGAATTACGCGCCAGATTAATATAAACTTCCGGTCTCTATTTTCGAAGAGCGCATGCACGGAAGTGGATCACACGTGTTTTGCAGAAAACATCAACAAACTTCAACTTGGCAATTATATTTTTATCGATCACACTTCCAAATAAAACAAATTAACTATGGATAAGAGCAAAAGTAAAAAGTCAAAGACATTTAAATCGAAACCTAAGGTATATTTATCTCACAATTCATGCCATTATTGTTTATTTGAAACAGATGACAGTCTGCACCGACTGAGCTAATGAACAAAATGTTCAAAATGAAGATAAGATCAAGATGGGCATCATATATATATATATGTGCTATGAGGAAAATGTTGCTCTGACACCATACAGAAGTACTAGGACCTACTCTTATTCTAACTGGATTCTTTTACGTACACACCAATGTGTACACGGGACCTCGGTTTATCGTTCCATCCCAACGACTATATGCTCTCACTTGCCAACTAGGCCCTATCTCCTGCACCACTCCACTGACAAGAGGAAAACACTGAAAAATCCTGATTAACTTTCTTGGTCAACTGTACAGGGATCAAAGGGACCTCCGGTTATAAGTGAGTCAATCAATGTCTTACTCACGGATCCAACCTCATGGGTTTTCTCCCGGTCTTCCGGTTTCCTCCCACTGCTAAAGACCCCTACGCGCAAGCAAATTATTAAAATAAAATTAAACCATATGTTAGTCCCGAAATGACCTAGTTTGTGTTGAGTGGAGGTTAAACCCCATCTCTCTCTCTCTCTCTCTCTCTCTCTCTCTCACTCACTGAGGCACCAAGGCTCCCCATTTAGATACTGTCCTTAACCCTTAATAAAAGGGATTCAGGACAACCAAGATACTAAATGACAAACACTGAATGATTTTATTATATGTTATTGTTTATAATACAAGAAAGAAGACCAGTTGGTCCATTTTATCAACTCATGGATTGCTCGCATTCGAGGGTCTCTTGGCCTAGTGACCTATGAGTATGGTTGTATACATACCCTTGGTGTAGTGGAAAATACCCTTCGGATAAATATAATAAAAGCCATAAATGATGACCGCGTGGAAATATTGCATGTTATATTTGGCATGGTACCTTATGTTATTTAGTTATAAATTAAGAGATCTAAATGACAGGCCTAAAATAATACAGTGCTTGGTATGTCAGATTAAAAAGAAAAAGATATCAATAGATAACATCAAATCAAAGGTTTATACTAATAATTTTAGTTGGGGTTGTTAAAAAGCATTCAAGCAGAGAATAACACAATGAAAATAAAATGAAGCAACAGGATAATTCAATTCTTGGCTGTTATTAAATAGGTACCATTACCGTTAATGAGGGAAACAATAATGAGTTAACTCTCGAGTCTCATGTACAAGGAAACTGATATTTTGTCTATATAATAATTTAAAGAAGCTAAATCGCTAATATTTTGGATCTAGAAATTGACACAAATGGGTCGCAACGCATATAATAATGTAATGTGAATGTATATAAATGGATTTACATTCAATCGTTTCTGTTTTTACTGCAATTTCTAATCAGTTATGTTCGGCGAAATACGCCAGAAGTCTAAATCGAATGGCACTCTCTAGCGTCTGGTTATTCCACTCTATACCGATAGTATTCATTGCGCATGCTCTCCAGATAAGAATATGGCGTCACCATTTGACATGTCTTGTGGAATATATCTAGCCTCTTTCTACGAGTCCCTTATTAAAAATGGGGCCGAAATGCACCATGGTACACGATTCGTGTACCAACGGTAAAATGTTTATTTTGTCCTAATTATTGGATATCAGAAGCCCATCTTTTCCCGGTAAGATCACAACATCAATGTTGATTTAAATTGACAAATAATTTGTGTTTTCAATGTCAAAGATTTTGGATGATATTGAGTTAGAGACTTAGCTACTTTAAAACTAGTCCTTGTTTCATGTTATTTTACAGGCCAGTGGGAAGAAATCAGTGCAGTATGAAACAAGTGCTGAAGATAAATTTGGCAGCAGTCACAAAGGAAGACGTCATCGGTTTTCTATATCTCATAAATACGTCAACCCATTTCCAGATAATAATAAGACTTCTACAGACAATGATCAAATGGTACAGGAGTTTACTATAAATCTGGGACAACTAAGTGAGTCAAAGGTCAAGCATCATGTCAATAACTGGTCTAAAAGAAAGAAATGGCTACAATCAGATGATAAACCTGGCAAACCTGAATCAAAAACAAAAAAAAGGCGAAAACAGAATGCAACAGAATGGAGGAAAGATAAAAAGAATAAAGATTATCAAATCAGTAGAGAAGTAAGTTTTACTTACCCTGAGTGATGGCTAAGAATAACAAAGATACGTTCTAGTATTTTTGATGGGACAGAAAAAAAGTTTCAAATTATTCATAACGATTGCTTGAAAACAAACCTGTATGCTATTATTAGAATTAGAAAAAAATAAAAATAGGCATGACAAATTTCTAATCATATTATATTCTCACTTCTACTGTATCACTGAGATCCACGCTGACTTGCACTGTTTCAGAGATTTTTCACCCACTACTATGGCTTTTAGTAAGAAGTTGACTCGTCATATATTATATTGTATATGACATAATTTGGCAATATCCACTGTTTTGATTTTTACAGCTAGAAGATCCATTTCCTGGAAATGCACCGGTTGATCCCAAAAAGCTAGAGAAATATAGAAGAACTGATACGGATGAACTGGTAATTATATTTTACTGGTAGTATGTAAATATATTGTGAATATGTTTATTGCAAACAGGAAAGCCTGAAAAGGGGTGTTGTTTTATATGCAGCAAGTGCTATCTTGAAATTGACAATGTGGACAAATAAAACAAAAAGATGAAGATTGTCATTGGCACTTCCCTGTCTTCATTAACTTGGTGAAGAAAAATGGGATGTTAAATCCCATTTCATTTCCTGTTCACATATCGACAGACCATTACAAGAATTACAGATGGCAAAGTGGAATCAGTAGAAAATAATATGAACTTTGCATTATGATTGATAAATTTTCAAGTCTATATTTACTGTTTAATATAGAATTATAGGTCTTGAATTACCTTTTGGTAGTTTTTAAGGCAGATGGAAAGATTATGAGGTGACTGTAATCCTTAAGCTTTAAGAGCTGAAAAGCAATGCATGGTTTGATACCACTGAATTTGATATACTGTAGTGAAAAGCAATAATTCTGATATATTCAGATGTACAAATGTCAAGCTCACAAAAATATATGTGATGAATTTATTGAATTTGTTTCACAGAAAGAAGCTAGAATGTTGTCAGCTAAACCAGAGATGAGACTTACTAAAGCTAAAACAGACTATGCTGTAGAATTATCAGCTAGATCAGATTTTCTATTACCAGATAATTCTGGGTAGGTAATAAATTCAATCTTTGGAATTTAAATGTTTTCTGTATGTTTTTTTTCTTATCAAGTTTAAGTAAAAATAGTTATATCCCACAAATCCAAAACAAACTGAAGAGAAAGTAAAATAGTTGTATATTTGTAAAATGATGATAATATTACTATGTGGGATATTATACCATACATTTTATACAATTATACATGTACTGTATAATTTACAATATATATGATATTATACTGTTATGTTGTAATATATTTGTAGTGGTATAGAAGCTGAAGAAGGAGAAGATACAGCTGATTTAAAACAGTATGACATCATAAATGCTGTTGATATAACTAGTGCTTCTAAGGTAACAATGTAAAATACCCTTGAAGAACCAATAATTTCATTTTGATATTGATTATGATTTTCCATATTCAAAAAGCCACTACAACATGTATGCTGACTGAAGATCATAGTCTACACATATCATCTGGTTGTATTCATGAGCTACCAATAAGGAAAGTTTAAGCAGCACCTTCTTTCCAATCTTTGGTGTTGCAAAAAAGATTATTCCCAAATTAAAAAAAATATTTTGATTGTGTATGAAATGTACAGAATCAAGGATCAAAGGAGCCATCCAACCAAACCCTTAGTATTATTTCTTGCTCAGTGGTCATTTGCAACCCCTTCACTTTATAATCCAGTACATGGTCCCTTTGTTACTGTGATAGAGATGCTCTCAACTCATTGTATTTGTATTATTTTGCTAAAAGGACTAACAAATGACACAAATTGACGGGCCAGATACCTAGTGCAGTTCATTAGTGATTATTGGGATTGCACTAACAACACAGTGACTCAACTTAGACATATCCATTCTACAACCATCTATTGGTTTATTGATTTATACAGATCATCTCTGTTTAATTTACAGTCTTTTGATTTGAAACTACCCTTGTTTGGTCCATATCATATGAACTACAGTAGAAATGGAAGGTATGTTTATAGTTCTTTAGTAACACATTATTTGTGAGAATCAAAAGTCAGTGATAGACTGATGGAGTTGTATCCTCTTTTTATACCCCCACATGGAAATGTGGTCGTATATTATCGTTGCTTCTGGCCGTCATGCACAATTTCTTGTGAACACTCTACAGACTACATTTATTATCTGATCAGTCTGAAATATATATATATATTGTTTGAAGAATCCTATTTAATGTCAGCGATTTCCAATTATAACTTCTAGTGGTATGGCCCTTGTTTCACTTTTTTATACCTTGTGAACTCTCTCACAACTTAAGTTATCATCCGATCTGTATTAAATTTACATGCATTATTTAAATTAGTAAAACAGAGAAACCTATTGAATTTCAGCAATTTCTGCTTAGAACTTCTAGAGTTATGGCATTTGTTTCACTTTGTTGAACCTTGTGAACGCTCGAGCTACAAAATTTGTCGTCTGATCTGTATTAAATTTACATGCATTATTTAAATTAGTAACACAAAGAAGCTTATTGTTATTCCGAGGCATTTTGCTGAATTGCTTGAGATGAAAATGAATGAAAATTCTTTCATAGATAAAACCCACACTGGAGGTCTAAAAATGAAATTAAAATTTGTAATCACTAATGCAATGAAAATTTAATCCTTGACATCTTGCACTTACTGAATTTAGTCGATGAAATAAACATATAAGAATTTCAGATAAACTTATGTTGGAATACATAATTAAGATATTAACTTGATTTTATAGATTTCTGTTATTGGGTGGAGGCAAAGGTCATGTGGCAGCTATTGATTGGCAGACTAAAAAACTTATGTGTGAAATGAACGTGATGGAGAGAACGCATGATGTAAAGTGAGTATTGATGTATACACTTACCATAATATATAATCCTGCGTCACTTCAAAAGGGCAGCATGACCTGTTTTTATTTTAAAAAATTAAAAATAAAAACAGACTCATTAATTGCTGCATGTAAATATTTTTATCCAGGTTACAGGAAGCAAATCTATATATAAAAAAATTGAATGAATCCATAGGCTCATCGATAAATGTTAATGACAATCATAAATGATGCTGGATAATCATACATTCTTATAAACAACACTTTGATGCGTATATAGAAGTAGCCAAGTAGTAATCCTTTGACAAAAATATAAAAACACAAAAATAAAAACCTCACTCCTGCATCAGATTTTTGGTAAGCATTGTCTAAGAACCAGAATTTTTTTTTGTGTGGTCTCAATTTTGACAGTGATGCAGGATGGAGAGCCTGACAAGGACAGCTGTCTACTCGTTCGGATGGGATGGAAAACCGAGGTCCCATGTACATATTGATGTGCACGTAAAAGATCCCTTGACAGATGGAATTCGATATAAGAGTAGGCCGTAGTGCAGCTGTCCAGGCAAAATTTCCCTCATAGCACACTGTATGGCGTATGCCTGTCTTCATTAGACCAGTTCGGAGCAGAACAGTAGGTTTGAGTGTCCCAATAAACTGAATTAAGAAACGCAAAGGAATATTGAACATACTAATTTATATGATACAATCAAAATTTTATTCCAATAGAAATATTATGTTCTTGCATGATTTGAAGGATTTCTCTGAATTTATGTCGAAATTGATCAGTAAAATTTGCCCAAAAATCATACTTCTGCTTGAAAATCTGTTTGAAAAAAGTGTGGAATGGGAAGCCCTAGCGACCCCTGTCCTGTTTAATATCAGTATGATTAGAATGATCAATTTATTTCATTACTGTCTATGTGTTTCAGATGGTTACATATAGAGACTATGTTTGCTGTAGCACAGAAAGAATGGACATATATTTACGATAATCAAGGCATTGAATTACATTGTTTAAAAGCTTTAAATAAACCTCTACGAATGGAGTTTCTACCTTACCACTTTCTACTGGCTACTGGTGTAAGTTGATTCTAAGGCCATACAAAAAAATATTCTTGTTCAGACACTCCTGTGTCACTTAAAAAGGGCTGCATGACCCGTTTTTATTTCAAAGAGTAAAATTCTCAGTAATGACCTCATGTAAATGTTACTGACAAACATAGATGACACTAGATACATGTAATCATACATTCCTGTAAACGGCAGGAAGTGACTTGTAGTGACTTGAAATTCATTTAGCCCATTAGTGTCTTGATCCTCTGACAAATGAAAACACAAGAATAAAAATCTACCTCCTGAATCAGATTTTTTTTTTGAAGGATTGTCTGAAAACCAGAATATTATTTTTGTGTAGCCTAAATATAAATGGTCTATTCTACCAGATATTTCTTTTTCATTGTCTAAGATTTTACTTGATAACAACCAACCATGATTATAAGGGTAATAACCGGTATAAAAATGTAGTTGTGTGAGTATTTTGTGCAAATAAGCATGAAACATTTATAGTAAATAGGTTGATAGAAAGCAGAGGTTATGGGATTCTCTGTGTCCAAGATACCAGGGTAACAAGTGTGTGGCACTTTGACATATCCCTTACTGGTTTGAGTAAAGCTTATTATAAATGTCATTGATATAATTTGATGTAAGACATGCATTGATGTAAAACAATAATTTAACTTGTCGGTCTGACATACTCAACAGTCTGCAAGATTTAAGATTGACCATATCTAAATCTAAATGTATATATATTTATTTTATATTTCAGTCATCTGAAGGGTTTTTATCATATTTAGATGTATCTGTTGGTAAACTAGTAACTAGTACTAGAACAGGTTATAACAGATTAGATGTTATGTGTCAAAATCCTAGTAACGCTGTTATACATTTTGGTCATGCAGGAGGTTAGTCATTATCTGTACATAGTGTAATTGTGTGATTTTGTTTTGATTTACCAGTTACTAGTTTTCCTCTTTTTAATGTCTGAATCTGTTGATATTTGAGTCACATTTGAGCTCCATTTTAAGTCTTGACAATAGGTCTAAATCACATTGAATGAATTCAGTCAGGAGCTCTTCAAAGAATGTTGACAAAATATTTTTTTTGTTTCTTTTAACTAAGGTACTGTTACATTGTGGTCACCCAATGTTAAAAAACCTCTAGCGAAGTTATTATGTCATCATATGGGTGTGACATCAGTAGCTGTAGATAATAGTGGAACGTAAGTTTTCCATTTAACATATTTACTATTCTCAATAAAAACGAAACAAATAACATAACAGCAGTTCAAAAACAAAATTTACAAAGTTTTTAGGGGTGTTTTTTTTTTACCAACTTGACTGGTAATAAGAATAAACCCTGTTGAGTATTGCATAAAATCTTTTTCCACTAGTCATACAAACTTCGTAATTGCTCTACAAGAAAGATTTTTAAATATTTTTATTGCCCTCTGAGTGGCAATTCAGGAAGAATGTTTCAAAAGTGCTGGTATTGTTCAGTGTCATAGTAAAAGTTGGTGTGCCCAGGGCCCTTATTCACGAAAACTTAAACTAAGTTACAACCAAAATTTTAAGAAATACTGCAACTTCATTGGATATATGCAAAGTGATTTTACTGGTCAGCCAATCGAATTGCAGTATTTCTTAAAATTTCGATTGTATCTTAGTTTAAGTTTTCGTGAATAAGGGCCCAGGGCAAAAGTCAATTTAAGCATATCTTGACGCAAAAGAGTCCTGTTTCAAATAGGCAATTTCAGTAATCTGTAACGATGAAAGAGGTATACACCTCCTTGCCTGGCAACTTTTCTTTTAACTTCTGACCCTATATATTTTATGTATTTCTCAACATTTATTTTAGCTATATGGCTACATCTGGAATGGATAGGCAGTTAATGTTATGGGATCTAAGAAATTATAAATGTTTACATAAATACAGAATACAATCAGGAGCTGGCCATTTATCATTCAGTCAATCTGGTCATCTAGCTGCATCTATGGGTAGTGTTGTTCAGGTTAGTAATATTGGTGTCTTTATCACCAGTGTAAAACGTAAGGTATCCAGAGAAAGTTAAAATGAGACTGCTTCTAGCCATTTGAAGTGAATATAAAAGATTCATTGACAGATGAATTTTGCAAAATGATGGGTAGAGCATGGGGCCCCCATTTCAATCATAATTTCGAGTCTTGACTGATTTGCAGTGAAATTGATCAAAAAAGAGGACCCCCCCTATAGATTGTGCATTTTCGCAAAAATAGTACCAGAGTTATTGCCTCTTGCTGATTGTTGTAATAACTGTTTTTGGAAAAAAAGAGATCTAGAGTTATTGCCTATGGCTATGACATACTATCACTGATACCAGACATTCCTTATTCATACTTCATCTGTAGAGGAAAGAGTCTAATAGATTTTATACCAGCTTTATAAGTCATTAAAATCTTCCATCATGCCCTATAGATCAATGTTTTTACAATCTTTTTCAAACTTCCTGGGATTGTTTGACTGGTCAAAATGATAAAGCTCTATGGCTCTACTGACATTTAAGTTTGGAGTGGGCATATGTATCTTTGCCTTACAACCCATGTTAAATTATATTTTCAGGTATACAGTGATGCGTACAGACAGAAGATTAAATCCCCTTATTTAATACATAGATTAGACAGTTGTATATCAGGTTTACAGTATTGTAATTATGAAGATGTTTTAGGTGTGGGACATAGTAATGGTTTTAGTAGTCTACTAATTCCAGGTAGGCTGATTGTAGTATTTTCTCACATTCTGTTTGTAAGCAACAATTCTGTTTAATTACCTAAGAATAAGATAATTCATATTGAAACTCTGGTTCATTCCCCAAACTTTAATTTTCGGTAAAAGTACATGTGTTGAATTAAATTTGACATGTCCATTTGTTTTGTAAAGTGGGTATTTGTCTACATATTGAAATATAACTGATTTTTTGTTAAAGACACATTGTCCCGAAAGTATTTATCGAGTGGTTATTTCCAATAAAAGTATGGTTAGTTTGTTATACAGTAGAATCTGTATGAGCAACCACTCCTATTCAGCGATATCTCCTTGTAAGCGGTCACGATTAATTCCCCCCTGTAGAAATTCTGTTGTTTCATCTCTTTAATCAACAGTCACTCCTCTGACGCGGACAGTGGTCACTGTTTTAGTTATAAATTTAACAGTCATGAACATTCCTGTGAATGGCTGCTTAATACAGATTCTACTGTATATGGAAAGTATAGACACCCAATCTTACTTGAAAAATACTGGTGAAAAACACCCATGGGGCAAGCATTGGGCAAAATGTCAGGGTATCACTAACTGGCAACCCGACTGTTGTCTGCCAGCTTAGTGTGTACTAGCAAAAATACATTCTGAGAAATGGACCCTCCCTCAATAAAGTGAGGAGACAGTAATGGCTTCTAACGACAGTTTATTTATAGCTTGAGGTATCTCACTGCAGGTATAAAGTTTTGAGAGGGATTTGAAGCAGATTTTTGATAGATTAATTAGTTTGAATATATCATCAAATCACCCAGTTCGTACACAGGAAAGTATCTTTAAACAATCAACAGTTTACACCAAAAACAAAATCAATGCAATTCAAGGTAGACTAATGGGCATGAAATAATTTTCAAATGTGTAAGTTGGCACAGGGAAGGGGCTAGTTATTTTTGAAATTCCAATTTTTTGATGTTTCATGAAATTTATTTAAAAACATACTCCTTTACATGTATATACCGTAATAATTATTTCCAGGTGCTGGTGAAGCTAATTTTGATGGTTTTGAAGCTAATCCTTACCAAACAAAGAAACAGAGACGTCAAGCAGAAGTTAAGATGTTATTAGAAAAGGTGAAATTGAGTTATTTTAATTGAAAACATTATAACTATTAATTATAATCATGTAACCTTGATTAAGTGCTTGGCTTGATGCACATATGACAATGGCGCTTGATGCATATGGACAAATCGCTTATGAGAATGGGATTTGATGAGAATGGGTTATATCTGGGACCATTAGCTAACATCATCTGTTATTCTCCATGGTAAATAGCATAATTAAACACAGTTTTAATATCTTGTGATATCAGTTCAATATAACTCCTGATGATATGTATTTATAATTTCCAGGTACAACCAGAAATGATTACTCTTGACAACACAGCTTTATCAAAGGTTGATACTGTTACCATGGGAAGAGATTTAGAAGAAAGAAACAAACTAAGGGTTGGTATTTATATCTTGTTTCAGTAGTTATCTGATAAGGGAGTCTTCACACTTTAAATTGTGTCTACTGAATGCAGCGGAGCCAGTCCTGGTTTGACAATGGGATAGGGGCTCCAACCCCCACAACCAATGTCAGTCCCGCAAAATGCAATGAATGAGGGCTTGATCTGAGGAGTTCTGAATTAGTCCAAGTGGAACCGTTGAGCCTAAATGACATTTCTTCCCATGTACATGTACCAAAATATCGGGAGGGGCCATCAGGATTAGGCTAAATCACAGCACTGGTGTCCTGGATATATGCATTTCTTACAATACCCCTCATTCATCAGAACGAGACTGGTTGCATCCGGAAATGTGGAATTTGACAACGCCGCCTGGTTAATTAGGCCCGGAGCTGAGCAGCAGTCTTTTGTTATCTGTATTTCAGGATGTATTCTTAGTATTACAGTATTTACCATGTGATTTATTCTATGTGACTCTGTGACTTTGTTGTGTTTTTCAGTATTTGATCTATGCCATATTTTTTCCCCCGTATTTCAGTATTTGGAGGAAAAGAAGATCAGTTATACACCTAAATATAGAATGAAGGGTAAGAGCAGTGGATTAAAACGTGAGAATCGTAAACAAGGTGTTAAAAACCGAGTGATTAAAGATGATATTAAGGAAATATTGAAAGAAAAAAGACGAGATAATCGTGAGAAGAAACTACTGAATCAAAGAGGTCCAAAACATGTTCTTGATAGATTTAAAAGAAATAAAGAATAAACTAGTTTTGTATGGATTAAAATATGTACATATACGAATTAAAATATTGCAAATCTACTATATTTTAGTTTGTTGAAATGTTATTTACAGAATATTGATTCCTATAATGCAGTAAATTGTGGAAATGGAGATGTCCCATGAACACAACTAAACTTTCGAACCGAATATAATATGGACATGTTTATTGTCCCCCGCCTTTCGAAGAAAGAAGGGACTATTAAAATGGGTTCGTCCGTCTGTCTGTCTGTCACACTTTTTGGGACACAATAACTCTTTCTAATTGAGCTACAATGTTCAAACTTGGTGTAGGTGTTTATTAGGCCAATGCCTTGATGGAGTTCAAAGATGAGCATTTTCGGCTTAGGGTAAGCAGAGATAAGCAATTTGATTGGTTGATGCTTTGGGACACGATAACTTTAGTTCTAATTAAGTGAGAGTGATGAAACGGGGTGTATAGTTTCATTACATCAATACCTTGACTAAGTTCGATAATGAGCATTTTCTGCTCAGGGTAAGCAGAGCGATAAGCCATTTGATTGGTCGAGACCTTGGAACACAAAACTCTCCTAATTGAGCTAGAATGTTCACTCTTGGTGTAGGTGTTTATTAGGCCAATGCCTTGATGGAGTTCGAAGATGAGAATTTTCTGCTAAGGGTAAGCAGAGATAAGCAATTTGATTGGTTGATGCTTTTGGACCCGATAACTTTAGTTCTAATTAAGTGAGAGTGATGAAACTTGGTGTATAGTTTCATTACATCAATACCTTGACTAAGATTGAAGATGAACATTGTCTGCTTATGGTAAGTGGAAATAAGCAATCTGATTGGTTGATGCTTTGAGGCACGATAACTTTAGTTATAATTAAGTGAGAGCGATGGAACTCCGAATATAGATTCATTATATCATTACCTTGACTAATTTTTATGGTGAGAATTTTCTGCTTAGTCTAATGAGCGATAAGCAATTTGATTGGTCAAGACTTTGGAACATAACTATACTTTTAATTGAGGTAGAATGTTTAGACTTGATGTAGATGTTCATTAGGTGAATGTCTTGATTAACATTTCGAGCTTATTTATCTTATTTAATTATTTCGAAGAATATTTTCCTGCGAACTTTATTCAGCAATGTGTCATGCGGCACAATAAATTTATTTGTCTGCGGGACAAAAAATAAAGTTAGTGTTAAATTATTAGATTTATACCGGTCTTTATCCACCTCTCCGTATTACATGCCATTATATTTTCCTCTACTTTATCCAACAAATTGTTCTTTTTTCATAACAAACATTATACTGCACAATATATTTATTTATCTATGGGACTAACATTAAAGTGTTTAATTATAAGATTTATAGACCTCTTTCTCTCTAACGTGCCATTATAAACAGACAGTTGTCTGTGGGGATACAGAGATGGAATCGCTATTCATCTTAAGATTAGGCTAATCGTTAAACAATTCATGTCAAACGTTGATCTTGTGATATCCAGCTATACGTTTTAATTGCCACTGTAGCATTATAAGTAGTTAATATTAACCCTTGTGGGTGCATGTTGTGAGAATCACATAGCAGGTAATGAGGTCCATATGGAAATGAAATGAAATGGGGTTTAACGTCCTACTCATAACCTGGGCTAATGAAAACGGGCATACGCCATACAGTGTGCTATGAGGGAAATTTTGCCCGGGCAGCGGCGCTACGGCCTACTCTTATATCGAATTCCAACTGCCAAGAGATCTTTTACGTGCACACCAATGTGTACACGGGACCTCGGTTTTTCGTCCAATACGAACGACTAAACAGCTGTCCTTGTCAGGGGAAGTTTTAAAACAAATGAAATGGAGTTCAACCAGTTGTTTTTTTGATTTTAGAGAAGAGCCGAAAAAGCTCCCCTAAAACAGCTCACCCAGTTTTGATAAGAAGAGTGTTTTAGAAATTAAGGAGAGTGATTAGTTGTATGTATATGGAAAATGGTTCTGAAGATCAATAACTGCCTGTAAGGTGAGAGAGAGAGAGAAATGGGGTTTAACGTCCACTCGACACAAACTAGGTCATTTCGGGACTAACATATGGTTTAATTTTATTTCAATAATTCGCTTGCGCGTAGGGGTCTTTAGCAGTGGGAGGAAACCAGAGGACCCGGAGAAAACCCACGAGGTTGGACAGGCGACCCTACTTCTTGTCACGTACAACCGGGGATTCGAAACCACGCCAGTTGACTCAATGAGAGGCCTTATGATACAGCGCGCTCGTGCTAACCATTCGGCCATCCAACCCCCCCTGTCTGTAAGGTGTCATTCATGGTTATATAAATGATAACATAGTCTGCATGGCGACGATCGGAATATTAGTCTTTCACACTCTTTTAAAAAAAAACAAGCCAACAGTGAGGCTGATGTCCCCCGCCAAAATAGGAAAATAATTAGAGGACACATATAAATTTATCACAAATTATCTTTTACAAAGTATTGAACAATCAAACAGTTCAACCAATCAAATTGCTTATCTCTGCTTACCCTAAGCGGAAAATGCTCATCTTCGAACTCCATCAAGGCATTGACCTAATCAACACATACACCAAGTTTGAACATTCTAGCTCAATTAGGAAGAGAGTTATCGTGCCCCAAAGTATCAACCAATCAAATTGCTTATCTCTGCTTACCCTAAGCGGAAAATGCTCATCTTCGAACTCCATCAAGGCATTGACCTAATAAACACATACACCAAGTTTGAACATTCTAGCTCAATTAAAAGTTATCGTGTCCCAAAGCATCAACCAATCAAATTGCTTATCTCTGCTTACCCTAAGCGGAAAATGCTCATCTTCGAACTCCATCAAGGCATTGACCTAATCAACACATACACCAAGTTTGAACATTCTAGCCCAATTAGGAAGAGAGTTATCGTATCCCAAAGCATCAACCAATCAAATTGCTTATCTCTGCTTACCCTAAGCGGAAAATGCTCATCTTCGAACTCCATCAAGGCATTGACCTAATAAACACATACACCAAGTTTGAACATTCTAGCTCAATTAGGAAGAGAGTTATTGTGTCCCAAAAAGTGTGACGGACAGACAGACGGACGGACAGACGGACAGACAGACGGACAGACAGACAGACGGACGAACCCATTTTAATAGTCCCCTGCTTTCTTCGAAAGGCGGGGGACAAAAATACACATGTCCACGATTTACAAATAAAGAGAGCGATTTTCAATTTTAAGGCGAGGGAGCTGCCCTCTCCCCCCCCCCCGGTCGACATTTAGGTGTGCGACAGGAGCTCACGTGTCTCGAAATACAATGTCTGGTTTAACGTTCTACTGTTCTGCCCCGAACTGGGCTAATGAAGACGGGCATACGCCATACAGTGTGCTACGAGGGAAATTTTGCATGGACAGCAGCACTACCAAAGTTTTATATATACAATGGACTGTCACATCGGACCTCTGAATACTCCGGCACTCTGTGAAATCCGACATCATTTTCATGTCCTGATTTATTTCCCTTATTATTTCAGCCAAAAAATCTTTAAGTAATCCGTACTTATGACATCAATCAACCGTCCCGTCACACGATTTCCATTAAATCAACACTGTATAATCCGGCCTTCAATCGGTGGGTGTGAAGCCACAAAAGATTAACAAGCAATCACCAATCAATTATCGGTGAGATTAGAACTCACTCGCGTAGGTCTTTGTTGATTAGTTTGATATTTTTATAATCTCTTGTAAGAGAGAGAGAGAGAAATGGGGTTTAACGTCTACTCAACACAAACTAGGTCATTTTGGGACTAACATATGGTTTAATTTACATAATTCGCTTGCGCGTAGGGTCTTTAGCAGTGGGAGGAAACCGGAGGACCCGGAGAAAACCCACGAGGTTGGACAGGCGACCCTACTCCTTGCCACGTACAACCGGGGATTCGAAACCACGCCAGTCGACTCAATGACAGACTTTATGATACAGCGCGCGCCACTAACCATTCAGCCATCCAACCATTCAGCCATCCAACCCCCCCATCTTTTGTAGGACAGTTGTGACCAATACTCAAGAATACCCACAAATTTCCCACAAATTATTCACAGTCGTAAAAATATCACTAGCACCTGTTGGAAACATTCGTTGCACATCCCGATTGAACCTGAATACCTAAGTTTGTTCACCATACGGATCTATCTGAACCGTGTGACGACGACCTGGACATAGAACGACAGATTATCAATGAACACGTGACACCAAAGACAAGTGTGCGATCAACTGAAGACGATGAAGAAGATAAATTAACGACAGACTTGACCTATTCAAAATGCCTATGCATGTTAAATGAAATAAAAATTAATGGAATAAAATTTTGAATGTACAGAATGGTTTATCATTTTTAAAGGGAATAACGTTCTGGGGATTCGAAGCTAAATTATAATAATACTTTCGTGTTTTCAAAGTTACAATAATACCTCCGGTTTTGAGAAAACTGACTATTCCGACACTGCTAATCTGACATATTGTTACGATCCTGTACTTGTCGGATTTGACAGAGTTCACTGTATACCAGAATTAAAGCACAACAAACACATTACTGTTTTTTCTTGATTTATTTTATTTTAATTTACTTCTTCTTGGCAACACCAACAGTTCTTCCTCGTCGTCCAGTAGTCTTGGTTCTTTGACCTCTTACACGAAGACTGAAATAAAAGAGTGAATAAAAAAATACTATTTACCGTTAAGGATAAAATCGGTCCATTTGTTTCTAAATTTTAACAAAAGATAGGTAAATCTTAGGCACCCAAGTTAAAGATGAAGTAACCAACATCATCAATACCCCTAGTTCTTTCATAATCAGGTCATAAAAATGGGGATGTTTGTAATAAATCAGTATAATTATTGTGTCAAAATTTTATTAGTTGCGCTTCTACCCTTTTAAACTGTCATTGCAAATTCTGTTATCTTTTATTTATTGTTTTTCTTTGAAAACTGTTAAAAGCAGATTCAAGTAGTTGTCGTTGTTATCCATCTATTGCTAGAAATAAGTGAACCATCTCCTTTAATGTCTTCTCAACACTTCACTGGAAAATTTTGTCCAATTGTAGCACAATATTTTTCATGCATTGCAAAATGTGAACATAAATCTTGGTTTAGATCCATTCAGTTTATTAGACACATCTTTTTCTTATCTGTCCTTATTTCCCCAAATACATAAGGCCAGGGTTAAAAATATTTCAGTTTGCCCAAACCCGACTCATGATGATTAGGTATGGGTAGGTGAGTAGGCAAATTCTTTTTTTTTGGGGGGGGGGGGGAGGACCAGACTTTGAGAACTAAGTGCAAAAACAAAACAATATTTAAACTCTAACTTTTTTATTAGGCCTAACAAGAACAGTTGAAACAGTCACAACCATTTTGTCCGTTGTCTTCGTGTCTATTTCATCAACAGTGACATCAAAGACGTCCCTCCCTCCATGTCTTACTGTTGTTAAATCGCTGCAACTTGTTCGAAACGATTGGTTTTACTTTATTTTCGGTTTTTATCACTACCGAAGACGACAGTGTAAAGTAATTGTCTGCCATGACACATACCGTTCCTTAACAATAACTATCGCGATAAATAACTAGATTTTACAAAATCATGTGTCGAGTTTGGTGTTACTATGTATAGACATGACAGTGGCTGTTCAATCTCCCGACCGATTATTTTGCGTTTGGGTGTCATTGCCAAGCGTAAAAATAATGCTGTTAAAAAAAAAAAAAAAAATCTTCAAAAACGGCAATAAAAGAATTTGACTCAGCGGCTTTTTTTTGGGTCGGTCGCGTTTGGGCAAACAGACAATCTTTTAATTTTGGCCTAACAGAAGTTGGAAAAAAAACGATGTTCAAATCCTTTCAGTAAATCAAACCTACGGGCAATCTAATTGTTCAGGATCCTTGTCCCAGAATTGCAAAAACTGCCTACAGAGAATAGAATAAAGCAATGTACATACCCCCAGTAATGACGAAGACCTCTGTGTGCCCGGATTTTCTTAAGTCTTTCTAAATCTTCTCGAAGTTTATTATCAAGACCGTTGGAGAGAATCTGTGAGAATTTACCATCCTTAATATCCTTTTGTCTATTTAAGAACCAATCAGGTATTTTATATTGTCTAGGGTTACCCATCACAGTTATAAGTCTTTCAACCTGAAAATACACGTCCTTTATAAAAATTGTGATCCTTCTCCCTGCTATGAGAATTCTATTTTAACTATTACATGCATGTGGTGTAAACAATTTCATGACAACCATACAAAAAAAAAATGCTCAATTACATCTGTTCAGTCCTGGTCCATCAACTTTGTTTTTTTCAGAATAAAATCACATATATCTCTAATTTAATTTCAAATTTCCACAAAAAACAATTGACGGAAATTGATGAAATTCAATAGACCTCTTTCACAAATTTAAATGATGCTTATAAATTTCATATATGTACATATTGGATGATAACTTTCATCAATCGAGCATTAAGAAGTTTGAACAAAGTGAAACAAGAGCCATAACTCTAGAAGTAATTATTGTAAATTGCTGAAATTCAATAGTCTTCATGGTTTCACTAATTTAAATAATGCATATAAATTTCACAAAGATCAGATGATAACTTTTGGGGTTAGAGTGTTCACAAGGTTCAATAAAGTGAACGAGCCATGAGCCATAATTCTAGACGTAATAAATAGAAATTGCTGAACTTCCATAGGATTGTTCTTTTTACTAAATTAAATGGCACATATAAATTTCATAACAGATCGGCAGATAACTTTAAGAGGTTAGAGCGCTCACAAAGTGCAAAAAAGAGAAACAAGGGCCATAACTCTAGAAATATTAAACGGAAATTGCTCAAATTCCATAGGATTCTTCTCTTTATTAATTTAAATGACATGTGTCAATTTCATACAGATCGGCAGATAGCTTTTAATTTTAGAGCGTTCCCAAGGTGCAACAAAGTGAAACAAGTGCCAAAACTCTAGAAGTAATTGACGGAAATTTTTGAAATTCAATAGGCTTCTTTGTTTCACTAATTTAAATCATGCATATAAATTTAACAAAGATCGGGTGATAACTTTTGACGTTAAGAGTGTTCACAAGGTTCAATAAAGTAAAACAAGGGCCATAACTCTAGATGTAATGAACAGAAATTATTGAAATTAAAGAGGCTTCTTCATCTCACTAATGTAAACCACATATATCAATTTTAAAACAATCGGATAATAACCTTTGGAGTTAGAGCCTTCACAAGAAATTGTGGATGACAGACGAACGGATAGGGGCAACGGCAATTACGTCCACATTTCCATGTGGGCACATAAAAATGGATAATCGAGACATTGTTTATTATCGTAAGAAACGACAATCAAGGAAACAGTGTTTTTGCAATTAGGTTTTCAGGGCTCAGAGTGAAGAAATTTGACTGAAATGTTCAGCATATCCTCTTTACGTTATCTATTTTTTAACTATTATAGCGAGAACTGTCAGCTCTTTATCCTTTAATACAATGTTTATTTTACTTACATCTTCATCGGACAATTCTCCAGCCCTTAAACGAATATCAATATTGGCCTTTTTACACATAATGTTTGCAAATCGTCGACCAATACCCTGAAATTTGAAAAGAACCACATAATCTGTTGAATCATGAAATAATTAAATTTAACATAAATTTATAGTGATAGTAGCCCTTGTGAATTATTACCAAGACTTGTCAAGCCGTTGTATGATTTTAGTTCAGTGTCCTAATCATACATTTGTTGCTATACATTTCATCAGAAATAATGGGTTGGATGGTCCTGCCTATTGACTAGAAAGCCAGAAAAGAATTTACAATAAATGAAGTATAGTAATAATGAATGATTACCTTCACGGCTGTCATGGCGTACATAATTTTCCTTTTACCTTCAATATTGGTATTTTGTACACGCAAAATATGCTGAAACTTCTCTGGTATAACCAACGCCTGAAATTAAATGGTTAAGAGATCACAAAAAAATATAAATTGTATAGTCTAATTAGGCCTTAATTACCAGTATATTCAACAATGACTAGATTTTGCTTGGTATATGGCTTACAAGATATAAATTGACCTTCCATGACTAGCATAAGCAAGACCCCTACCCTTGGTGTAGTAACAGAAAAGCATCACGGATAGGCAATTTACCTATGCTGATAAGCTGTGCATATTTGCTAGACCGCTACAATCACTGAGAGAGATGATATTGATGCAGCCTAATCAGCTTTTTTCCATCTGCAAATTAAATTCTAAAACATTTTTTTGAAGTTTTAGAAAAATAAATACAGGTGGTTGAATCTGGATACAGTTCACACCTGTAAATATTGCACGAGCTATCAGCCAATAAATGCATATGAACTTTATACAGAACAGAGGTATAAGAAGGCCTTCACAATCCCTATGTGAGGACCAAACCCTAACATACAATGACATTAGTTCAGCTTTTTGGTTTAGTACAGAAATGAAATGGAGTTTAACGTCCTACTGTTCTGCTCCTAAACTGGGCTAATGAAGACGGGCATATGCCATACAGTGTGCTATGAGGGACATTCTGCTCGGGCAGCGGCGCTAACGCCTACTCTTTTATCGAATTCCAACTGCCAAGGGATCTTTTACGTGCATGCCAATATGTACACGGGACCTCGGTTTTTCGTCCCATCCAAAGGACTAGACAGCTGTCCTTGTCAGGCCCTTCATTATTAATAAATATTAAGACAAAAATCAAAAACGTCTATTTTCACTTTTGACGGCGTATCTCTTTGCAAGTGAAATGGGGTCGTCAGATAAGCCGCCCATATGAACTGTTTATGTTCATGTGTAGGCAATTGGCCTGTTATTAACATACACTGGTCACCTCTAATAAAAACAGCAGTGCATTTCTGCAGTTTTGTATTGGTTTTGGATATCCCCTACCTTTTTTGAAGAGTATATGTTATTGTTATGCTATGTACAGTACAGTTTTGGGTAAGTGTTAGGCCAGTAACTTTTTTTTAAGTCAAGTGACTACAAAAATTGCTCAAAGGATGGCCTTAGGACGGTCCACTACTTTGGCTGGAGCAAGACCTCAGTATCAGAAGTGGAACTACTGGAACCATTTCTAACTATTCTAATCGACTAATGGCTAGCTACAGTAGGCAGGACTGTTTATTATGAATACATCAGCTGAGTAGCATCCCGTATTCCATAAATATATTTTTGCTTTTACCACCACTATGATATAATATAATAAATTTATCGCAGAAAGCCTGACAAGTAACAAAATTTACACTTATATTTATTTACATTTTATTTAAAATGAACCAATATCCATTGACAATTGGACTGCACAAAAGCCTTTTTAACATAATCGAATCAACTCAATATTTTACACACTGATAAATATAAAACATTATTTTTATTTCAATAGGGAAAGAAGTGGTTTAATTGTATATAATTTATAGGATTGAGTCGATTTTGGAAACGAATAACAATATTTTCACCCACCATGATGGAAGTTTTAGCGGAAAAGGAAGTGTGAGAATCTGTCACGGCTGCGCAAAATGAATATCCGGTAAAGATGTCTACTTTAGCAGATGATAAAATTCTGTCTGAACATAATTCTAATTTTGATGAGGTAATAAGCAATGAAAATGACAAATAGAATTATGACATATATTTATATAGTTACACAACAAATCTAGTTATAAGATTTTTCCAGTGGCAACCCCTTTCGTCTGAAATTATCGTCTTTAAAGGAGCTAAATCGCTAATATTTCATTATTTCATATTGTGACCTACGGCTACGGTACCTAGAAATTGACACAAATGGGTCGCAATGCGGCCAACGGGGCAACGCATATAATAGTGTAATATGAATGTATATAAACTGATTTATATTCAATCGTTTCCGTTTTTACTCTAATTTCAAATCAGTTATATTTGGCGAAATACGCCAGAAGTCTCAATCGAATGGCAATCTACAAATGTCGTACAGTTAAACTGTGTTTTTAACACTACAATTGATACAGGCTATAAGACTCTTTATGCAAGTAGAAATACATGTAGGTTCAAAAGCACAATTGTCAACACATATCATAACAGTTTGTATTGACATAGGTAATTCTATCAAAAATAGTGAAGACTGGACCACTAAAATAGTTACCCAACAGTTTTTCTTTGTGGTAATGCGTTCTACATTTTCAAAGCGATATTTCTTTTATAATGAAATCCGACATGACACCAGCCAGATGAAATCTCGCCAAATACCACGACGAGTTAACCCCGCCCATCGCTTACCTTATAAGGCCGTGTCACTACGCTTGGTAATTACTATCGGAGAATATGGGATCATGACAGATGTTACAGATTTGCCAAATCCAGTTGGCAAGACGCCCATTACATCCGACTTCTGAACAACATAGTCAATAATCAACTTTTGTTCACAGTCTATTATTGTTTGGGGCATTTTTTCCCATGCTAAAGTCATTAGCATATAATTATGGACATGAAGGCAATGGCAAGTGACGTATGATCACGTGAGATGGAGTTGGGCTTTAGACTAGAAATAGGCATCAACTGTCGCTGCACCTTCTCCGAGAATTGCTGATCGTTTGATTGACAGATGATAACCCCACCCACATATTCTCGATTATCAAGTAACATTCTCATTGCCCACGGTACCCTTGATTATCAGTCCTTAATTCGGCAGTCTCTGGGAGTGCATCAATGATTATCGGTAATTGTTAGCTTGGTCAGCCATTTAATGATTTAATTAATAAATGGACTGTTTAAATCCAGGTTATATCCAAGCCATCCGAGGGTCTACAGAGTTGATTTTGGGCTTGTTAATTATGTAAATAAAGGTCTAATTAATAATTTCTATAACATTTGAAGACTTTAGAAAGACTTGCAATAGATTTAGCTCTTAACTAATGTATTTTTAACCAATAGATGTATAGTGATACAAATTGTTTCACTATACTGATGTCTTCCGTCTTGCTCCAGCCACAGTAGTGGATCATTCTAAGGACTTCCTTTTAGCAGGTTTTGTCATGATTTGATGACAAAAAAGTTACTGGCCTATAACTCCCGTAATATCCAATTAAACTGTACTGCTTATAGCTTAAACATACATTATGCAAGAGCTAAATCTGCCTATTGCAGGTCTTTCTTTAGGCCTGAAATGTTATCTAAATTATTAATTAGACATTAATTAACTTATCCAGACCATAATTAATTCTCGACATTATGGCTAGCCTGTGATATTTACTGGATTAGGATTCGAGCTGCTGCTCTACGCTCATTGATGATTAAATAAAGAAATGAATAATCGAGTCTGTGTATTTTATCGTATCGACTTTAGTAATGATGAATGAGGCTAGGCCCAAAATTCAATCGCTAAATTCTCGGTTCAGAGTGAATCAATTTGGCTGAAATTTTCCACAAATTCCCGTTAAATTACCGGTATCAAGTTTTTAACTATTATTATACCGTAGTGAAAACTGCTAGCTCTTTATCTAATCTCCCATAATGTATTTTTAACATAATAAACCAATTCCCACTGAAATAAAGGTGAAACCTTGCCGATGATTTTATAAATCCCTACTGCTATGCAAAATTTCTGTCCATTTTAAAATGGCCACCGAACCAGAATTAGAACACAGACATGATTTCACATCACCTCGAAAATACAGAAAAACTGTTGGGTAAGATAAGATTAAGATTTCAGCAATTCACTGTTCACTATTTGTAGCATAATTACTCATTTCCATGCAAACTGTGATGATATGTGTTGAAAATGTTGAAATTGAACCTAATTTTAATTGTGCAAAGCCTCGAATAGTGTATCAATTGTAGCCACAGACAAGACAGGACACGGGTACAATATGGCAGCTAGTGACTGCTTGATCAGTAGTTGCTTAGCCTACTTATGTGTAGGACTACTTTCACTGTACTGTAGGCCTACTACTGATACTACTTGAATTTACCTTCCAGCTGATATATTTTCCAGTACTAATCTTTTTCGTGTTTGATATATTCAAGGGTATAGAAGAAGTTAATTTAAATCTTGGAGAACTAGATTTAACTTCAGAAGATTTTTTACTTGATGAAGTAGATGGTACGTCTTTTAATTTTATCGCAAGCTTTAGAAATACTTTTGTGAAAAACTCATGCTCATGGAGAGTGTTGAAGGATATCTGTAGTGTTTGATTGAAATGAATTCTTACCAAACACTTTCTTTAATAAAGAGATTGTCAGAAACCCTTTTGGTTTTGGGCATTTTTCGACACCAGATATTGGACATCTCCACCAGTAATTCACTATGCTAAGATATGTAATAATACCCTGCCAAGTTAACAATTTTCAATTATAGGACAAACCAGATTCTGTATTTTCTACCAATTATAGTATGCAGTGATTTGATAGACAATAACTTTGGGACTGGGAAGATGGTCTGTAGTAATAAAACTATAAGAGATAGATGGTTTATGTTATATAGAAATTATATAGAAATGTTTGCTTTAAATGAATTTGAATTTACTTATATAAGTTTAACTTTAAATTTTGATTAATGCTAATCAAAATTTTATAAATTTAGTTTTAACCCCATCATCATATATTTTCTCCTGTTGACGTTATCTTTGTAATTTAATCACAAAAACGGAAGCAAGATGTGTAGACATACAACTTGACCACCTATCAAATTATCTCCCTTCTTAGTAAGCTACAGAAAAGATGAGTTGTGTGGGATTGTAGGGATGAAACTACATGTTGAAACTTTCGAAAGTGTTAAATATTTGATGAAATTATAATAATGTTTCTGTTTTCAGTTCATATTCAACAAAACTTAGAAGATGATATTGTGAAAGAAGCTCTGAAAACGGTATGTATCAGGTTGAGAAATAAAGTAGTTATGTCAAGAGAAATTGAAATAGGGTTTGAAGTTCTTCTATATGAAAACCAATGTGAACACAGGACTTCGGTTTTTCATACCATCTGAATGACTAGACACTGTTTCTTGCCAGGTGCTCTGTCCTGAACCACTGACAAAACTGACAAATAGAAACGGGGGAAACTTTCTGGGACAGCACCGGTGTTGAACCCTGGATCTCGTGATTAGTGAGCCAGTGCTTTAATCACTCAGGTCAAAAGAGAGAGAGATCTTTCTCGAGATAGTTTAAATAATGTGCATCTTAAGAGGCCATTTCAGGACTAACACAATAGAAATTAGGAGTGATTATATGACTCTTACTCTTACCATAATTCTAATCCTGGACAGCTATTAATAGAATTTGGACATGGATATTAATCTGTCTCCAGTGTTTTAGTACATACAAACATTAATATTAATATTACTATTTCCTGTTTATTGTTTGACTATTACAGGGAGTTGATTTACGACAATATTCAAAAGAAATAGAGAAAGATTTACTGCAAGTTGAAAATGCCTCCATCAAAGATTGTATCCTTTAGTTTGAAAATAATTGATAACACTAACATGCCATTAACAATAAGTTTTATCGACAAATGTATTTATTGGTTCTTTAAAAAATTTTGCTTTATAAAAATAAAATGAAAGTGAATCTGTAGCATGGATGTAATAGACATGCAGCATTAACTGCCCAACAAAACCCCAGAACAGTACAGATATTAATTAATATGAAATTCAGTGTACATACTTTATATACATCTTACTGACTTGATTAGAGAGTTTCTGCTTTAACTCGATAAAGCAGTGAAAGAATATGTATTGCATAACTGGGTGTCATTGGTGCCATTCTGTACAGGTTAATTCTTTTGCACTATGCAATATTGAAATGGTTATAATTGCCCTGAACTATTAATTAGATATTAAAGAAAGTCAGAACATTGCCAGTTTACATAAACAGATATCAGCATGTGATACCATATTGGAGGTAAGTCACACTTAATAAAATGTAGTAAAGATGATTCCATATTTGCCCATTACCTACAGTCTGGTATATTATGGACAGTATGATTATCTTCTTTAATGAGATGCATTGAAACCTATTCCCATAAGCCATGCCTTGTTTCTTTCATGGGCCCAAATAAGGTTTACAGTCTTGGTAATTTTGTAGTGTACTTGTATTGGAATCAGTGCAGGATTAAGATGAAGAGAGGCCCTAGGCTATTTCACTTAAGACGTCCCTCCCAGTCCCCAGTCTACAAGATTAGAGGAAGATGAAAATGGGCTTTAAAGACAATAAATCATTTTTTGTTTATATTTTTAGAGAATGGAGCAGATGTTAAATGGTTTTCAAGGTGACCTAAGTAGTATAAGTAATGAAATCCAGACGTTACAAGAACAGTCTATAGCCATGAACATAAAGTTAAAAAACAGACAGGTAACATCAACAAACTCTGTACATCATTTATGTTACACTAGGCAGAATTGTTTGTGTATGGTCTATAAGTTCTTAATTAGACTACAGGGTAACAGCTATTAGCTGCAAAAATGAGTAAGCTGTTTATTATACAGATGTATTAATGATTATATTATAGGCTATCCGTGGAGAATTAAGTCAGTTTGTTGATGAGATGGTTATACCAGAACATATGATCAGGTAGGTACATAGTATATCACTGGTTGCATATCAACTTATTAATGAGGTACCTGTACTGTGTCTGGAATGGAGAAAGATGCATAAAATATATTAGCCTAATCTCCTTTTTGTACATTCCTCTAACATATCTAAATTTAAATTATTAAGTCTAATATTCTGTTTCCCTCCAATCTTTTCTTTGATTTCTTTGTCCTCCCCATCAGTTTTACATGATATGTACTTAGTAAATCTAGAGTCATATAAAGGTATAAAGTAGACAAGACTTGGCTGGTAATTTAATTTATTTATAGATATATTAGATGTGTTATTGTCTTAGAGAGTTTTAGATAAACTGCCTTTTTAAACAGTTGTGCAGGCTGTTCGTCACATGTTCCTGTGTGCTGTCTTCAATGTTTACTATACTACACCATATCCAAACACGTATTGACCAGTACTGTCTCTGATCTTGCCCTTGTATTCAAAAGGCTGCTATTGTAATGTTTGACGTACAGAAATACTATTGTTATTTTATAAAAAAAAAACATCTTAGGTCTGTCATTTTATATTTCCTGGTCCTTGATGACATGATTTTAAATTGATTAATCTCAAAGGAAGATTTCATTTAACTGAATATACTTTTCCTTTTTTTTAACTGAATATCCTTTTCATTTTTTTTCACTGAATATCCTCTCCATTTCTTTTAACTGAATATACTTTCCATTTCTTTTAACTAAATAAATATACTTTCCATTTCTTTTAACTAAATAAATATACTTTCCATTTCTTTTAACTGAATATTCTTTCCATTTTACAGTCATATTCTGCAGACATCAGTCACAGAAAGAGAATTTTTAGAACAACTTCATGAATTAAACCATAAGATCAATTTTGTTAAAGAGCAATCATTCCGTGAAGCTAGATCATGTCAAGATGTAAAAGATATCTTAGAAAAATTAAAAATAAAGGTAATTCATTTAATTTCCTTTATTGCATGGGATATACAGCTACGACCCACCTGTTTATTTTATTGTAAGGCAATTTAAACAATTTGTTAGATGACGCCACAATTTTCGGACCATCTACAGGCTTCAGCAACGCTTTTGGGCCATCAACACCACAGGTGATCGCCCCCGAACTGGTAGACCAAGGGTTACCACAAGGCGACAAGACTGCCATGTTGTGCAACAGCACATGCAGAATCCCTTTATACAGGTATCTGAGACAGCACGTCAGATAGTGGGAACACACGGAAGACCCATCAGTACCGAAACAGTGCGCCGATGTCTCACCATAGAGAACATCCATTTCCGTAGACCTTACCATGGACCAATTCTCACCCCTTACCATCGACGTGAATGTCTACAGTTTGCCCAACAACACCAGAACTGGCGACACAGGCAATGGAGAACTGTTCTGTTCACAGATGAGAGTCGGTATTGCATATCAACTGCAGATGGCAGGACCTGAATATGGCGTCGACGTGGCCAGCGTTATTCTGACCAATGTGTCATGGAACGAGACTCATTGGGAGGTCGAAGCATAATGGTTTGGGGTGGAATCGGTCTGAACCGGAGAGTGGGTCCTGAGGTGTTCCAAAATCTTGGCCCGGGAGAGGAGGCGGCATCACAGTCACAGCAGTGCGCTACATCGATCAAGCTCTCAGACCCCATGTCATACCACATTTCGCACGTCATCGAAAAAACATTTCTCAGCATGACAACGCCCGTGCCCACACTGCCAGAGTTACTTGGGTCTTTCTACAGCGGAACGGTGTCAACATTATGCACTGGCCAGCCCTTAGTCCAAACTTAAACCCAATTGAACATCTTTGGGATGAAATTCAGAGGAGACTTAATAACATTGTACCAAGACCAAAAACGGTCGATGGATTGCGCCAGGCTTTTCTGAGAGTGTGGTTCTTGGTGCCAATTGCCAATGGTGTTCATCAATCTACTGGTCTACTCCATGTACAGATGCTGCGCTGCTGTTATTGACACTTGCGGTGGACACACCAGATACTTATGTATAGACTGTGTACAGACGCTAAACCTTCTTGTAATGTCTTGGAATTGTAATGAATTATTCACTAATGTGTCAACATACTGTTCACAAAAAATTGCTTTGATCCATGTAGTAAGTCGTTTTCTAGAATGATTTGATTAAAGTGCCTCTCTGATTTTGAAATGGTACTGACGTTTTTTTGCTGTTTAGTATATGTTTGTGACAATTCTCAATAGTTTCTGTTGGTATCCAAAATACCATAAAACTACGAAATTCAAGCAATTGTGTCTATAATACACATTATTTCCAATGAAGCCTGCAGGTAAATTAAATGCCAAGGTCACGAAAGCAGATGCAAGTTCAAGGCCAATTCAACGATACATTACGCAATGAATAATATGCAATAAACACATGTATTTCACCTCACTATGACTGTCTGACCATGTGCAAACATTGCTACAACGTATGAAACTCTGCCCATTGGTATTGTAACTGTTAGTTCAACCTGTCAACAGTTTTCAGTTTCAACGCGTATTTGCACCGGAAATATTTTAACTAAAATCTATTAAAATTGCATTTTAAGTTACAATCAATCTTCGTGAAATGCATAAAAATTTTAAAATTTCATTTTGATTTTAGTTAAAATATATTTTAGTGATTTTAACTTAAGTTTTTGTGAAACAGGGCCCAGTTTCATTAGGGTTTTACTGTTTTTTTCCTATTTCAGGCTATTGCTAAGATCCGAGAATTTCTACTACAAAAAATCTACTCTTTCCGTAAACCTATGGCTAATTATCAAATACCTCAGAATACCATGCTAAAATTCAGGTAAATTTACATTGAATTTATGTAATATTGTTAGAGACCTCACTGTAGCATGGTTTGCTATAAGATGGGTAATCTCGATGTGACAGAATACCAATACCAATATACAAAAAAAGCTCACTTGCAACCTGAAAAAAAATGTATGTTAATGTGGAATGAATCATTAAACTTACCTTCTTTTCATTTTTTTCTGACAATTATTTCTATTGTTATTTTCAAATTTTCAACTAGAAACATCAGATTTATCCTATATGTGATTATTTATCTATTTGAATATTTCAGATTTTTCAATGAGTTTTTAATGGGTAATGAGAGACATATAGCTAAAGAGATTAGAGATGAATATATAGACACTATGAGTAAACTATATTATTCTTACTTCAAGAGTTATGCTAGTCGGTTAATGAAACTACAGTTTGAAGAAGTAGCAGCTAAAGATGATCTAATGGGATATGAAGATACAGCCAAGAAAAATATCTTTTTATTGAAGTATTGATATAGGGATGATAAATGTAATTCTGTTTAATACCTTGTTTATCAATTATCAAATTTTGATCAGTAATGTATCTGGAATTACATTGATAGAGTAGTTTAGTGTAGCCACAGGTTTGGCACATGTTCTGTATATCATTGGATATTGGTCAAAGATTGAATGAAAAAAAGTCTTTCTATATACAATGTATGGCAAGAAAAATGCTGGAACAACTTTTGGTCGATTCAGCTTAAACATTAATGTTTTATTTTTTAATTACGTTAATTTCGCATTTAACAAAACACGGTGTTGTCAACTTTAATCATGATCTGGGTTTACACGTGTTTGTTAATAATGAAGAAATATTTTGACCCTATTGTCATTGTTTCCTTAATGATATGTAAGTTTTTTCTCAACCAAGCCAACATTAAAAAATAGATCTACTGTATTTACATTGGGTAATAGAGGTGAAGTTTTATCTAGTGAACTAGAAGCACCAGTTATAGTACCACATGCTGCTCAAAAATCAGATTCTAGGGTGAGAATACACTGTCAAACTTAATTTTTTCATTGTAGAAAATAGTACTGTAGCTATAAGTATTTATCATGCACAAAAAGTATCATAGAGTTTCGGATCGTTGCACATAACTAGGATAAAAACTTGATCCAAGACTTTGAGAAGCTATTCAATAAACACCAAAACCATGTGGCATGTTGCAAGAAATATAGATGGAAATTTAAACATAGAGATGACATATTTTTAAGAACAGTTTAAATTGTATTATCTAACCTATAAAGCAGTTTAAATCATTTTAGTAATATTTCTTTTGAACATCAGCATATTTTACAGTGGATGAAGAACAAAATTCTGAAATGCAAATAAGAAATTAAATTTATTTAGTTGCATCAAGCAATTGGCCAGTGATGAGTCATGAAGTCTAGTGCATGCTGTGCTCTCTTTTTGTATGACTTTGCCTTGTAATGTTGAGTCACTTTCTTTTGTAATTCCATATTTGTCCATCACAACAGCTACTGTGATCCTCAATTTGTCCATTGGCCATTTGTAATCTCATATTTGTCTGTCACAACAAACAATTGAATCCTCAATTTGTCTATCGACCATTTGTACATGTAATTCAATATCTGAGCATAACAACAGTCGATTTAACCCTTAATTTGTCTATTAGCCATCACAACAGAATTTATTCATTAAATCTATAATTTTTGGTGTAAATTATTTCAGACAGACTGGACATCAGTATCTTGTTATACTTTTACATCTGATAGTAACATTACAAGTGTCGATATTCCTACATCTACTACTAATATTGAGCAGACACATTATCAACATAAGGTTTTCTTTTACAGAACTTCCATCATGGGTTTCTCTAAGCTTTTGGTGTACTTTTCTCACTTCTACCCAGATTTTCTTATACAATTACACATTTGTATTCAATGAAAATAATTCTATGACAATTAAAGATATGTTCCTTGAGTAAAATTAGGTCACCTGATCGCTTTGACATTTGATTTTATTAGTAATTGTCCCCTGCCTTTCGAAGAAAGATGGGGACTATTAAAATGGGTACGTCCGTCTGTCTGCCTGTCTGTCGGGGCGTCCGTCCGGCCGTCACACTTTTTGGGACACAATAACTCTCCTTCTAATTGAGCTAGAATGTTCAAACTTGGTGTAGGTGTTTATTAGGTCAATGCCTTGATAGAATTCGAAGGTGAGCATTTTCTGCTTAGGGTGAGCAGAGATAAGCAATTTGATTGGTTGGTGATTCGGGACACGATAACTTTACTTCCAATTAAGTGAGAGTAATGAAACGTGGTGCATAGTTTCATTACATCAATACCTTGACTTTGTTCTATAATGAGCATTCTCTGCTCAGGGTAAGCAGAACGATAAGCAATTTTATTGGCCGAGACTTTTGAACTCAATAGCTCTCCTTCTAATCGAACTAGAATGTTCATACTTGGTGCAGGTGTTTATTAGGCCAATGCCTGGATGGAGTTCGAAGATGTTTGGGGTAAGCAGAGATAAGCAATTTGATTGGTTGATGATTTAGGACATGATAACTTTAGTCCTAAATAAGTGGAGTGAGGACACTTGGTGTATAGTTTTATCACATCAATACCTTGACTAAGTTCGGTAATAAGCATTTTCTTCTCAGGGTAAGCAGAGCGATAAGCAATTTAATTGGTCGAGACTTTGGAACGCAATAACTCTCTTTCTAATTGAGGTAGAATGTTCAAACTTGGTGTAGGCATTCATTAGACGAACACCTTGATGGAGTTCAATGATGAACATTGTCTGCTTACTGTAAGCTTTAGGGCACAATAACTTTGGTTATAATTAAGTGAGAGGGATGAAACTCTGAGTATAGATTCATTATATCGTTACCTTGACTAAGTTCAATGATGAGAATTTTCTGCTTAGGATAAGGAGCAATAAGCAATTTGATTGGTCAAGACTTTGGAATGTAACAACTGTACTTTTAATTGGGGTAGAATGTTTAAACTTGATGTAGATGTTCATTAGGTGAATGTCTTGACTGAGTTCAATGAGTAACATTTCGAGCTAAAGCTAAGCTGAGCTAAGCAATTTCATTGGTTGATGCTTTGGGACAAGATAACTTTGATTCTATCTGATAGAGAGTGATAAAACTTAGTGAAAAAAATAAATGTGCATTTAATTAATATGTGTCATCTATTTATTTTGGGATTTCGGCGGGGGATCGGGGACATCAGCCTCACTGTTGGCTTGTTTTATTTTATTTTTATGTCAGAAGGCTGAGTCATTATCCATTTTCTGGGGTTTTGTTGTTCAGTTATTTCTGCTTAATCTATTAAGATGAAGAATCCTATTGATTTACAACAATTTCGGATAATTACTGCCGGAGTTATGGCCCTTGATCACTTTAAAAAATCTTGTGGATGCTCTAGAGACTGAAATTAAACATACATTATGCAGGCGCTAAATCTGTCAATTGCAGGTCTTTCTTTAGGCCTGAAATGTTATCTAAATTATTAACTAAACTTATCCAGACCATAATCAACTCTCGATGGCATCGCTAGCCTGCGATATTTACTGGATTAAAACCTGATCTGCTGCTTCTGATTAAATCAAAAAATGGATAATCGAGACTATGTTTTTTATTGTACCGACTTTAGTAATGATGATCGAGGCTAGGACCAAATTCAATCGCTATAAATTATAAATACTTGGTTCAGGGTGGATCAATTTGGCTGAAATTTTCAGCAAATTCCCTTTACATTATCTAGTTTTTAACTATTATAGTGAGAACTATCAGCTCTTTATCTAATCTCCCATAATGTATCTTTAATATCCGATTGACTTTAAATTGAAACAAAGTTTTTTTTTGTGCACGAGACAAAGAAGTCTATTGATTTTCAAAAATTTCAGATAACTACTGCCAGAGTTATGGCCTTTGATCACTTTGAAAAATCTTGTGGATGCTATAGAGGTTCATCCAATTCACTTTAAATTTATACAAAGTGTTTACGGTCATGGGACAGAAAAGTCTATTGATAATTACTGCCAGGGTTATGACCCTTGATAACTTGTGGATGTTCTAGAGGCTAAAGTTAATATCTGATAGACTTTAAATTTATACACAGTGTTGACGGTCATGAGTGTATTGATTTTTAACAATTACCTAATCTTGTAAAGTTGATATAAATTTATACACAGTGTTTAAGGTCAGGAGACAAACAATCAAAACAAACTCTAATGATTTCTAATAATTACTTAATGGGTTGTTAATTGTTATCAGATTTTAGTGTGTTGCATATGTTTTCATTACTGACAAAAGAAAAAATATGTAACAACCCTTGTTGACTGCCCAGACTTTTAGCTGCAACCCATCTTTATTTTAAAGTATAATATTTGTATTGACAAGGAAAAATCAAATTAGAGACTCAAATTGACCACCATATCTTCCAGTGTATTATGCACACTATTTTTACTAATTATTTGATTTTCTATAACGGATGCGTCCTGTTAACATTAATGCTCGTACATTAAAATATCTGTAATGTTTTTTTAATGTAATTTGTTACTTGTGTATGTCTGCACTGGGTAAAATTTTTGGTATGGTTGGTTATTTGGTTTTTATTTTACAAGGTTTGAGATTATTTGTCAATTCTGAAATTGCTTCTGGCAAACAAATTGATTTATTATAAGCAATTGCCGTGAATTTGAACTGATAAAGAAGTAAATTATATAAAATACTAAAACATTGTAAAAGTTACAATATAAAAAATTCAATCTTTTGTCAATGTGCAGGATACTGGAGGTTTTCATGAATTGAAAATCATCTGAAGCATTTTTGCATACTGGTCTTAATAAGAATTTAAAAATTGACAAATGATTTTTATGTATAAAGATTGCGTTTTTATCTATTTCAGTACTCGTTTGAAAGTTTATTTCGAAGTCTACATTTTTCCCTAATGGATAATTGTTGTCGAGAGTATTTATTTTTAGTGGATTTTTTTATGGTGTCTGGAACATCAGCTCAGAATCTCTTTGATGCCATTGTAGGGAAAACTTTATCAATGTTTATGGTAAGTAAAGAATAAAAACTATGGGACCTGTTTGTACAGATTATTTTTTAATTATCATCTGCAGACTGTGGAAAATGATAATGTCCTACAATAGGTTAGAAGGACCCTACAGAAGTCCAACCATAGCATAGTGTTTGAGAACTGACACCTGTGCTTTTGTTTCAGTCCTATTTGCCAATCTTGATTGACTGTCAATGAAATTGACACACTGGAGAATTTATCTGTCAGTCATTATCCATATCATTTAATTAGAATTTCAAAGAATTTAACCTACAGACACAATAAATACAGTTAGATTTATTGCTTTAATGTGTACACTTAAAAATATATATAAAAATTGGGATAATGCTAAAGAATTAAATATTCTTTGGAAAAAACATCTTGCTAATGCGATGTAAACAGTATACTGACCACATGCTGGCCTACATAACATTTGTGATCCCACTTCTCGTACATTGTCTACATTGCATCTAACCATGGGATATCATAAAGTTCCTTGTAATTTTAATTAATTCATTTATTTATTTATATATTTTTAGAAACAGATGGAAGATTACACGAATGATTGTTATGATTCTATAGCTATATTTTTATCTATACATATAGTATTTAGATATAGATCTATCATGCAGAAACGTAATGTTAGTGGTTTAGACAGGTTAGGTTTACTTATTATTTTTATACGCCAACATTTTCATGTGGATGTATTATGCCCTCCTTCCGGAAAACCGTTCAAAATTTTCTTCACGAAACTACAAATGCATGTTTATAACCCAAAGATCTTGTTTCTTTTCGATATTATTCGCGCATATTTGACCATAACTTCCTGAATTATGGTCCCTGATTGTACGAAAAATTGCATTTTTAGCCTGTGGTCCCTCAAGAGGTCACATCAATTGTCCGATTTAAAAAACTGTTCGAATATATCACCATTACACCATAATGTAGGTTGAATTTGGACCAAAACTGCCAGACAAAATGGCCGCTCCCCGTATGCAAATAATGTAAACATATGGTATATATCAAGGTTGTGGACAATTTTGATCCGAGTTTGATGAAACTTGAAATACATGTTTATAACCCAAAGACCCTGGTTCATTTCGATATTTGTGCATATCGGATCGTAACTTGCTGAATTATGGCCCTTGATTGCAAGAAAAATCACGTTTTTTTATCTTGTGGTCCCACTAGAGGTCACAATTTTTAACCAATTTCTAAAACTGTCATGATGGTTGAGTTTGAATTTCGTGAAAATCAGACAAAATGGCCGTCCATCGTATGCAAATAGTGTCAAAATATGTCATACCAAGGTTATGGACACTCTAGAAGTCACAATTGTTATCCGCTAATTGCACATATCAGACCGTAACTTCCTGAATTACGGCCCCTGATTGTACGAAAATTTGTGCTTTTTAGCTTGTGGATTCTTTAGAGGTCACAATTTTTATCCGATTTTAAAAACCGTTTAAATATATCACTATTCCACCATAATGAAGGGGAAAATCGAAACGGACTGCCCAACAAACTGGCAGCTCTTTGTACGCAAAATGTGTAAAAGTATGTAATACGAAGGTTGTGAACCCTCTAGAGGTTACAATTTTTATCCGATTTTGATGAAACTTAAAATATATCTTTTTATCCAAAAGATCTCAGTCCCTTTCAATATTTGCACATAATTTCAGACTTTCTGGATTATGGTCCCTGATTGTACGAAAAATCGCTTTTGTTTTTAGCTTGTTCTCTATCCATCTCTCGCAAAATGTTGGCGTATCTTGCCTGGCAGCCATTGGTTAACTATTATAGTGAGAACCGCCAGCTCTTTATCTAATCTCTCATAATTCCCCTTTAATATATGATTCTGTTAGCAGATTATCCTCTGGAAGAGAATCCTTGGACACATTGATTGTGTATTTTTAAACCCATTTTTGATACACAGTTTACTTATTTATTTTTCATGTATTTTCTAAAGATATTGGGATGCTATATTGAATACTTTATGGCCAAGGTTTGAATATATAATTAACTTGAATATACAGAGTGTACGAGATTGTGATCCTCAAAAATTAGGACAAATAGATGTTAGACCTCATTATGTAAGTTGTCATTTTTAAGTGATATTTGTAAATTTTCTTACATTAAATTTGTCTGCATTTAATAGTTTTAGTATAATTTGGTATCTAGTATGTAGCAACGTTTTCTAGACATGATTGATTCATGTCACGTTTCACTCATTTGGACTACTATCACAGTTAACCATTTCTGTAATTATGTATGTGCTTGGCATATACTGAAGAATGGCTATACGTAAAATGTGTTTAATGTGACATTAACTAGCACCAAGCCTGTAGATATTTTAACAGAATTTATATGAATCTTTTCACAAAATAAATTTTATAGAACTTGTGTAAAACAGATGTCATAAAACCATGATACATTGAAATAGCATTGACATATTTTGATGATATTAATTATTAAAAGAGAAAGTTGTATGACTGTTTCTATAACAAACTTTGAAAGATGCAACACATTGAAACATATTGATTGTTGACGAATCAAATTACTGTTAACTTTTAAGGTAGTAGGAACAGGTTTACGACTGTTGAAATCATGCAACATTGAGTCACACCAACTATTTCAAATATGATATTTTTCGATTGCCACTAGATTTGTCATTTGCAGAAGAAAATATATTTGCTTATTCATCTTAAAGGATATAGCTTAAAAAATGATATTTATAATGTTATAATAAATAACTGAAGATTTATTTCATTAATTACAGATAACCCGCAGATACGCTGAATTTTCTGCCGCTATTGTTGGTATTAACCAGTCTTTCCCTAATGAGCATGTTGATAAAATATTGGGACAACTACAAGGAGAAGTAGAAAACTTTATATTAAAAATGGCAGCTGAATTCCCTCAAAGAAAAGAACAGTTAATATTCCTCATCAATAATTATGACATGATGTTGGGTGTTCTCATGGTACTTATATTGAATTGTATTGAATTATCTTCAGGCAGTTCTAAATGACTTGTTTTTGTCCTTCTACACTTGTCAGATTATTTTTTTTTTGTTCCCCGCCTCGCGATAAGCAATTTGATTGGTCGAGACTTTGGAACACAATAATTCTCACTCTAATTGAGCTAGAATGTTCACACTTGGTGTAGTTGTTTATTAGGTGAGAGCTATGCAATTTCATTGGTCGATGCTTTAGGTCAGTGGTTCTCAACCAGCACACAGGTGTGCCGCGAGATCTTCCTAAGTGTATAGTTGATAATCTGTTTGATTGATACTTTTGTTTGCGATAAATTAATATGTGTCATCTATTTATTTTCGGATTTTGGCGGGGGACATCAGCCTCACTGTTGGCTTGTTCAAATTTGCAGGGATGGTTTCTTTGGTCATAGGGTAAAACACTATTCAGATTCGAAACTTATCTCACCATTTATATTAAAACTAATGAAAGGAGAAATTTCTCGATGGAATGTTTTGAAGCTCAATGGGATTGTTCATTAGGGTATATAAGGAAAAACCTTGTAGAATTTCAAAATTTAGCACACATACACATAACTTTGCTGCTGACGTGAGAACCAAACTGTACTTTTTGCCCATGTTAGTATTCAAATTTAGGATATTCTAGTGTTAATTATTGCCATCTCTTTCTTTGAAATCAGGAAAGAACAGCAGAAGATTCTAGAGAATCAGAAGTATTCAAAGATTTATTAAATGGTAGAACACAGGAATATATAGAAGAGATTTTATCACCTCATTTTGGTGGAATGATTTCATTTGTTAAAGATTGCGAGGTTGTATTGGAACGAGGTCAAGGTGAAAATCTCAAACGTGAAGAAAGTAAGTTCCCTCTTTTTTTATCAAGATTTGTATATATTCTTATCTGAAGAGAATGTGCAATAAATACTACCGGTGTTATCATTTGATTGAGACTTACCACATATTTTGCTGAACATAACTGATTTGAAATTAGATTAAAAATAGAACCGATTGAATGTAAATCAGTTTATATATATTCATATTACATTATTATATGCGTTGCGAGTTGCGACCAATTTGTGTCAATTTCAAGGTCCCAAATATTAGCGATTTAGCTCCCTTAATTATGCATGTTAAAGCAGAAATCCAACATACATGTATATTTCAGTGAATAACTTTGGTTAATACTTTGTGGTAAAAATATAATTCAAATCTATTCTATATTTAGTTATGGCCATTTGATGTCTTTGACAAAAAATATCTTAATGATTCTGCTATTTTTTCTGTGCAAGACAGCTCATTCTTCATAAAAATTGTTTCATGCTCTCATTTTTATACGCCCACATTTTCATGTGGACGTATTATGCCGTCGCCCCTGTCCGTCCGTCCACAATTTGTTTGTGGACACTCTAGAGGTCACAATTCTTATCTGATTTTGACGAAACTTGAAATATAGGTTTATCTCCAAAAGATCTCGGCTGCTTTCAATATTGGCCTGTATCGGATCGAAACTTCATGGATTATGGCCCCTGTTTGTACGAAAAATCACGTTTTTAGCTTGTGGACCCTATAGAGGTCACAATTTTTATCTGATTTTGTTGAAACTTGAAATGTAAGTTTATAACCCAAAGATCTTGGTTCCTTTCGATATTCGCGCATAAAAACCCGTATTATTATATCACTGTTACACCCTAAGGACGAGTGAGTTCGAATTTCGTGAAAATCAGCCCAAAATTGACAGACAAAATGGCCGCCGTTCGTTCTCAAATAGCGTAAGAATATGGTATATCAAGGTTGTCGACCCTATAGAGGTCACAATTTTTATCCGATTTTGTTGAAACTTGAAATGTAAGTTTATAACCCAAAGATTTCAGTTCCTTTCGATATCCGTGCATATCGGACCATAACTTCCTGAATTATGGCCCCTGATTGTACGGAAAAATTGTGTTTTTAGCTTGTGGACCCTATAGAAGTCATAATTTTTATCTGATTTTAAAAACCGTATTATTATATCACCGTTACACCCTAAGGATGACTGAGTTCGAATTTCGTGAAAATCGGCCCAAAATTGAGTTGACAGACAAAATGGCCGCCGTTCGTCCTCAAATAGCGTAAAAATATGGTATATCAAGGTTGTGGACCCTGATTTTGTTGAAACTTGAAATGTAAGTTTATAACCCAAGGATCTCGGTTCCTTTCGATATTCGCGCATATCGGACCGTAACTTCCTGAATTATGGCCCCTGATTGTATGAAAAATTGCGTTTTTAGCTTGTGGACCCTATAGAGGTCATAATTTTTATCCGATTTAAAAAACCGTATTATTATATCACTGTTACACCTTAAGGACGACTGAATTCGAATTTCGTAAAAATCAACCCAATATTGACAGACAAAATGTCCGCTGTTCGTTCTCAAATAGCGTAAAAATATGGTATATCAAGGTTGTGGAACCTATAGAGGTCACAATTTTTATCTGATTTTGTTGAAACTTGAAATGTAAGTTTATAACACAAAGATCTCAGTTCCTTTCGATATTCGCGCATATTGAATTGTAATTTCCTGAATTATGGCCCTTGATAGTAGGAAAAATCACTTTCTTGTTATCTTGTTCTCAATCCATCTCTCGAAAATGTGGGCGTATCCTGCCTGGCAGCCGCTGGTCTTAATTACACAGAAACAACAGTTTTGTTTATATTTTGTAGAGCGAGTTCAGATGATTGTTCGAGGTTTTAACAATGACTGGAAGAGAGCTTTAGAGTTAATCAATCAAGATGTTATGAGAGCATTTACTAACTTTAAAAATGGAACCCAAATTTTACAGGTAGGGCTGTTGGTAGTGACCATTCTATATGTATATTTCAATTTGCAATGGTAATAATATTGTCTAGGTTATGGCGACTAAAGTTTGTTACAGTATAGGATGTATATAAAATATCTACAAGTCTATGATCTAATGATCATTGGTAGATGGTGCCTGCAGAATGTAAGCACACTGTAGAATGAAAAAAAGTAAGAGTTATTTAAAATGGATAGGTTGGGAGGTTGTGTGGCCTACCTGGTTATTATGTATAGGACATATAAGAAATACCTCCAGTCCTATAATCTAATCATTATCAGCAGATGTGGCATGCAGAATATGGACACAATGTAGAATGGAGAGGTTGGGTGGTCTTGAGGGCTTAGATCATAAGGTCTATCACTGGGTCAAATGATGTGATTTAGAACCCACATTTGTTTGTGACAAGGAGTAAAGTCAGCTGCCTAACATTGTGGGTATTACCCGGTTCCTCTGATTTCCTCCACTGCTAAAGACCCATATACACAAGTGAATTATTGAAATAAAATTGTACCGTATGTTAGTCCCGTATTTTTTTGTATAATTTCAGGGAGCATTAACACAGCTAATACAGTACTATCACAGATTTCAGAAAGTTTTATCACAAGGACCATTTAGAAATCTACAAATTAGAAATGAACTCATAAATATTCATCATGTTATGGTGGAGGTTAAAAAATATAAACCATCATTTTGAGAAATATATCATGAACAATATACATTTCTTCAACTATATTCCACGGACTAAGTGAACTTATTCCAGATTCAGAATGATCTTTGGTTGTTTGTGGCAACTTGAAGATGTGATTTGTGATCAAATTCAAAATGAAACTCATTTAGACAACAGATACATGTATCTTACAAGTATACAAAAAATTCACATTGTTAATATAATATATAAATATAATTATGTATATATTGATCTCATTGTATAGTCATGTATTATATGTATATTTAATTGCTATTATGTATATTTGGTTTTCTGATGGGCACAGTATGTATGAATTCTAACCTCTTTATCAGTGTAACAATTGTTTTGAGTTTTTGTTTAATATTTCAGGATTGTTAAAGTGACATTATTTAGTTGTTATAAGGATTTTTTGTTTCAGTGAAAAATATATGAACTAAGCTGAAAAAATTTCATTCCAAATGCAATTTTTCATATGAGAATGAACTAAGAATAATAATTGTTTCCCCTGATTGCATAATGGATGAATGTAGTATTCAAAATGCAATTTTTCATATGAGAATGAACTAAGAATAATAATTGTTTCCCCTGATTGCATGATGGATGAATGTAGTACAATTATTGATAGCAGTTCTATCGCATTTTGCATGGCAATTTCTGTTGACTTTTTGATCTGGAATCAAAGAAAAGTGTTTAAATTTACATTTTCTGCAGGTTTTGGTGAATATTCATGATTTGAGGCGGAAGAATCATAATGCTATCAGACATGAGTTAGGGTGGTCACCAATGATAATGCTGTCACTGCCTAGAGATTCTTTTGACCAGGCCTAGGAAAAAATCGAAATGGTCAACCCCCTTCAGTATTTTTATAAGATGATTGTGACATGTTTGAACTCTTTGTAGTTATGAAAATTAAGATCATCGAAAGTTTCATAAAATTATTATAGGGCAAGAAATGTCATCGATTTAATATTAAAGTCAATGTGGAGAGAATTCCTAGTCAAGGAGTTATTTCCCTTAAATCATTTAGACAAAACCTGAACTTGGCTGTAGCCTTGTATTCATTTTATTTAAAATTGAAAGACTTTATTATTAAGACATTTGATTTATGTCTGATCAAAAGAAATTATTATGCTGTCGTCAAAGGCCCAGAGTGGTCTTTTCTTAAACATGTCTTCAGATGTTCAATGAGTGACAAACTAAATACATCAAATGAAAATAACATCTAGTTTTAAATATATATTCTCGTAACACAACTAGACCTCTTGATTTGATTTCAAAATAAAGTTATCGATTTTATTGGATTTTATATATTATATGTGATTCGAAAGTTGCTTATTTAAACATACATTATGGGAGATTAGATAAAGAGTTGACTGCTCTCGCTATAATAGTTACAAAATATATAACGTAAATAGAAGATGTTGAAAATTTCAGTCAAATTGCTTCACTATGAACCAAGATATTAGCTTTTGAATCATAAGCCTATCCCCGATCATTACTAAAGTTGGTACGATAAAAAACATAGTCTCGATTTAAGCATTGAGCAGAAGATCAGATTCAAATCCAGTGAAAATCTGACGCATAAGATGACATTGAGAGTTGATTATGGTTTGGATAAGTTAATTAATGTCTAATTAATAGTTTAAATAACATTTCAGGCCTAAAGAAAGATCTGCAATGGGCAGATTTAGCTCTTGCATAATGTATGTTTAATAAACGTTTTACTCCTGGAGTAGCCTACATGTCCATTTAGTTGAATCCAAAATTCAAAGCAATATCATTGTTTCATTTGGTTGTGTGTCTTAAATGAGGATATCTGCAAGGCATGTTTTACTTTTTTCTAGAAAGCCTAATAAATTTTGTTATATCCTTTATTTCTGTTGAATAATGCTCTTGTATGGAATAAGAACTTATATATTTACTTTATAAATCATCATATTATTTATTAATAATAAAAGTTTACATTTGATCTTATTTCTTTCTTCTTTCATTTAAGAATAAAATTTGAATAACTGAGTTTTGGTATACAGGTTATGTTGTCCATATGGGGGTTTAATGCCCTACTGTTCTGCACCGACTGGGCTAATGAAGTCAGGAATATGTCAAACTGTGTGATATGAAGGAAATTTTGCATGGACAAAGGGAGACCATGCCGAGAAATGCTGATGAACTTTCTTGGCCAACATCAGGATTGAACACAGTAACGCTAAGATAGCAAGCCAATGCTTTACCGAGCCACTTTCCATATAGGATTTCAACTTGCAGGTAGTAATGAAAAAGCATGCAAGTCTGAGACATTGTGTAAATTTAAGACTAACATTGATATACATGTAGTGGTGTATATTTGCAACCTCTGTGCTCAGTATGTAAGGCACTGGCTCCCTAACCAAGTGTTTGGGGTTTGATCCTAGTGTTGGTTTCTGCAGGTCATAGGTGCAGGAAGGAGGAAAAAAACAGGTCCTATGTACATCACATTGGTGTGCACGTAAAAGAACAGTTGACAGTTGGAATTTCCTTGCTGCAAGTCCAGGCAAATGACTTTGTTCATTAGTCCGGTTGGTGCAGTAAAGTAGGATGTTAAACCCCCATTTCATTCATTTCAATAATGTCTCCGTGAAATAAAATTCTGTATCCTTTGGAAACAATTCTGAATCTGAATCTAAATGAATAGTCGTAGATGCCAATTACTGGCTTTAAAATTTGTAATATGAAAAAATCATGATACAGACGTATAAAAAGATTGGTGCATTATTTTTTAAATATTTGTACAAAGTGCTTTAAATTATATAACTCCCTTTTCCTGTGTTACTGATTCGATTATCATGCCGAAATACTATTAGTAATACTCATACCTGGCCACGCCCATTAAGGGGAGATAATTTTATAGCAGTTACGTGACCTACTTTAAAAGTTCAACATGGCGCACGGTGAAACCTTTAAGTACAACTATGCGATTATATGCCGCATACCTCAAACTTTTCAGTACAAAGCTCTCCGGACAAAAACAGGAAAACCTATAGATATAGATAGGGCGAGGAAGGAGTACGATGATTTACGCGATATTCTAAAGAATTGTGATGTAAATGTGATTGAACTGCAAGAGGACGAAAACTATCCAGACTGCTGTTTCATTGAAGACTGTGCAGTTTGTATCGGGGGTACAGCTTTAATTGCCAGGCCAGGTCACACAACCAGGCAAGGAGAGGTGAGAAATATATTATTGATTGCTAAAAACATAGCACATTTGTTAAAGTTACTGAAACGTATCTAAGATTTCAAGAAATTAAATTTATTACATCGACAGATCCATTTTCGATTATGCAGGTATTGACATTCCGATGTACACTGGCCAATGCTATAGCGTGGGTATATTTCTTTTTATAAAAGGCCACACCAAATTTGAAAATCACTGACAAAAAAAGCAAAAACAAGATTAATGTAATGTTGACATATTTTAGGTTGGAGAAATAAGAAAGGTATTAAAGAATGACTTAAAATTAAATGTCCAAGAAATAAAAGATGCAAAAGCAACATTAGATGGGGGAGATGTTTTATTCACAGGTGAGTAATGGATAGAAAGAACATCCTGTATATTAGGGTTAGTTAATATTTTGTGTGGAAAATTTAGTTTTAAATATTCTTGTAAACATGAGTCAATGATGGCATATACCATGTATTGACTGGCAAATGTATACAATTTTACTAACATATACCTGTTTTAATACACCCATGTATAGGCCTTCGTGATATAACTATGTTTAATTTTCTCATGGATTAAGTTATTTATAATCACCAGTAAGCTGTGAAATACAAAAATATAAATTTAATAGGGCTTATTTTGACATCTTGTGTGAAAATATTTTTAACCTAGTTATATCTGGTAATTATTTGAATACAATGTTTGATTTTCCCAGGAGTTTGGCTGTTATTACCAGTTAATGATTATTATAATACTACACACCCAGTAAAGGTTGGGAAAAACCTAGCTAGAATTATGTTGAAAAGTGCTCTACTATTGAGCATTGTTGAATATTCTTCTACAATGTGTACAATGTGTATCTGTAGTTCTTGGGTTTCAAATTTTATGTTTACACATTAATAATATTTTTTAAAAATGAGTCCTGTTTTCAAATAAATATGAAAGCCAGACACACTTATACTGTTAGTCACAAAATTGAATCCAATAGAAATTACACTTATCCACATACTAGTACTAAAAAAAATGTTGCCTATATAAATGTCATTGTGACACTGACATTAATTTATAACCTATAATAAATTATTAAAAGTTTACAAAAGAATACACATGTAATTGAAATGAAGTAACAATTAAACAATTTGACACAATAAGCACATCTTTATTTAAAATATGAATTATAACTTGTTGAGTTATATTTGTCCTGGTTGTGACATGTTTCTTTGATACATGTACATGTATGATCTGTTCAGGAAATAGACAAGATGGCTTACAATAAAAAAAAATACCTAAAGATAAGGCTTGTCCTTTATGAGTCACCACTGATGTCCAGGCACGTGTTTTACAAAGCAATATGTACATGTACTTGAATATTACTTTTACTAAAAATTATCCACTGTACACCCCGGTACATATTTTCAATTTGGTATCATGGCATTCTTAAAAGAAATTGAGATTTTCCTAATTATCTTTTTTTTCTAAATTCGTCTGCTCACTTTTTACATATGTGTACATATACATGTATATTTTTTTAAGAATGAGAGTCCATTATCTCAGGTAAAGTTATTGGTCATTAGGTAAAATAAAGCATTGTAGCTTTTACTCGTCTTATTATTATCAAGAGTTAAGTCATAATATCCATTGCTTAGATTATTACGATAAATAAGTCTATGCTATGAGAACATTTCCTGATAATTACTTCTAGAGTTGTTGTTACCAATGATTTTATGTTGTAGAGTCTTGTCGAGCTAGCAATTTTTTTTCAGTATAAAGATTGTGCTTGTTGCAAATATTTATCAACAGCACAATGATGCCACAACTTCAATAATAGTCACATCAGACAAATTAGCTATTAGGCACATGTTTTGTTGTCTGGCAACCCATCTTTTGCTAATTAGTCAAAATTGTGCTACATACACTACAGGTACCATACTTTAACAACCTTCATGTCTCGGCACCTAGTTAATGGGACCAACTATTTGTACAAAAAACAAATAAAGTTAATATACATATAGATACATACTTTTACAAATGTAATTGGAAACAGCATGTTTTAGGTTTATCTATCGATTTTGTAAGCATTAATGAAAAATCAATGGTTAAGGTATATGATAAATGTAGTTTTGCTCCGTATTCAATATAATAATAATAATAATAATGAATATTTATATTTTGCTATCGATTTAAGGTTCTACAACGAAATAGTAATGAAATGTACTAAAATATTACCTCTTGCCAAAGGTAACAACAAAAGATTTAATTACTGGCAGTACAACTACAAACTTGACACCAATTCTCTCAGCCAGGTTTCAAAAATAATATTGCATGGATAATCGTTGATATATTTACACAACTTTGAAAATAATTGAAAAATGTTGTTTTTAATCAGAGTGGGGAAACACCAATTATACATGTATATTTGAGTTTTGCTATTATTTGACTTTAATACATGTATACATGTACTATCAATCTGTTCTTTAGTCAATTCAACACCAAAATTACAACAATGGTGTATTGTGCAGTTTTAGAATATATTTATTATAAATATCCTGAGTCATAAACAAATTGAAAATAATGAGAAAGGCTCCAAATATGTCTTATGTGAAATGGAAGAAATTAAAGGTATTCACATTTGTCGATTTCCCTGTTTTGATTGTCTAAAAGTGGGTTACAACCAATTTCTAAGGAATTTTAAAATTTGAGTGAACTAAATTGGTTCTGAACTTCCCACGAAAAATACAAAACTGACTCACAATTTTGGAGATTAACGAGTATTTGAAACCATGACACATTCTAAAACACCTCATCTGCATAGATTTTTGCATCCCAGCCTTTGATGTTACAAGCATGTAGATGAGATGGCAACTTTTAAAAAGTTATAAGATTTTACGGTTTTCCCGCTTCTTTTGTTTATTTCTCTGTTACTTATATGTCAGACTTGCAACTACAAGTACGGTATATTCTTTTGCTATATAATGGTAGTAATATCGCTACATGTACATATGATAAAATGGAAAAACAACACATATTAGTTTTGGTTGCATTAATAGCATCATTGGAAAATATTAAAAGTCTGCATTACATGTAAATGCTGGGATACAAGGATTTAAAAAAATTATTGAAGCTTCTGTACTACATATGTATAATATATTTTTAATGCCACAATATTGATAGAAATTGTAGATTTCTCTTTTGTACATGTATGTAAATTTTCTGTCATGCTTAATCCTTGAATATCTTTTTAAGACATGTAACTCACTATGTACATGTATGTGCATTTCTGTGGTCATAATTTAATTGTACAACCACTTGGTCATGACAAACAGATTTTAAGTCAGTAAATAGCGATTCTATAATTTCTGATATCAAAAGTAGAAGAATAATGCAGGCAATTTGGTATTTGTATATGTACCTAATGGGTTAAAGAGACAGCAGCATACAGTACTTTAACAAGGAAATTGAAATATGGTTTCTCAAGTAGCCTACATCATTTATACATGTATGTAGTGGACCTTTAAACATAGCTTTACAAATGATTATATATAAAAGTACTGTTATTAGATTATATGCTATTAATCATATCTGGTTATATTTATTACATAGTATTATGTATCATCTCCAACAATACATAATCGTTATTATCATGCTATTTTCAAATATATCATACATGTACAAAATATCTTCCATTTCCACAATCTCACACATTTAGAGTTCACCACTGGAGTACTGGAACATGTTCTTATCAAGAGGTTTTTAAAATTTGGGAGCCACGGTGGTTAAGTGGGTTAGACCGAACACTGGCTTGTTATTCTGGAGGCCGTGTGTTCGATCCCTGCATTGGCCGAGAAAGTTCATTGTGATTTTCCGATGTGGTTTCCGCTTTTCAGTGGTGCAGTAAGGCGGGCCTGACAAGGACAAACCGATGTCCCGTGTATACATTGGCATGCATGCAAAAGATCCCTTGGCAGTAGGAATTCATATTGGATATAAGAGTAGGCCATAGTCCTGCTGTCAAGGCAAAATTTCCATTTTAGCACACTGTGGCGTATGCCTGTCATCATTAACCCAGTTGGAGCAGAACAGTATAACGTTAAAACCCATTTCACTTCATTTCATTTCTTTTAGAATTGAATCTGGTCTTATTTTCTTTCTATAAAATTTAAATTTCTACATCACTCAGTTAAAAAAGAATTATCGCTTTCACTCAGGCACTGAATCTTAATTTATTTTATAATAAACTTGGTGTAGAGGTTCATGCTGAGTTCGAGGATGAGCTTATATTATTATGCTTAGGCTGAGCAGAGATAAGCAAATAGATTTGTTGATTCTTTGGAACATGATATCTTTGGTCCTAATTGAGTGAAAGTGATGAAACTTGCTGTAATTTCCTTGCTGTAATTTCCTTTTATCAATACCTTGACTAATTTCGATGATGAGTAATATTCTGGTTAGGCTTGATTTGTTAACGCTTTGGAACATGATAACTCGAATTCTAACCATGGGATACAACGTGGGGTATATTTTTATTACATAAATACCTTTACTAAGTAGCTTGATAAGAACTTTGATTGATTCATGCTTTCTAAGAAGATAAATGTGTAGGTAGTTGATGAGCATTATCTATTTATTTTAGGATTGAGACAGGAAACATCAGCCTCACTCTTCTATTTCAGAGTTTATATTTTTGTCCCCCGCCTTTCGAAGAAAGCAGGGGACTATTAAAATGGGTTCGTCCGTCTGTCTGTCCGTCTGTCTGTCCGTCTGTCCGTCTGTCTGTCCGTCTGTCCGTCCGTCTGTCTGTCCGTCACACTTTTTGGGACACAATAACTCTCTTCCTAATTGAGCTAGAATGTTCAAACTTGGTGTATGTGTTTATTAGGTCAATGCCTTGATGGAGTTCGAAGATGAGCATTTTCCGCTTAGGGTAAGCAGAGATAAGCAATTTGATTGGTTGATGCTTTGGGACACGATAACTCTCTTCCTAATTGGGCTAGAATGTTCAAACTTGGTGTATGTGTTGATTAGGTCAATGCCTTGATGGAGTTCGAAGATGAGCATTTTCCGCTTAGGGTAAGCAGAGATAAGCAATTTGATTGGTTGATGCTTTGGGACACGATAACTTTTAATTGAGCTAGAATGTTCAAACTTGGTGTATGTGTTTATTAGGTCAATGCCTTGATGGAGTTCGAAGATGAGCATTTTCCGCTTAGGGTAAGCAGAGATAAGCAATTTGATTGGTTGATACTTTGGGGCACGATAACTCTCTTCCTAATTGAGCTAGAATGTTCAAACTTGGTGTATGTGTTGATTAGGTCAATGCCTTGATGGAGTTCGAAGATGAGCATTTTCCGCTTAGGGTAAGCAGAGATAAGCAATTTGATTGGTTGATGCTTTGGGACACGATAACTTTAGTTCTAATTAAGTGAGATTGATGAAACTTGGTGTATAGTTTCATTACAGTAATACCTTGACTAAGTTTGATAATGAGCATTTTCTGCTCAGGGTAAGCAGCAATTTGATTGGTTGATACTTTGGGGCACGATAACTCTCTTCCTAATTGAGCTAGAATGTTCAAACTTGGTGTATGTGTTGATTAGGTCAATGCCTTGATGGAGTTTGAAGATGAGCATTTTCCGCTTAGGGTAAGCAGAGATAAGCAATTTGATTGGTTGATGCTTTGGGACACGATAACTTTAGTTCTAATTAAGTGAGATTGATGAAACTTGGTGTATAGTTTCATTACAGTAATACCTTGACTAAGTTTGATAATGAGCATTTTCTGCTCAGGGTAAGCAGAGCGATACGCAATTTGATTGGTCGAGACTTTGGAAAACAATAACTCTCCTACTTTGATTGTTAGACTATAAGTAAAGATATACTGTTTGATTGTTCAATACTTTGTAAAAGATAATTTGTGATAAATTTATATGTGTCCTCTAATTATTTTCCTTTTCGGCGGGGGACATCAGCCTCACTGTTGGCTTGTTATATCCAGTTTAAACTTCTGTTTCCTTCAGTTACTGATTAATGAATAAAACAAACAAACACCCAGTTTTTGTAATATATACATGTAGCATGTGGTTTTATAGCTTTTGTCATGCATGGTTAGGGTATGATTCAGAGAGGTTACATGGACATGTAGGTGAAAAGCTAAAAGGCCACAACCATATATTTTATAAAAGAGATTTCCCAGGAGAAATAGAAGTAATTATATTAAATAACCCAGTTATTTTGTGCATATGTACAGGTTTATTTTGTATTAATAGTATTTCTCCCAGTAATGTTACAGTATCTCTGTTTACAGTTTATATTGTAAAAGATTATTATACATGTTATGATGGACGTTAGTTTGCTTCAGAAAGGGATATCTCTGACAGTTTATTATTTTGTTATATCCTTACCATTGAATGGTCAACAACAATAAAAACCCTCATACACCCACGAATACTTGTACCTTATAAATAGAAATGAAATGAAATGGGGTTTAACGTCCTACTGTTCTGCTCCGAACTGGGCTAATGAAGACGGGCATACATCATACAGTGTGCTATGAGGGAAATTTTGCCCGGACAGCGGCACTACAGCTTACACTTGTATCGAATTCCAACTGTCAAGGGATCTTTTACATGCACACCAATGTGTACATGGAACCTTGGTTTTTCGTCCAATCTGAACGACTAGACAGCTGTCCTTGTCAGGCCCTCCGTCCTGCATCACTGACAGGGGGGAACCACGCCGGAAAATCTGGATGAACTTTCTCGGCCAATGCAGGGATCATACACACAACCTTCAGGTTAGCGAGCCAGCATCTTACCCACTTACCTTATATATAGCTCACACACCAATGTGTATGGTACATACCTTTACACTAAAATCATAAGTAAGTCGGCTTGAGTGTATGTCCAGTGGAGAATAGCGCAAATGGCCCTTTTCTTGTGACTTTTTGGACAGTCTAAGGGGGCATTGTCCAATTATATTCTAGTTAGCTCCCCCTGCAAATCAGTTATTGGTTTGTTATTATGTATCCTTCTATAGTGAGCTTTGTATTATTACAGGTCAGAATATTTATCACGGTAATTCTTATTTGTTCGCCAAAAAGAATCATTTCTCGCCATAATAATCCAACACTATGTTCCGGTAGAATTTTGCGATTCAAAAACATAAACAAAAGACCACAGACTTTTATGTTTCTGAATTGCAAAATTCCTTTGTTAGATGTGGCGAGAAATGATTACGAAAGGAACTATTGAGTCGGTCTAAATGTTAAGTCAAAGTTTTAAGCTATATATGTAGCTAAAGAAATACCAAGGGTTGTGTATAATGTATGTTGTATATTTACAGGTAAAGAAATATTTGTTGGTATTGGTAAAAGAACAAATGATTTAGGTGCTCAAGCTGTAGCAGAATTTTTTCCTGAATACAATGTGAATCTTATCAAAATTGGTAAATGTGAAACACTTTTACATCTGAAAGATGTTGTTAATATGGCAGGCAGAAATATTGTAGCTGTTGGTTGTGGAAATGATGCTGAGACAAAAGATGCAAATTATATTATGAAGGTTTGAAACTGATTTGTTTACATTGTTTATTACCCATATTATTAAATCTTTGCATTAATTTCAATCTGATTAAAACACAGATCCTATTTCGTTTCGTTTTTTTATAGTTCAAAATTTGATTTTACTTGTCTTCACAACTCTAGGATCTGGAAGAGTTGTTATATAACTCACATTCTGGTTGAAGTGAGGGATTAACTAAGGAAACGGTCTATTACGGCGATTTCTTGGCGTGCAATGCACGTAACTGTGGATAAACCACTAGAAATAGTAGAAACGTCGACACAGATTGATTAATTAATGTCTGACGTCATAGGGTCAAAAGCCGCTCGTACAACCCCTGACGTGACCTTCTACTACAACCGGTCCGATCTTCATGTAGTGTAGGCCATTGAAAGTATAAGTATGAAATATAGATCTGTATTTTAATCAGATTGCATTAATTTTGCCAACCAGAAGAAATCGTGAAAATATGACTACTTTCATTTTTCGTTATTCCATTTTACACAAAGCCATTTGGTTGAAGAACTGTTTACTAGCCAATAAAATATATGGTTAGCATAGCCCAATATATATAAGAAACACATTCTATTTGATGTACATGTAGTCTTGTTTATATTTTATGTTAGCCATTCAATTGGGACTGCTCACTTATTTCGCCGAACATAACTGATCAGAAATTACAGTAAAAACATAAATGATTGAATGAAAATTGGTTTATATACATCCATATTACATTAATATATATTTTCCTACCCGTTTGCGTCCATTTCCAGGTCTCAGAAAATTGAGATTTTGCTCCTTTAACATGTTATATAGATCTGGAGTGATTAATTCTGACTCCTATTTTTACCTGGAATTCAATAGTTGTTGAGAAGTTTGATTAAAGAATAATATTGATACTATTTTCATGGTGCCATTTTATTGTTAACTATATGTACAATAATGTATCTATTTTAGGAAATGCAAAGTTTGGCTGAGTATACATATAGAGTTCTACATCTAGATAATCGAGCTGGTGTTGATATGTTATATATTAATGGTCGTTTAATACATAGAACTCGAGAAGAAATGGGAGAGAAAAATTATGGAGTAAGAAAAATTCATAACTTTACATTCAATTATTTACACATCATATGATTTGACAATGAAAATTTGATGTTATCTCCTGAATTGTAAAGCTTATATTACATCTAATGTATATAATAATATACATTGTCGCCTTGTGGTAACCCTTGGTCTACCAGTTCGGGGAGATCATCCGTGGTGTAGGTGGTCCAAAACCGTTGCTGAAGCCTGGAAGTGATTGGCAGCGGTTTGGGTAGTCTGGGCAGCGTCGAGTCTTCCAAGTGCCTGGTTCCCCTGAGCTGTTGTGAGTCGTGGCAATGATTCAACCGGGTATAGGGGTGCATTTTATAGGGATGGTTCCGGTTAACGGCACGTGCAGCATGAGTTACATGAAAATCATGGAGAACACATTACCATCTCAGAAGTCAGGTTACGTTTTTAAGAACATTTCCTGGGTTCAATTCTGTGTTTGGGAAGGAGCCTTATTGCTCAGGTAAAGTTGGAGATGTGGTCACAAATATACAATAAAAACATTTGGCAAGTTTTATGCAATGCGTCTATTCAGAGTAACATACCAACCTGACGTTTCTTCTGTTGCTTAGTATATAAAAGCATACAGTACATGTATGTCTCTGTTTAAAAAAAGATGATTTTGGAAAGACTTGATAGAGATTGTTTATTGATACACATTATGTGTCAAATTTTGATATGCAGTAATGGCAGGGACTTACACTTTACATGTACTTTAATAATATAAATTAATAAATGAGTGAATGATATTTAAAATGTACAATGGTATGCTGTATGGGTTGCACTATATGCAATATTGAATGTGAATGTACTTTTGGTTATATGTTGTGAATATTTATTTACAGTAAATTAGGAGAAATGAAAGTTCATGTAGATATATATTTGATTGTTGTAAAATAGATGTTGTAGTTTAACAGTTCCTCGTGAATCCATTCCTTAGATGTAAGAATTACATGAGGACATCACTATACCATTGTTGGTGGGCTTGCCATATATACATGTAATTATATTGAAATCGGCTCAGACATGGTATAGTGAGGTCCCAGTGTACACGCTACTTTCGAATGAAATTTCAACAACAGAAATAAACCCATCGGATAACCTAAAGTTTTTAAATAACAATGACCAATATTAAATTCAGAATCTGAGATTTAAGTATACCTGTAGTTTCCATTTTGTAGTTGATCATTAGTAGCAGTGTATTTTATGTTGTCTTTGTGTGTAGATGTTAGGAATCCTGTATTTAATGTTTAGAATCATCCTCTTTTATACCAATAGTCTTTGATCCTACAAATATTAAAGAATGATTTCTTTACATACCAGTATTAAAACTTGATCTCTTCTGAACCTTAACCCATAAATAAAGACCGATTGTTTTGAAGCATTTACTGCATATATGCCTTGTATTGGTGTACCATAATCAGAGAAGGGCAGGTAACTCTTCTGTGACTGATTGTACTAACACCTTCAATCTGACTGGTGCTGTGTAATTTTCTAAATCGATCACATATTTTCCGAAGTTTTATAATGATAATATAATCTGCATTTGATAAGTGTATAATCGCCCCTAGTTTGGTCCATCTACGATTTTTGGTAACGCTCTACTGGTTAGAGGTTTTGATATTTTATTTCAAATATTGTGAGATTGTCGTAAAATAAACCCAACTTTTTGCAATTAGTGGCCCTGTCATTGAAACTTTGTAAAAGACAATAGGTCATACTTTTTTTCATTTGTTTTTCAAAATTGTGGAGATTGTTTACATAATAATAATGAGGAAACTTAACACAATTCAGACTATAACACCATTTATGAGTTGTGTACCACGCAAAACTTGAAAACCGCTCTTCAGAAAACTGCTGGTCGAAGCATATTCATTGCTTAGTAATGCTATGATTATTTATACAGGCAAGTTATTTAACCACAAGCTACATGTAGACTAGACTTTTATTATTGTGGCTTTTTCTCTCAATCAAAATTTCTGAAGGAAGAGACTGTAATGATTGGGGGTAGGGGATTATAACAATAAAGCAGAACTGAATCTTTAACATCGAAAGAAAATGATAGCATGTTACCAGTATAATCAATGATTTTGCCATGTAGAAAACTAGAAAATATGTGATTGATATGTCAATAAAAACAAATTATCATTATGATTATCATTATAGTCTTTACAATCTTACATATTGAATTATTTGCACTGGCCAGTCTAGATTTTAATACAAATTTATAGAAAGTTGTGACTTTCTACATCCACTTTGATTCCCTGCTAGGAGATGGTGCAAACATTTGGCCAAGATCGACATGAAATATCTATATCTGAACTCTCCAAGACAGCTAATAGATTTTCAGCTTTACCACTAATGGTTTTGAAGCTGAAATATTACAAGAATATAACGTCCGCATTATTGTAAATTAGGTATTATATTAGTGTACATGTTTAGCATGTTTGTGTTTTAGGTATGAGGTAATAATAGAACATGGTAGTAATTTTATTTTCATTCTCTTTATAAGAGACTTTAATTCAGTTGAACTTGAGATTATGGTATACCATATTTATATTGGTATAATTGATAAGTGAAGATAATCCCATAATTTTAATTGAATATTTCCTCTCATACCAGTATCAGTATTAACAAAAAACTTTATTTTGTGATTGGTATCCCTATGACATATTTATAAACATAAATTGACTCTTTTTTATGTTTAATGGTTTAAATCCACTCTTTCTGTAAATGATTTTAGATTGCCAAGAAATATTTTCGTTCTCAATTTTGAATTGTATGCCATCCTCTTTATATCTACTGAAAAAATGCATTGCGTAAGATTTAGATAAAGAGCTGACAGTTCTCGCTGTAATAGTTTAAAAATAGATAATGGTTAAGGAGTATATTGAAAATTTCGGTCAAATTGTTTTATTCTGAGTGAAATTTGAAGCTTTGATAAGAATAATGTAGTACGATTTTCAATGCAACATTTTTAATTTAAATGATTAAATGGTAATCGGGTTTCAGTCCATTAAAAATCGCAACCATCTGGGTTGATTATGGCTTGTCATAATGTCGAATTTATATAACGTTTGAGGTCAGAAGAAAGACATGCAATAGGCTGATTTAGTTTTACATGTACATAATGTATCTTTAAGCTAGACTTTAAAATTTGTCAACTACTTATATTAGCCATATACTATATGTTACAAAAATTAGTGGACAGATTATGTGATTGTTTCCTTCAAATCAAAATTGTCATGTTACTTTTACTCCATGATCATATACAGTACTTCTTATTCTTACAAAAACAGCACATATCACATTATAGTTAATATACTGTCTAATACAGATTATTGGATTCAGTTAATTAGTATTAACACCATACACTGTTAACTGCTCATCTATGGAAGTCAGGAGCAAATATTTAATGATTGTTGATTTAATTATACATGTAGAGTTAGTATATTTTTACTGTCCATCATTTGATCTTTTTATAAGCCAAATCCCATGTGGACAATGCATCTAATTCATTTGAGATTAGAGCATTAATAAAACACTTCAAATTCAATACAGTTCATATTCTAAAAGAAACAATTTCATTTGGGTCTACGTGTACTTTTTAAAAAAAATCCCAGGCTATTTGTGATTCTAATTACAAATATCAATCCAGCTTTCTAAATCAAAGTTTTTTCAAATTGCTATTTAATTCTATTTGAAAACTTAAAATTTTTACTCAGATATTCAGTAAAATATATATTTGCTGTTGTATTAGTAGATAATAAAAACCTCAACTGAATTAATGTTTCTTTTAGAACCTGTTGTATTTCTGTACAACTTTTGGTCAGGTTTAATTTTGTGGTATGCACATGTGTTGATTTTCATGGAACGTTTTCAACATTCGGTATTGGTCTTTCTCGTCCCCATTTCAAGGAGGAATTTGGTCATATAAGTTTTACATTGCTCTACCTACAGAATAATAGAAGTATTAGATTGACAAAATCTTAAATGTCATGTCAATGCGGATATGATTATGTAATGTATATGTTTTTAAGAATTTAATCTATTTTTCCACATTTATTGTACAGATATAAGTAGGGGTATTTGAAAATAGGGGGTGGGGGGTGGCCAAACAGTTAACACATGCGCTTTGCTTCATAAGGTCTGTCATTGGGTCAAGCGGCTAGGTTTCAATTCCCTGCTTGTACGTGACAAAGAGTAAGGTTACCTGTCCAACCTCGTAGATTTTCTTCAGGGTTCTCTGGTTTCCTCTCATTGCTAAAGACCCCTATACACAAGCAAATTATTGAAATAAAATAGAACCATATGTTAATCCCAAGATGACCTTGTTTGTGTCACATTTAGGTTAATTCCCATCTAGGCAAGCTTTGCTATGCATAACCTTTTTGATTTTAAAAATCATTTAGAAGCCCTTTTCTTTCCATTGTGTCATGGTCTCTATTTTTATTTACTGAAGATGATTTTTTTTAGTTTAGAATTGTCATTGTGCTTCCTTATTTAAATATTTCTAATTTGTTAATATTATTTACCAGAATTAGTGCTAAATATGAGTTTGCAACAGCTGTAAATATCCACATTCTTTCTAGTAATTATCATATTATTAAAAAAATTGGTACTGTATTTTCTGAAGAAGAAAAAAAGCAGTAAGATATTTGGTTGTAATGTAAATAGTATACACTATTAAAGGGAGGTCCCAGATTCCACAGGGATAGGAAGTTAAAGTAGGTTTAAGTACCTAAATCGAACACTGAAATATAACTGTGAACTTATTTACATTGTACATAACTTCATAATTGCGATGATCACTACAGCAAGTGTATAAAGGTACTTCTTATGAAGGTGTAAAAATAATACTATTACCGGTAAACACTACTTACCAACATAGACCCTTATTTTCTAGAGTTTTGAAAAAAAAACGCTCTTTTTCCGGCGTGCAAAATGACTATGGGTCAGATCTAGTCACGGTCATTTTCCATAGCCCTAGGTCTTTACCGGCATATATGGTCGACATGGAACCCATGGTTCAGGGGATCCCATATGTAACAACTATAGAATATTTATCACAGATAATTGTTTATTGGTTTGAAAGACATCATGTTTATTTACGTAGTACTTGTAACTAGGACATATTTTAATCTGTTACAGAACAGAAATGCATATTAAAATCAATCTGAGTCATGAAAGGTTTTGTTTATTGCATTAATTATTGTTTTATTCAATATATAGCTAAATGACTGATGGTCTTATTTGCTTATTTAACAGGTAATTGATGAAAAGATTCCATATACACGTCATCGAGTCAATCTAAGTGAACTCAGTAAAGCAGATGGATCTATCTCCTCCATGTTACTTCCTATTTACAAGAAGAAAAATCAGATGAATATGCTTTCTGATATCACAGAAGATGACATTGCACCATTTTGCCACAAATAGACACAGAGCTTTTGTTATTAGTTTTGGAGAGATTTTTGGGGATTAGCAATTAGGCTTATATTATTAAGATATATATTATATATATTTTTTTGTAGTTGTTATTAATAGATATATTATAAAGTATTAAGCTTCAGTTTATTAGTGTTATAAATTTTGTGGACCACTCCATTATTGATATCTTGCCAGTATAAATTAAAAACCAAATTTGATGTATCAATAACGATTTTTTCTGTAATTAAACACTTTGCATATGCTATTGTATTTAGTTTATAAGCCTGCTAGATAAAACAGTTAGTGGAAAAAACCTGTTCTCAACTTATTATCTTCATATCCTTTTAGCAATACAAACTACATGTACTTGAATTGCTAGTGTTGTATGTAATTAATATCCTTAATTTTCAAATAATGGTATCTAAATTTTTCTGGAAATACAGATTGTTGTAACCTTTTAGGTATCAAAACTTTTCTGGACATATAGATTCTCGTAACTTTTTTCTACAAATTGTGAAGATATGTCGCATATATTTATGGTATACCCCTATAATATAAAAGTAATAGTCCTGAAGATATAATGATGGTTGGTTTTATGATTGATAACAATTATAATTGTAATTTAATGTTAATTAAATTAATTTAATTCATGTAATATGTAGCTATTTACATGCATCATCTCTTAATGTTGTTTTAATGATATAAGGCATTGATAGTATGTATATGACTGAATTCCTACATGACTGAAGTATAAAATAGGCTTACTTTTAATTATTAGAGGTTTAAATTGACTCCATTTGTAGAAAATTCATCTGTATAAAGTGTCATCAGTATTAACACTGTAAGTCGCTAGTGGAAATATGATTGGTTAACATAAAATTATACTGACCAATCGTATTGGGAATCACCCTTACAGTAATGCTGATGTTCCACTTTTACGAGGAACTGAAAGATCATTTGAAATTAGGACTTGATTGCTGAAATGCTTTAGTAATTATCTTCATGTATGTTAAATGAAATGAAGAAAAATTCAATCTCAAACATGTGTGAAATCTTTATAATTTAAAATAATTACTTTTCTAAACTGAAATCTGTGGTAATTACATTTTTTTTGCTTGTTGATAAAGATCTTTAGAGAAAAAAATTCACCAATCAACTAGTTATAAATAATTTGTCTTTTAAATGTTCACATTTTTTTATACTTTCATTGTAAGATAACATTAATAAGAAACTGATAATCTCTCACTAGTTTTATGTGAAATCTATTATTATTATTTATAATTTGTCTTTTCAAGAGTCTAATTTTAAAGTATGGTGCTTAACCTTGAAATTTTTACTTATTTATATTTTTCTCAAATCATACATCCTTGTGGATCTCAGCAATACAAGTTTTAAGTTAAATCCCACATTGAAACTGTATTATGGAAGTGTTTGTTTAACCTTTAACAGTTTTGTTAAATACATCTTTTAGTTCTTTATTCTTACCTCTTTATAAACCTGATTTGTTGACTAAACCAATCTATGACTTCGAGCATGAAAGGATTGGAATTATAATTTTAGAATATATTGTGGTCTTTTCAAGGTTACATCCTAGTTGATCTTTTCAAGATTACATCCTAGTTGATCTTTTTGATCTTTTCAAGTTTACATCCTAGTTGAAAAGAGCCATTAATACATGTATATTATTCAGATCATTCAGGATATGATCACGGATGTACAGGCCTATTAATAAATGCATAGCTTAAAAATAAGACTCTAAAAAAAACCTGATTATCTTATATATATTGATTTTGGAAACAATACAATTATCAATATCATTTTCTTTAATATTATTAAATTGTTAAAACATCTTTTTCTACATATATCACTGTAATCATGACATTGATAATAAAGCTATATTTCATATTTTACTTGTTTAATCATTCCTGATCATGTGTATAGGACAAGAAGGAGGGCTGTCTGTCTAAAATTCTGGATTCCTTTGCATTCATTACTAAAGAGTGTGAGCAAGAAAAAAATAAGGTATTAAAGATTTACTATATTTTAGTCTCATGGTAATCTAAACCCAACTTATATTTCAGTATTAAGCATTACTAGCTCAGTCTTAAGCATTAATAAGTGCTATGATCCAAACATACAAAGACAGGTTACGGGAAGAGTTGAACACAAACACACTTGCCTTCGGTTCCTAGATGATTAGCTTGACTATGTCTATGATGTACTTTTTTTGACGGTGAAGGTATTGCATTGTTGACATGCAGGGCCAGTCAAATGTGCAATAGAGACAGTCAAAGACTTTTATTTTTTTTTTAGACCATGGTTTTACCAGGATGTATATTTATGTCCACACACTCAGTGCTGTATTCTTTATGAGTAATGGGTGTACTGTATACTCGGAAGTGTTATTAATTGTTGGCAAAAAAACCCCCTAGAATTAAAGGGCCATTATTGAGCTAAATCTGCAGGTCTTTTTTTATGCCTTAAATGTAAATTATTAATTAACTTACCAAGACCATAATCAACTCTCAATGCCATCGGATACGTGACATTGTCAACAGATTTAAATATGATTGATGGTTAATGATTTAATTTAAAAATGGATAATAGAGACTTTGTTTATTACTTTAACAACAGTAGCAATGACAATTGAGACTACATTGTTTTTCTAATGTCGGTAACTCGGCTAAGAATAAAGTAATTTCATTGAAATTTTCAATATATTCCCTTTTCATTATCTTTTTTTTAAAAAAAACAATTATATCAAAATCTGTCAGCCCTGTATCTAAATCTTACATAATTCCCCTTTAAAGTTGCATTATGTAAGATTTAGATAAAGAACTGGCTGTACTTGCTATACCAGTATATATAATTACAATGATAATGAATTTATTATATCACTGTCGACTAGGAAGTCATGACTTGGTGAGTAATCATTGTGAGCAATATTATCCTGGTTAAAATAAGTACATTTAAAAATCTGCTAACACTTGGAGGTATGATCTTTGGTAACGGATTTGAGTTCAAGATATTATCTACAGTAGACAGAATAATCAAGACATCCATTCTTGCCTATATAAGGTATGTATTTTTATATGCCCCCATTTTCATATTGTTGTCGCTCCGCGTCCATCCACAATTTGTTTGTGGACACTCTACAGGTCACAAATTGTATCCAATTTTGATGAAACTTGAAATATAGGTAAATCTCCCAAGGAATGCAGTTCCTTTCGAAATTGGCATGCATCTGACTGTAATTTAATGGATTATGGCCTCTGATTGTACAAAAAATCATGTTTTTTTTTAGCTTGTGGACACTTTTGCCCGACTATTGTAGTCTTTTTTGGCTTCAAATGTTATATGAACTATCATTTAAACTTTTAATCACACGACAAGCATATAACCAACTCTCTAGATCATCAGATGGCTGAGAGTAGAACACCCGCATGGGAAAGAACTTATATTGGCTTTGCCTGTTGTTCAATCCTTTTCAAATGAATAGAATATTGTTTAAACTTAACCCGCATGATTTGAAAATTTGATAAAATGGATAAGCAAAACTTAGTCTTGATTTCACTCATAATTTTCGTTCTGAATAAAGTAATTTGAATGAAATTTTCAGCATATGAAATTTTCATTATCTATATTTGAACTATCTACTTGAAATAAAATCATTTGCATATTTCATAAATCATATCCTGTTTTTTTATGAAATTCTTCCCCATTTCACAACCTGGGGTTTGCGAAGTCAAAGGGATCAGTAAAGGGTAAACAGGAAAAAAACGGGTCCATGAAACAGAAAGCCATGCTAATTAGAGTACCGGTATGAAATTTTTAGTATTTGGACAATGTACATGTATTTTAGTAATTGTTATCTGAGTCACATTTCACAATGGGGATGTAATTATCTTCGCTACAATGAAAAATTATCTCGGATTAAAGTAGCTAAGTCTCTAACTCAATATCATCCAAAATCTTCAACATTGAAAACACAAATTTTTGTCAATTTAAATCAACATTGATGCTGTGATCTTACCGGAAAAAGATTGGCTTCTGATATCCAATATTTAAGACAAAATAAAGATTTTACCATTGGTACACGAATCGTGTACCATAATGCGTTTCAGCCCCAGTTCTAGCAAGATACTCGAGGAATGAGGCTAGACATATTGCACCAAACCAAATGGCGTATGTAGACTGGAATAACCAGGCGCTAGAAATTTGCATTCGATTGAGATTGCTGGTTTATTTCGCGGAACATAACTGATTTGAAATTAGAGTAAAAACGGAAACCATTGAATGTATATCAGTTTATATACATTCATATTACAGTATTATACGAGTTGCGACCCACTTGTGTCAATTTCTAGGTCCCAAATGTTAGCGATTTAGCTCCTTTAACATCCGAAATTACCATTATTTGTCCATTATGCATAAATTATATCTATGTTAATGAGATCCCAGACGTGGGCCGATCACTATAGGGCACAGGCACTTGAAGGGATTAAAATAAAACTTCTTACTACTGTTTGACTCACTAGTATTACTAATAACACAAAGTCAATCACCCACCATATTGTTTTGAATCGTTGAAGATATTTCGTCTGCTATCATCTCAGAATACTCACTAGTTCTAACACTTTCCGTCATTTTTATTGCCAACGAGACTTTATTTGATCATTATACACCTTCCAATGAAAATAAATTGGTCATTTTACAGCGTTATTAATTACAAATCAAACTTGAAGCGTGCTCACTTGGCTATTCGTATCTTCGACGGACTGGAAGTAAGACGAAATAAGGTCAAAGGAATTCCTTTTGTTTGTTGCAGTCTGTATCACCTAGTCCCTTTATTAACCTATCCGTTACTCGAAATTCGAACTCAATCATCATTAGGGTGTAACGGTGATATATTCAAACGTTTTTTTTTTAAATTGGATAAAAATTATAACTCTAGAGCGACCACATTAAGCTTAAAACGCAATTTTTCATACAATCATGGGCCATAATTCAGGAAGTTACGATCCGATATGCATGAATATCGAAAGGAACCAAGACCTTTGTGATATAAGCATAAAATTTAAGGTTGCATCAAAATCAGAAAAAAAATTTGGCCTTTATTTACACCATTTGCGTTATACGAGGGGCGGCCATTTTGTCCGTCAGTTTTGGTCGTATTTTCAAGATTTTCAAAATCAACCATCATTACGGTGTAACGGTGATATATTCACACGATTTTTTAAATCAGATAATAATTGTGACCTCTAGAGGGACCACAAGCTAAAAACGCGATTTTTCGTAGTCAAGGGCCATAATTCAGGAAGTTACGATCCGATATGCGCAAATATTGAAATGAACCAAAATCTTTAGGTTATAAACATGTATTTCAAGTTTCATTAAAATTGGATCAAAATTGTGAGCTCTTAGAGGGTCCAGAACATTGATATACCATATTTTTACACTGTTTGCGTTCGAGTGGCGGCTATTTTGTCTGGCAGTTTTGGTCCGATTTTCATGAAATTCGAACTCAACTGTCATTAAGGTGTAACGGTGATATATTCAAACGTTTTTTAAATCGGAATAAAATTGTGACCTCCACAGGGTGCACAAGCTAAACAACGTGATTTTTCGTACAATCAGGGGCCATAATTCAGGAAGTTACAGTCCGATAGGCGCGAATATCGAAAGGAAATAAAATTTCAACAAAATCAGATGAAAATTGTGACCTCTATAGGGTCCACAAGCTAAAAACGCGATTTTCGTACAATCAGGGGCCATAATCCATGAAGTTACGGTCCGATACATGCCAATATGGAAAGGAACCGAAAGGATCGACAACAATATACGTCCACATGAAAGAGAGAGAGAGAGAAATGGGGTTTAACGTCCACTCGACACAAACTAGGTCATTTCGGGACTAACATATGGTTTAATTTTATTTCAATAATTCGCTTGCGCATAGGGGTCTTTAGCAGTGGGAGGAAACCCGGAGGACCCGGAGAAAACCCACGAGGTTCGACAGGCGACCCTACTCCTTGTCACGTACAACCGGGGATTCGAAACCACGCCAGTCGACTAAATGACAGACTTTATGATACACCGCGCGCACGCTAACCATTCAGCCATCCAACCCCCCTACGTCCACATGAAAATGTGGGCGTATAAAAACGATTAATTGGTTGTTTTGGATTTGGGATTCAGGTAAATCAACTAAGGTGGAATATATTGGACCACATTGAAGTTGCTGTATTCACGGGCTTGAATAGCAGGAAAAGGCGTTTGAGACAGCTCAATTTTAAAACATTCATCGAGCTCGTACTGTCGTACGCCTATGCGTCACAGGACCATTTTCTGTAAAAAATTATCTGATATTTCTAGATTTACCGACCTGAATTCGAACCATCCAATTAGACTGTTGAGCTGCATTCACAAATAATACTTATTCTAACAATTTTGACCTATCGGTTACTGGGTTATGTTCAGGTGCGATTTAACTCATTGGGTGATAACTGACATGGAATGACCCAAAACACAGATTTTGAAAAAAAAAATCGAAAAAACACTGAGACATGGGACAAGAATGGCTTTAACATATGTTGGAGACATTAGTACCAACTATAATTCCACCAAGTTTCAGATTTTTAGGTGCTCATCTACCGGGTTTTATCGGCTCGAAAATATGAGGCAATTTTCGAAAATTTGTGTCTAAAACCATATTCGAGGCCAGTTTTCTGGGTATCTAGTGAAGACTGATGCGTTTTCATATGTTTCTAATGTAGAACTACCGACAATCTCTGGATAGTCCAAGATTTGGGTCTATTACTTTGTAGGTCCTGGAGCACTACAAAATCCAGAAAATATATAGTTGCATCAATTATTTTCGGTTTTTAGAGCCAAGTAGCATGCGAACCTGTAATCTGATTGCAGATTCGTAATCTACACAAAAAGTTCTATCATGCTACCAAATTTGAGCTGTATATCTTCACTAGAAAGGTAAAGATTTTTTCGAGGGGGGCGATTTCCCACCCCTGGCCCACTGGACATGGAATGACCCACCCACTTTTTTGTTAATATTTATTCTCTAAATTTGGCAAAAGAAACCCAATGACTAGCTTCTTTGCTTCTTGTCATATTACAGTCATTGCAGCTATTTCATATTTCATTCTCTTCATTTTAAAAAGTACCATATCAATGAAAGCAGGAATGTGAACATATATTGCAGCGTTAGGGATGCTCTAGTTGTAGCCTGGAGGCTCAGTGCGGAGGGGTGTCCATCAAATGTGCACAAAACTAGACGCAACTTTTCTATAGTAAAATTTCGCGTAGAATACGATGCGGGGTGGTAATCAGTCAGCTGTTGGGACGTTTTCCAGATATTCGGGGTCAACGGTCAAATGAGTTCATTTGCACAGAAAGTGAATGCGCAGCCATTCTTGTATCATGAAAATAAACTGAAAATGATCGAAAGTAATTACCCTTTCAATAAAAATGTAAACTTGCTAAATTCACCTTTCTTCTTTGTGACCCCGGAGGTCAAAAGGTGAAATTTTCTGTTTTAGCACTAGGAAGATTTAAAGCAACAACTATCAGCGTAAAATTTAAAAAACTAAAGCGAAACCTGTTCTAATTAATAATAGGAACATTTAAAATGTATATTTAGGTGGTCTTATGCTGAACTTCTACTTTCGAACCTCGAAAAAGATCTTGCATAACAGAACCAAAACACTTCGAAACCTGTTTCAAAAATACCACTCGGCATCATATTCTACGCAAAATTTTACTATAGAAAAGTTGGGTCTGGTTTTGTGCCCATTTGATGGACACCCCTGCAGCGTTGAGCCTCCAGTCTATTGTGTTAAGAGATTGATTTGTACCCTTGGATTGCTTCTGTTAAAAAGTGTATTCATTTTGAGTTAATAAAATAACAATACTTATAATACGTGTTTTACATGTGTACATATTAGAGATAATGTATAATATTTTATAAATCTTTTCAAACAAAATTTATGGTGAGTGTGGATGTGTTGCTTTCAAGGCATAATATAAGTGCAATTTGCCTGAAATCTATGAAAAATATCCATTTCTATAGACAGTGAATGCATCATAATGGCATATCCATGCACTTAATCCTTCCTTAAACTAGCCCCCTGAGATGACTAATTTTTGAGGTGATATAATCAATGATTAAGTACAAGTTAAAGTTTCAGAATATCACATTTTATTGTATTCTCAAACAATGATAAACTCAATGATTAGCCTAATCAAAGTTTATAAAAATCGGAGTTTAAAATTTAGTCAGCCTTCCAGAATATGACTGGTCAGAAAATCGGAGATTAAATCTATGATTAGCACTAACCCACTATCGAAAATATGAGCTTAAGTTTTCAATCAGGTCTATGGTTTAATAAATATAAGGGAGATAACTACACTAAAGCTATTCATTAGAGGACATAACACTGGCTCAATTTTCTGTATTTAAATATAATATTGATAAGATATTAGGGATACTATAGTTACTAATTTATTAAATGTTGGCTGTTGCTTATAATCACAGGATAAATGATGAAACTATAAAAAAGCATAAATTTAATTAATTAATAAATTGAAATATAGTTAAGACATAGTTAAAATTAATTGAATAAATGTTAATTTTTGTTCTAATTAGATATTGATTGACTATCTCATAGTAACTAATTCTTCTGATGATGTAGGATGTATGGCTACTGTGTCATCAAATTGTTTCTTAGTGGCACCCATCTTAATTGCCACAGAGAAACCTTGTAACATCTCATCACATCCTTGTCCAACCATATGCAGGCCAACAACTTTCTCTTCCGGCAACACACAAATTAACTTCATAAGACACTTTTCTTTATGTTGGGTAACAGCAAAGTACATTGGAGTAAAATTGGAGGTGTAAACCTTAAGCTTGTCTTTTCCATATTTCTTCTCAGCCTCGGCTTCCGTCAGTCCTATGGTGCCGGTAGGTGGATGAGAAAATATCACAGTTGGAATGTTATCATAATCCAGTTTAAGATTGCTTTCTTTGTTGAATACTCTATGCGATAAGCGTCGACCTGCTGCTATCGCTACTGGTGTAAGCAGAGCTTTACCGCAGACATCACCTAGTGCATAGATTTTATCAGCTGTCGTATTTTGATATTCATCAACTTGTATGTTCCCTTTCTTGTCTAAAGCTACTCCAACATTCTCTAATCCTAAGTTATCTGTATTGGGTATACGACCAATAGCCCACAATAAGCATTCCACATCCTTGTGAACATCTCCTGCGACAGTTGTAATGGTTAATTTACCATTTGCTTCCTTCTGGACAGATTTGACATTGGTTTGACGATGGACTTTAACCCCTCCATTTTCAAGATTCTCTGTCACTGTTCGACTAATGCAAGTATCAAATGTTCTAAGAACTTCATCATGTCGTATAAAAATCGATGTTTCTGAACCAAGTGAGGCAAATATGGCTGCGAGTTCCACAGCAATATATCCGGCCCCAACTACTATAGTTTTCTTGGGAAGATCTTCAAGCTCAAAAAATCCATCACTACTTATACCATGTTCAGCTCCAGGTATGTCAGGAAAAATTGGTCTACCTCCTGTAGCAATTAAGATATGGTCAGCAGAATAAGTATCATTTCCAACCTGAACACCCCTATCTTGTGTCAAAGTAGCATGACCAAGAATTTTCTCTACTTTCGATTTATCAAGGTTGGAATCATAGATACCATTCAATCTTTTGATATAGGCATCACGTGAAGACTTTATATGACTCCAATTAAACTTTTTCATCTCCACATCAAATCCGTAATCTCGATAATTCGGTAACATTTCTGCGTGCAAAGCGGTGTTGAACATAATTTTTTTGGGAACACACCCCACATTCACACACGTGCCACCCCATCGACCCTCCTCAACAACTGCTGCCTTGACACCAAATTCTGCAGCTCTTCTTGCACTTGCAAGTCCTCCAGAACCACCGCCAATTACTATCAAATCGAATTTCTTGCTTACCGGCGGCATGGTTGTAAGAAAACGCCGAATCATTGGATGACAAACAAGTTGTTTTGTTTGGTGTAACTGTTCATCCGGAACTTGAAAGGTTGCGGGGTCAAGGATAAAGTATCTACGTTTGCGAAAGGTTCATTCGGCAAACCTCAGCAGATTCCAGTACCCTTCTGCCGAGGTTTGCCGAGTGCGAAAGGTTAGGACTAAAAGCTAAGGCACATTGCAGATTTCGTCATAGCTCACGAGATGTAAATGAAATGGGGGTTAACGTCCCACTGTTCTCCTCCGAACATCCGGGCTAATGAAGACGGGTCACGAGATGTTAAATTTAGCGTGAGGTCTAGGGGATAGACCGATTCAGCTAAGAAGTCACGTGACGTCCTGACTGAACCGTTAAATTTCATTTAAAGTAACGTGATTGCCTTCGTGTTTATTTTTCATATTACTGCATATTCATAACTTTTATTGTTTTGATCAGCATTTATACTGTTTAATAACTATTTCGTGTGAACAAATAACGTTTAAATTTCTTCATCTTGAGTGTAATTGGACTTCATTTATTCAACTACAAGTTATAAATTATACTACGTTGATCATGGCGACGCCGCCGTCGTCAACAGATCCAGGCGTACCGTTCGCATCTTCATGCTCCTGTTGTAAATGGCATGTGATATGTTGCCAATGTATTCTAAAGAATGACCATATCATTTGGACCAAATCCCTCAGAAACACCCCTAAAATTAGTCCGGTTACGTGGGCTAACTGGTTAAAGAAGGGTGGGGGTAAAAAAAAACGTCGGAGAAAAGAGCTACAAATTGTTCCGTGAAAACTATGTTTACGATGTCTGCATCGGTTCTGTAAAAGATATTAGTAATCATGTTAAAGCTAGATGTTATCGTTCAATGAAGAAAAACGAAGAGCCTCACCATTTATTTCTAACTTTAAAAGAGTCTAGTCGTTTGGAATCCGATAATGGTAAATTTGGCGAGATTTGTACCGCCCACTGCTCATGTAAAGGAGGTAGTGGTGGACACTGCAATCATGTTTTTGCCCTCTTGTACCAGCTTAACGATTTTTCCAGTCTTGGTATGAAAGATATTCCCTTAAATAACATGTCATGTACTAGTCAACCCCAAACATGGCACATTCCAAGAGCTAAAAGCATATGCCCCTTACCTGTGATGGGAACACATTTTGCTCGTTCCACAACAGATCAGAACGAAAGAAAACGGGATCCTGTCAAATCGAAGTTGTATGATGCTAGGGGGCCTGCTGCAAAATGTGGATTGAAAACGGGGCACATAAATTCCCATGTAATGGATCTTAAGAATAAAGAACCCCCACCTCCATTTTCATATCTATTACTTGACCAAGAACCCACTTTTGTAGTTGATACTGTGTTTGGTTACATGCCTGTTGGATCCTGTCTATCATATCAATTGGAAGACTTTGGTAGAGAACCACCTAAATTTTTTTTCAACCAACCTGCGCCAACTGATTCCATAAATCATATTTTTTCAGCATTTCCCGACATCCCGATTCTAAGAGATAATAAAGTCTTCGATCTTGACCACGATTTAGGGGTATTTCGTGTTTCAGATGTTTGCAGGGAATTTTTACTTAATAATATTTTGATTTCTGTCGAAGATGCTATTAGTTTGGAAAAGAGAACAGGTTTTACAAAGTGATTGTTTAGAGTGGGTTAATCAACATAAAGTTAGATTAACTGCGTCCAATTTTGGCAAGTTATACAAGCGAATAAAAATGCCTACGGAGGCATTGTTAAAGTCCATTTTTGAAGCTAAAGACCTAGGTTATGTAAAAGCCATATCACATGGCAAACGAACTGAAAGTACAGCAAAAGATATTTATGCCAAATATAATATGCAGAAGACAGGTTTTCTAATATTCGATGCAGGTTTATGTATAAGTTCAACGTATCCATATCTGGGAGCAAGCCCCGACGGAACAATTTTCGATCCAACTGCAGCAGACCCTTATAGGCTTCTAGAAATAAAATGTCCATTTAGTAAAAGAAATGAAACTTTAGAACAAGCTCTCTTAGATCCAGGATTTTATTTGCAAAAGATAGGAGATACCATCAAATTAAAGGTCGATAGCGAATACTATTGTCAAGTCCAGGGTCAGTTGGCACTCACTGGTATAAACTGGTGTGATTTTTGTGTGTTTTTATCTGACTGTAAAGAAATGTGCATAGACAGAATTTATTTTGATTGTAATTTTTGGACCAACAAGTTGTTACCAAAACTATCAATGTTTTACTTTAATCACGGGTTACAATTCTTGAGTATGAAATATGACATGCAGTTATTACACAAAAATGTTATATTGAAAACTATAAATATAAACAAATGTATCATTGAATTAAAATAATCAAAACGAAACAGCTTAACTCTTTGTCTATTATACGACGAATTTGTGATATGAATTACAATGTTTTTCTTTATCCATTTATTCGGTCATTTCCGTATTAAGAACTGGGTTTTGGAAATTAGAAAGAAGACAGGCAACTGTCCATATCTGGTTAATGACACCAAACATTGAAATTGGGATAATAGAATTAAAAATTCGAAATCTCCGGATCTTACAAATTGCTTTTTCGACATGAATTCGGTGCCTTGCAATAGTTTGAGTTTTGATGACATCGTCCTCGTTAAATCCAACTTTGTCTTTAAGAAAAGGTGGAATATTCAATCGCAATCCCAGAATACCAAGTTCTTTTCCAATTTCGAATCCTTTATCTGCAACAATACCATCGCCATTTAAAATTTCACCTACAAGTAGTTTCTGCTTTAACATTTCTAAAAATCCTGACCTGTTAACAATTTGTTTATCACTTATTGATCCCTCAAATAATTGAGACACAAACATAATACCCCCATTAGGATCAACACTCAACAATCCTTTTAATGGGGGATCACGGTGGCTAAGTGGGTAAGGCGCTGGCTCGCTAGCCTGGAGGTCGGGTGTTCGATCCCTGCATTGGCCGAGAAAGTTCATCCAGATTTTCCGGCGTGGTTCCCCCTTGTCAGTGATGCAGGACGGAGGGCCTGACAAGGACAGATGTCTAGTCATTCGGATGAGACGAAAAACCGAGGTCCCGTGTACACATTGGCGTGCACGTAAAAGATCCCTTGACAGTTGGAATTCGATATAAGAGTCTTCATTAGCCCAGTTCGGAGCAAAACAGTAGGACGTTAAACCCCATTTCATTTCATTTCATTTCAATCCTTTTAATGTCGTGTGAGATTTATACGAACTATAACTTTCACTATGCTTCTGTAAGGCATTAGGGACTTGAACTTTTAGTTCTGTGGCATCAATAATAACTAAATTATTTGGATATTGCTCTAAAAATTCACGTGAGGTATGTTCAATAATTATATCGCGACGTGGCCAAATTTTCAAACTACCTAATACGAGATATAAATAATTAATCCAACTAATAATAATGTTATTAATGGTACCTCCCGAAAGACAAAATCTTTCGGCCAAATCTATGTGTGATAATCCCATTCGCAGTTTGAGAAGAGTGAGTAAAAATTCGTCTTCCAGCGTAAGTTTATGGGCCATGGGTCTAGTTTTGAAAAGCCCCGAGTTTGAGGGATATAATCATCCATACAGTCAGCATGGGGAGATCCATACTCGTACAAACTTTCTGTATCAATGCGACTCGATTTTCCGGTTGCACTATCCCAATAGATTATATGCTTCCTGTCTAGATCAGGAACTAAAAATAAAAGAGTCTTCTTGAAGGCATCATAAGAATTGAATCCAGTGAAATGAGTAAACAGTTTATATTCTTTAGTTGAAGTATTAGACTTTGATAACAGATGAGATACCGAAAACCTGTGATGATACGGTAAAGGAGCCTGCAAACAAAATTCGTCATTGAATGTTTGTGTTTTCCTTGACACAGAACGTTTGTTATTAGTTAAATGGTCACCCTCTCCCTCTGAAGCTTCATCTGTCTCATCTTCTTCCTCGACTGTATAATCTCCGAGACAATAATTTTCTGTCCATTTAGGTATGTTTGTTCGACGTTATTTCCATGAATATAGGAGAAAAAAATATGCTCTGACACATTCCTTATAAATAAGCCATCGCGACATATAAATAGGCCCTATTCGTTAGCCAGTATTATTTTATGGACTGCCTTTGATATTTTGGTTTTATTTTCTTAAAGATGCATTGTGTAAGAGCTAAATCTGCCCACTGCAGACCTTTCTTTTGGCCTCAAATTTCACATAAATTATTAATCAGACATTTATTCACATGACAAACTTAATTATATTAACCCTCTATCCCGTTCACAAGATTTTTGGCAAAGGGGTGAAAATAAGTATGTTTCATCCTCCTTCGACCCCAATGTTTCCCACCAGATTTGACAAAATCCTTTAAACATTATAGCCTCTATATCCTAATGACGTAGATATACTGAGCGCCATGGAAAACGCATCACTTAGTTTTTCGTATAACAAAATGATCCTGTAAACATATCTTATTTATTTTGCTTCTTATTGTGAACAATATTCGAATGGGAACACATCAATAACAACACATTTGTACACTTATGGATGTTTAATCTGTAATCAACGGTACAAAGTCAGAGGGGTCAAAACCAAAAGTACGACACAGATGTCAGTAGCGCGTGTGTCCTCCACGGGCTCTTACGCACGCTGTGCAGCGACGTCGCATTTAATTTACCAATGTTTGCAGTGCCGGACTGGGCCCACCTGTCCACCTGTCCGTGACAGGTGGGCCTAATCTCATTAAACAAACGTGGGCCTAAGCCTATAAAGAAAAAAGAAAAAAAGAGAAAGAAAAGAGAAAGAAAGGAAAGGGGGAAGAAAGAAAAGAAAGAAGGGAGGAGAGGACAGGACAGGACAAAGGAAAGACAAGATAGAAAAAAAATTACTGACTAAAAATACAAAAAAGAAGTGTACTACAAGGAAAGAACTTTATGAGTTAGACCTCATTATACCGAGATCCGTGTAATTCATCTTTTAACCTCTACTTAGTTCTTCATAAGTCATTATCGCCGAAATAATTGCCAAAAACTGAGAATAAAAGATGTTTGTTTTTGACACTGAAGAGAATTCTCAAATTCATCTAATGATAGTGCTCTTAGGTCACTCTTTTATCTAATTGTATCAGGAAATCAAAAATTTTCCTCTTCTGCTTTGGTCTGAAATGTTTGGAAAATGGGTTTGCGGTTGTCAATTTTCAAAACTTTCCTGGAAAGAAACCCGACCCCCCCCCCAACCGACCCCCCTTGGACGCTCGCGCCTCTGCGGCGCGCTCGTGACGCGCATTCGGCGCGGACTTGTGTGGGCCTTGGTCAATGACCTGACAGGTGGGCCTTCGACCCACCAGTCCGGCACTGAATGTTTGAAACAAGGCCTGCGGCAAATTGTTCCATTCTTGGACAAGAGCAGCTTCTAAAGCAGCAATGGTGTGCATCTGTGGTCTCCGATACAGGCGGCGTCCAATCTCATCCCAGACATGTTCTATCGGTGCCATGTCCGGAGACATGGCTGGCCAGTCCAAGAAATTGATGTTGTTAGCAGCCAGGTAGTCCATACTAAAACGGGCGGTATGCGGACGATCATTATCCTGTTGGAAGTGCTGAAGTTGTGGGTACGCTCGAAACATCGGAACAACAATTGGTTGCAAGACATCATCACAGTAGGCTACAGCATTAACGCGACCCCTGCAAACGTGTAGGGCGGTCCGATGATGAAATGTGAAGCCTCCCCACACCATTACACTTCCCCCACCCCATCGATTCGTTTCGAAGACGCAGCAGTCTCCAAGACGTTCCCCAAGACGTCTCCACACACGTTGACGGCCATCAGCGTGATAAAGATGAAAGCGACTCTCATCACTGAAGAGCACACTTTGCCAGTCTACTCTTCTCCATGTCTGGTGTCCTTGAGCCCATATCAAACGCCACTGACGGTGATGATCCCTGAGGATAGCTCCAACATAAGGTCGTCGTGCACGGAGTCCTTCTTCTCTTAGACGACGTCTTACGGTGTTGGCACTTACTGGACCTTGTCTTCCGACGACTGCTGCACCTGTTCGAGTAGCTGGGCGGAATCTGTCACGCAGATATGTGACCCGGATGTAGCGGTCTTGAGCCTGGGTTGTAACGCGTTGTGGACCAGGACGTTGACGGTCACGTGTTGATCCAGTAACTCGAACACGTTCCACCAACCTTACAATGGTGGACTGATGACAATTGAAGTGTCTGGCAATAGCACGTGTAGACATGCCAGCCCTAGACATTCCCATGGCTTCATTCCGTTGATTTTCAGTAAGTCTCGGCATCTCTAGCTCGATTCCTTCACACGTCCAACAACAAATTACGACAGATTGGCGTTTCACAGTTCATGTACTGCACATTAAGTTGAAAATATGCTTTTAAAGGGCTCACACACAATGCGAATATTGGGTTTTTCATGTGCATCTCGTGCAATTTTTTTTTTTGCACACGGGCCGATATTTTTTGCGTTTGGGAGCATTGTGTGAAACAATAGTTCATAGTATTGCATAATATTATACATACAAAACCACCTAATAAAATATTTGGGGAAAAAAAAGTGATGCGTTTTCCATGGCGCTCAGTATATATACATGTAGATAGACAAATAGTGAAAGTGACTTACAAGCGCTACGTTCATGAGACACTCAGTTTAATTAGCCTTGGACTGGATAATTTAATGAAATCTTTATTACATTTGTTTTACACTCAGGCCCCCAAAATAATACATGTGTTTGTTTACGATTACGGTTTCTTGGATTATTGTAAACTCCGTAATTTGTTCCGAAACGGCCAGCGTAAAGAGCCCCGGGGGTTAATAAGTAAATAAATATAAGTGTGTTGAAAAAAAATTTTCCAATAAAGAAAGCAAATGTTTCTTAACCCAAAATGATTTTTCTAAAAAAAAACCCACAATGAATACAAATATGGACAAATATTAGATTTTATTCATGAGAATTAACAAATAAAAATAATAAATTGTATTCCATCTTAATTATTAATATCCCTGCTAATACATGCATAATACAACAGGCTAGCGAGACAGCGCTGTACTCACTGAGCCACCGTGGCTCCCAGGGTCTACTATAAACAAGCCAACAGCCAGGCTGATGTCCCTCGCCGCAATCCCCAAATAAATAGATGACACAAATGAATTAATTTCACATTTGTCTTTTTATAAAGCATCGATGAATCAAAATGTTTACAATTAATGAAAATTCGATCATAAAATGCAGTAAATCAATTTAACAATAAAACCGGTGGTTTCTAGGCAAGATACGCTAAGAATAAGCTAAACAAAAATGCGATTTTTTGTACAATCAGGGGTGTGACAGTATTAGTTCTTTATTCAGGTTCGGATGACAAGACTAGTTTCAGCTTCTATTAATACTTTTATTCTGCTTCTAACATATTATGTACAAACATCGTAATGTTAAAGACACCCAGGACTAAATTACATTAGTTGGCCGTTGTCCGGTCTTAACTCCAAACCAGCGTGGCCTGGAGTTAACTACCAGACGTCGCCTAGCCTCCGACTGCTCTCATGTCCTGCCTGGACCTCTCTCCGTCTATTTGTTTCTTAATCTGGGTTTATAAACCTTTCCACACACAAAGGAATCTCATTAGGCATCTGCTATAATGTATGATGTTTCATATCAGTTAACGTTCAGTATAGTTTATCAGACAAAGAAGTAAGATAAGACATGCCATCAACAAGTTAAAGTTACATAAGTTACATAATGCTACCAAGATCTACAGGGGTCGGCAGGTGGATTTGATATTCAAATTACTTTCACATGTCAAGATGGCAGGGGGCATAACATGTCATTTTGTAACATACCTTCCCTTTTTTCAATAAAGTTATGAATTATATGAAATAACTTATTTTAAGACAGTTACAAACTTAAATATAAATGGAGTCGAGAATAACTACCCTAATTAAAATATAAACAAAAATACGAAAAATTACAATATACTGATTAAAAGTTAAATAAACAAAAATAAAAATTTAAATGGCAAAGAATAAAACACTGGTTGAAAATATACTAGAATGTTCATACATTATGTCGCAGATAATTTTAATGTTCACACACACGAGTTCTTGGAATCGCATATAACGCACACTATTCTGTTTTGCACACACGCGAGTTACTGAAATCACATCTATATAAATTGTTTTCATAACACACGCGAATATATAATATATATCATTATAATGGTCACACGCGCAATGTAGAAATTATATCCATTTTCTTCTTCCGTACATCGTCGTTGTGGTCAACTGTAGGGAGATACAAATTCATTTTTTTCTTCTTCCTTTATTCCGTCGTCTTCTTCTTGTATAAGTTTTCCGTAATAGCAAGGGGTCAGTGTTTTTCGGTAGTCTTATCTTTTCCATACCGCCTGGCCGGAACGGTGCGACATGTGCTATGAAGAGTATTATAACTGCCACCCATGCGAAAGTTTTATCATCTGTTTATCATATCATGGAGTGAACTTAATTAATAGTTAATCAAATTAGCAAGTGGAACAGACTTTAATTAGCTATCTAACGATATTTACATTATTATTTACATGGATAGAATTGAAATTAGGATGTCATATTGTTTTGTTTTTTTCTGAACACATTTTACCAATCTTCAATAAGATATTTTGAAAGAACGTATCAAAATTAATAACGGTTTATCTCTATAATTTTTAAACACAACACAAAACAAGACAATACGTTCGCTCCTAATTCTGAGCACGACCCTCTCCTGGGGTTAAACCAATCCCACCTGACTGGGGTTTCACATAAACCTTTTCCCGTAACATATCGGGACCTCCCAATCTATATTATTGGGGTATCACAAAATAAAAATAATAAAAAATCTCTCCCGTACATATCGGGTCATCCCATTAACATTTGGGGTACTACGTTAAACACGAATAAAATCTTTCCCGTAAATATCGGGCCATCCCATTAACACTTGGGGTAATATACACGTATAGACAAAACAAATAAAAAACCTTAGAGATAAACGCGGTAATACTGTGTGAATGTTATTGGGTTAAATTTCAAATTACGATACTGTTAACCCAATTCTAGTTAAACAATCACAAAACATTTTACTTTTCGATATTAACCTATTAATACTAATTTTAAATGCCAAAATATGTGTTCAAAACAAACAATTATAATTTATAATCTTTTAAAAACAACATGACCCATTGTAAAACAAACAATATATATACAATTTTGTTTTAGTCATTTTCCTACAAATAGTTGAGGACTGTTCCACTACTAGCTTGAACGTTATATTAAATTAAGTAACTACACCATGATATTTAATAAAGCGTGATGATAAACTGCTGATTTCCCAGTTAAATTGTAATACATTATAGCACAATGTCATTATTAACCGGCCATGGTAGGATTAGAAAAAGACTTACCCGTGTAGACTAATATCTGTGGCCTGTGGTCTTCTAGTGGTGGACTTCAAACGTTATCCTGGTCACGGCACCAATTAATATGTGACAGTATTAGTTCTTTATTCAGGTTCGGATGACAAGACTAGTTTCAGCTTCTATTAATACTTTTATTCTGCTTCTAACATATTATGTACAAACATCGTAATGTTAAAGACACCCAGGACTAAATTACATTAGTTGGCCGTTGTCCGGTCTTAACTCCAAACCAGCGTGGCCTGGAGTTAACTACCAGACGTCGCCTAGCCTCCGACTGCTCTCATGTCCTGCCTGGACCTCTCTCCGTCTATTTGTTTCTTAATCTGGGTTTATAAACCTTTCCACACACAAAGGAATCTCATTAGGCATCTGCTATAATGTATGATGTTTCATATCAGTTAACGTTCAGTATAGTTTATCAGACAAAGAAGTAAGATAAGACATGCCATCAACAAGTTAAAGTTACATAAGTTACATAATGCTACCAAGATCTACAGGGGTCGGCAGGTGGATTTGATATTCAAATTACTTTCACATGTCAAGATGGCAGGGGGCATAACATGTCATTTTGTAACAGGGGCCATAATAAAGTTACGACCCGATATGCATGAATATCGAAAGGAACCGACATCTTTTGGATATAAACATATATTTTAAGTTTCATCAAGATCGGATAAAAACTGTGACTTCTATAGAGGGCCCACATTGCCCACATCATTGGTATTGCAATATTTGCGTACAAGTAGCCAGAGGCGTAGCCGTGAATTATATATTGGGCGGGGGGGCGCAAATGTTGACAATCTGTGACGCTATAGTAAGAGTGTGGGAGGGTCACTCTCCCACTGGGGGGGGGGGGCATATCAAACAGATGAAAAAAATGTGACCTTTAGAGGTTCCACAAGCTAAAAAAAACCTTGATTTTTCGCACAATTTAGAGAAAGTTACTGTCCGATATGCACGAATATCGAAAGCAAGAGATCTTTGGCTTATAAACACACATTTCAAGTTTCATCAATATCAAATTTTTCGAACAATCGGGGTCTATAATCCCGGAAGTTCCGTTCCAAAATGCGTGATTATCGAAAGGAATCGAGATCTTTGTGGTATAAACGTAGATTTAAAGTTTCATCAAAATCGGATCAAAATTGTGACCTCATTATGACGATGATATATTTAAAGGGATTTTTAAATCGAATAAAAATTGTGATCTCTACATGTAGAGGGACCACAAGCTAACAACGTGACTTTTTGTACAATCGGGGGCCATAATCCAGAACGATATGCGTGAATATCGAAAGGAACCGAGATCTTTGGATTGTAAACATACATTTCAAGTCTCATCAAAATCGGATAAAAATTGTGACCTCTAGAGTGTCCACAAGCTAAAACCGTAATTTTTCGTACAATCAAGGACCATAATCCATGAAGTTACGGTTCGATACATGCCAATATCGAAAGGAACCGAGATCTTTCGGAGATACAACTATATTTCAAATTCGTTAAAATCGGATAAAAATTGTGACCCGTAGAGTGTCCACAAACAAATTGTGAACGGACACACGGACGGACAGGCGGACAGGGGCGACGACAATTTACGTCCACACGAAAATGTGGGCGTATAAGAATAAAATAGTCTCCATCACCAAATTCACATCCAATAATTTTTTTTTTTATGACAAATTAATTACTTTGGTACAAATCCACAATCACATGGATATTTTTTTTCCAACTTATTTTTAGCACACAGATTTTACTCTTCATTGCATGCTACACTGTAAAAGTGACAATCATGTGCCAAATGCATATTTTCACGGACTAATTTCTAATATTTTCACATTTATTTCTATCATATTATTATGTCTGTGCCAATGATTAATGATACTGGTACCGGCATTTACAGTGGCCTATATCAATAGGCCCATTGCATATGCGGATGTAAATAAATTATATAATATAATCCTTAAAATTTTTTTAAAATCTAGTCATCAATTTAGAACTGTACAACCGTAGAATTCGGATAGCATTTAAGTAAATCGATTCATATTATAATAGGGCCTGTTTTGACTTTGTTACTCATTGTCAGGCCTAGAAATTTGATTAATATTAATGTAAGATTATATTTATGGTGTATGTAGTGAGGTTGGCTATTATTGGTTGCGAATGGTGTCATTAAAGGTGGAAGTAGCATTAGTCTGGTGTTATTAGATTAGGCACAGCCCTATTGGCATTGCAATAGGATATTGTGCCCAAGACCCGGCCTAGCCTATTTGACCTTCATGATCTTATTCAAAATGACTTACTGACGAAAAGTAATGTCCTTCTTTCTATTCTCGGAGGTTTCGCGTGCACAGGATAAACGAATCATTTTTATACGAATAAGAAGACGTCAAGTGTAACGTTTAGCCTAGGCCTACATATTAAACCGGCGCCATCTGGATGTCTTCTGCCACGGCTAGAAGTCAGTGTTTCTTTGCCATCGACTCTTAACAGCTAGCACGGTCTTTCCACGTCATTGCTGTATCCCGTTCTCAAGATTTTCGAAACGAACAGTTGCGAAACCCTTAAAATAATTATATGGTTCATTCTCTTATGATCCAATGCTTCCAGCCAAAATAATCCGTTCACGAGCCAACTGTTGGCGGACAGACCGACGGCGGGGTGATGACATAATACGCATAATGTGGGCGTATAAAATTGGAAAATAGAGGCCACTATGACTAGGACGCGTCACGATAATTTGTCACGTGACATCATGTGTAAATTAACATATTACTTAGCTCGGTTGAGGCAGAACGGTTTTCAGGTAAGCATAACCAATCCTCTTTCACAGAAACGAGGGAGTGTCATTTTTAAAAAAAATAATATTTATTAAATTTTGTTTAAAGAAGGGAGTGTCATTCCGCTATGAAAGAAGCATTGAAAGTGGAAATCGGGTATGGAAAAGCTGTTGCGGACTGCTTATAGCTGAAAATAAAATGAATATCAACTGGCCTAGATTACTTTGTGCAAGTCGTATCTGTGCACGATATGGCTATAAATAGCTCATGCATAATCAAACTACTTCTGCAATGACTGCAATTGATTTGTTTTTGTATAGGCGCCCCCCAAAATAGGTAGACACTTGTTATTTCTAGAATATTTCTAAATCAATTAATGACGCGATGTCATTCTGAACATAGCAGACACGCTAGATTTAGTTTTCGATCGTTAGATACATAATTATATATGTGTTCATGCAACCGATGCACTTGACCTAATAAAACGCGTTTGAAATGACAAACGAATTCACAATGACAAGCGTCTGTAATGACAATATAATTTACAGAATCTTATTCCCCGAAAATTATATTTTCTGAGAAATGTGTTATCAAATCGAAACTAGGAAGCTAATGACACTTTAATATTAGTCTGTGCTGATAGCAAACCCAGTTTAAGTGGACTGGTAATTATATCTTATTTTTGTCTTTATATATTTTTGAAAATGTTAGTTGATGTGTTTATCTGTTTACAAAGGAAATTCAAATGATGTATATATATCGGTGGCCCAGAAAAAACGACCACGGTGGAATAATTCAAGAAGTTTTGTACCTATATCATTCTGACAACTTCCGACGCTCAAAATTAGTGTTAACATTGAACAAGTTTTAAATAAAAATGCCAAATCAAGTTTTGCCGGACAAGGCCGTTTATCGTATCATTTCTTGTTTTTTTTTCAGAGAACGCAACTTAAAATATTTTTAAATCCTCCAATAGAATTGGTATTTAGCTGCACATGAAATGGGTAAACCGTCACTTGGATTGCCAAAGGTTACATGCCCTACCAATTCTGAAGATGGAGGATTTCTGTTATTGTCGCAAAAAGAAGTATACACAAAAGCCAGTCCTATAAGAACCACACAGTCTTTTTTGAGATGCACACTTTTTTCAGTTTTTATCTGTTTGTTCATTGTCACTGTTGGTTTTGTTGTTATTGTTGTGGCTATGAAGATGCACACTAATGATAAAGCTTCAGCGCCAGAAGATTTACCAGAGTTTTGTATTGAATGTTCAGAGTTATATGCCAGCTCTATTAACACCAATGAGAAGTACGCTGTAGAAGTTAGAAGAGATGAGAACAAGTTAAGATGTTGTGCTAGAACATCAGAACAATATCCATTGTTGATGAAAAAGGTAGGTTTATTTAAGGTATTTAAATCCCAAAAGATGATCTGTTATATTGTTAGTCCATATTTTGTACAAATAGCCCAAATACGTATGATTCATAGTTTAGCCGAAATCATACTTTAGCAAACAATTAAACATGCATTATGCAGGAGCTAAATCTGACTATTGCAGGTCTTTCTTTAGACCTGATATATTATTTAAATTATTAATTAGACATTAATTAACATATCCAGACCATAATCAACTCTCGATGCCATCGTTAGCCTCCGATGGCGATATTTAGTGGAACTGAATACATTTTGTGGTGGATAATTTAACGCCAAAGTGGGTAATCGAGACTTTGTTTATTATACTACCAACGTTAGTAATGATGATCGAGGCAAGCCTAAAAGTGAATAGCTGAGATCTCAGTTCAGAGTGAAGCAATTCGACTGAAATGTTTAGCATATTCTGTTTTCATTATCTATTTTTTAACTATTATAGCGAGAACTGCCAGCTCTTTAGCTAATCTTTCCTAATGCCCCTTTAATTAAGAAGCGCTAAAATTGAGAAATTTAAAATGAGTAAAGTATGGATCGCTTATCTACAGTTGATATTTAAGGAAAACACCAATCTTGCCATGAAAATATTAGTTCACAAATCCCATTAATTCCCATTAGTTCACAAATCCCATTAATTCCCATTTCAGGGCCAGTAAAGTATTAATTTCTTAGCCATTTCCAATCATGGGAACTTGTCCTACATTTAGGATGTCTTTTTTAAGCTAATACTACATTGTAGAAATGTATTGCTGACTATTGTTGGGAAATGAAATGGAATGGAGTTTAGGACCTTACGGTTCTACTCCGACTGGGCTAATAATAAAGACGGGAATACGCTGGTGTGCTATGGGTTATTTTTTTCCCACCAATTTGAACACAGGACCTCGGTTTTTCGCCCTATCCGAACCACTATACATTGTTCCTTGCTAGACCAAGGGAAAACCACGCCAGAAAACCCGATGAACCTTCTAGATATACACCAGGATCGAACGCAGGACTTCCAGGTTCACTGAGCTACCGCGGCTTCTATTTTGAAGGGATATCTTTTGGAACAGTGAAACTGTATAACAGTATAATAGTATGTAGGTTATATGTAGATTGCTTGCGTCAGTGACTGTTTTGAAAATCATATCATTGTTCATCTTATCTTTCCCCAGGCCAGCAGTGTGCCCATTATTGATGACCTATAAACTCAATCTATATATTCAAGGTCATTTTGACATTGTACAGTTAATGTCACCTTATATTACCTAATCACATAATCAATATACAGCTCAGTCAATACAATCACATATCGCGTGCACCGAGAATTGCAAATCTCCGAGAAACGTATCTTAGTTCTAAGAAACGGAATGTAAAAAGGGTTGCATAAGTATGCGTGCAAGATAGGCTGTTTATAAAACTCCATTGCGGTAACAATTTCCACATACAATGAACAAAAAGATTGAAATTTGTCCATTGTGAACCGCATGGCAACGATTATTGGGCGTACTATGTTTAGTTGCCTTTGTCAATGCTTTCTTCTATATATAATAGAAACAAAAAAACTTCGCGTCATTTCCTAAAAATACGCCTGAGTATATGATACAAGAAAGAAATATATTCTCGAGGATAACGGAAGCAGTTTTATTTGAAGCATACACCTAACCTTTGCGTAAAAACAAAGAGTTTATTTTTATTTTAAACATACATGTACATCAATCAAACTAATCATGAATCTTAGATGACAAGTATTAGATTGATAAGATGGTGCTGTTACTTGGTAAGTCTTGAATTAATATATCTTGATATTCAAATTTTTTTTATTATGCACGATGAATAATAATGATCATAAAAAATAATAATAATACAGAAATAGTGTACTGTAATTGAGCATGCATAGCAAAAAAATAATAATAATAATAATACGAAGCCATTTCTAAAATAATAATTCATTCCCCCATTTAAATATTTCTTATTGTGTTTCAGTTCGTTTAAATATGAAGATAAAATTATGACCAAGAAAGTACAAGAATAGTTAGCTGGTAAAGAAATCTCTTTGTGATTAATATGAATTAAGCTATTTCAAACAGTACGACAGAAATGCCCAAAGATGTTGCTGTGACTTTGGAGATAGAACTGATTTTATACCCTCCCTGTTCATTCCAATTTCATGTACTTGTAAACAGAATTCTGTTGATTCCATATGAATAAAATAATAAAATATTTTAGGTCAATCATGTTTTGACTAAGCCAAGTACGATCAACCCTACCTGCACAATAATAGCAGTCTTCCATATATATCCAAGCCAAATAATATCTAAATGTTAGTATCAATTATGATAAATTCTTTTAACATTTAGTATGATGTATTAATACAGGTAATCGTAATAACACGTCGAGGCTTCATTTATTATGATCCGCTCTTTCTGATATTGCTTGGACGATTCAACAGTTTTAGTTGATATTTCGTGGGTGACAACCTATGTTTTTAAATTGTATTTATATGAGCTATGTTACAAAAATGAACGGATGTGGCAAACCTTGTCGAATCCTAGCACAGCTTGTGAACGTAACAGGACGAACTTTTATTTCTTTGGTGGAACTCTTCACAGACGCCAATAGTCAACAGACGGGTAATTTCCATGATTACTGGTCAGGGTTCATATCCGAATTTATATCTGTAAAACTTTCTCAGTTTGATTTTACGATAATGATTACAGTGCCATAGAGGGTGGGTGGAGCTGTCTTGATATATAAAAAAGGTATAAAATTTAAGTAACCATCAGTTTGTTCAGTAGGGCTGTCGGCATTATAAATGATAGACCGAGCTCAAGATACATCGATTATTTTGGTTTATACAAGATTTAATTCTTTGAGCATTTGTTTAAAACTTGTTATATTGAATGCAGTTGGGAGTGTAATTAAAATGAACCCTTTTTTACTTGCAGATGCTGGACAGTCTCCAACTGAAGAGGCTCGTATCAAGTATGTTTAATTCCATCTGTATTTTATAGAACGAATGGATTAATGGATGGATGGAGTGATTTTTATGCGTGAATTGAGGTTACATGTATGTATGTAGCGAGCGAGCGATGTTCCAGTTGGGGGTTCGCCGTCAAGTGCCTTAAAGCCTGTAAGAATAACCAAAGGAGGTGGGCGAGGGAGTGGGGATTACATAAAATGAAATCGGGTTATGGTATATTTACCAGCGCCCAGAGGGTAAAGCCTCAAGGCTCGGGTCAACTTTACATATCCAAAAATTAGTTTGTTTGATTACCTGTCGATTAAAAGCCCAAAAACTGCAACTGGTGATTATTTTGAAAATAGAAAATGTAAGTAGTCAAATATTAAATTGATCCCATGCTATTGTCTACTGCCGTAATAATTCGCCCCTCGATCTCTGGAACTATCCGGGCATAGTGTATGCGAGGGAATTGGCATGCTCTTCAAGATTGTCGATACCGGCCACAGCTCTGAAATTCCCTGACAACGTCTTTGCAGTAATACACCACTAATACAAAGTTCACAGCAGCTATGATATTACATAAAGAAGTTATAAGCCATAGGCTCCATGAACTCTTAATAATGCCCCTCTCTCTTAACGCTCTAGCTCATCCGGCTGGTTTTATGAAAGTTGAGCTTTGGCTTCTAAGAAAAGCGCATACTGTTATTTTTATTCGTTTGTTTATCTCATTAAATTAATGTTTCATTTTTATACGCCCACATTGAAATGTGGTCGTATATTGTCTTCGCCCCCGTCCGTCCGTCCGTCGGTCCGGCGTCCACAATTGCTTGTGGACGCTCTAGAGGCTAAAGTTAATATCCGATTGACTTTAAATTTATATACAGTGTTAAAGGCCATGAGACGAAGAAGCCTATTGATTTTCAGCGATTTCCGATAATTACTGCCAGAGTTATGGCCCTTAATCACTTCAAAAAATCTTGTGGACACTCTAGAGGCCAAAGTTAATATCCGATTGGCTTTAAATTTATACACAGTGTTTAAGGTCATGAGACGAAGAAGTCTATTGATTTTCAGCGATTTCCGATAATTACTGCCAGAGTTATGGCCCTTGATCACTTCAAAAAATCTTGTTGACGCTCTAGAGGCCAAAGTTAATATCCGATTGACTTTAAATTTATACACAGTGTTTAAGGTCATTAGACGAAGAAGCCTATTGATTTTCAGCGATTTCCGATAATTACTCCCAGAGTTATGGCCCTTGATCACTTCAAAAAATCTTGTGGACGCTCTAGAGGCCAAAGTTAATATCCGATTGACTTTAAATTTATACACAGTGTTTAAGGTCATGAGACGAAGAAGCCTAATGATATTCAGCGATTTCCGATAATTACTGCTAGAGTTATGGCCCTTGATCACTTCAAAAAATCTCGTGGACGCTCTAGAGGCCAAAGTTAATATCCGATTGACTTTAAATTTATACACAGTGTTTAAGGTCATGAGACGAAGAAGCCTAATGATATTCAGCGATTTCCGATAATTACTGCTAGAGTTATGGCCCTTGATCACTTCAAAAAATCGCGTGGACGCTCTAGAGGCCAAAGTTAATATCCGATTGACTTTAAATTTATACACAGTGTTTAAGGTCATGAGACGAAGAAGCCTATTGATTTTCAGCGATTTCCGATAATTACTGCCAGAGTTATGGCCCTTAATCACTTCAAAAAATCTTGTGGACACTCTAGAGGCCAAAGTTAATATCCGATTGACTTCGGATTGATACACAGAGTTTAAGATCTTGAGGCGAACAAGTATATTGATTTTCAATGAATTTTTATGACTTGGAACAGCTAAATCCATGATACAGTATTAAAAGTTTTGTATACAAAACGTTAGCATGGGGCAGAACTTTATAAAAACCAAACAAATTCTAATGGTTTTCTGAGTTGTTGCTCTTAATCAGATTTTAGTGTATTATAAATGTTTCATTACCGAAAAAAGTAAAAATATGCGACAACTCATGTTGACTGCCCGGACGATTTAGCTGCTGTGGGCGTATGTTTCGTTGCCTGGCAACCTATCTTTAGGATTTTGGGGTGGGGGTGGGGAAAGAACAGCTGCATCATCTCGTTTCTTCTTTAATCCAATATAGATAATCCCAATAAAGAAACAGAAGACGTGACCTTTAGTCTATTACATAAGGCACCAGTAGCAGCTCACATGTTAATTGGTACTGATCTTTCTGATCATCAAAACAATCCAAGAAAAAATGGTACGTATATCAACCTATTTCGGAAATGTATCTTTATTTTTTGAGCGTGGTAACCACTACCGGTTTTCAAACCTTTTCTGAGATCGATTTTACTTAGCTATAAGTCTGGTTTTATTTTGCGTAAACTTGCTACGATTGATTGAAGAACGAACCAAGTCGCTTTTTAGTTGTGGTACTGCTCACCGAAGCCTCCGCTTTTTTCTTCATGAAAGATCCTATAGAAATTTGAAGTCGTGTAGCATTTATTTGTGTAGTTATTGGTCTTGTAAAGTAATCAACGCAAAACCCTCTAAACAATCTGTTTATTGTTTCTGTTGTAAACTTCAAACGTGCAACGCAATTGTGACATCCTTTGTTTTCATGTCCCAATCATAACCCCATACAGATTGATTTGAGACATATTTGCTAATATGAACGTCATTTGACGAACTTTAATCCCGTGCAAACCACTATATTGTGAAAGTTGTTGTTGTTTATTAACGATTTAACGTCCAATATATTAAATATAATACTACTAGCAGGATACCCGGCTTCGCTCGGGGGTCATAACTCCGAAACTGGAAGTGGTAGACTAACGCCACCTGGCCTATGTTACTCCCCGGTCCTAGCTTCCCCTATACCCCAAATTTCAGACTCGGGGCAGACCTAGTGTAGCCGCCAACCCCGAACAGACAGACAGACAGACAGACAAACGACAGTCACAAATATATATATAGATAGATAGATGGACAGGTTGATTATTAAATTATTTACACTTAATGGGTTTAAAATTGGTAAAAGCATACAATACAAACATCCGTGTATATCAAAAGTCTCCTTAAAATTGGTAAAAACACAAAATAAAAAGTCCTTGTATATAAAAAAGTCAATATAAAGCACACTTATAAAATAGCTGTCGTGAGAAGAGAGGGCGGGTCATCTTCTCCTTTTGCCATAATAAAAACATGTTAAAACAGGTCCAGCTGACTGATGTTTGGCGTCATCAGTGCGGATAGAAAAAAAAAAACCCCGGGGGGAAAAAGAATCCCGTCCATTGTAGACCATATATAGACTTTCTTGTCAACACACGCAAGCGCCACCTATATGTGTGGCAGAATCGTTTAATGAGCCACCTCCTAATCCAAGACGGGGGATTATCTACCGTTGATATTTTGATTTTGTTTTCTTAATTAAACATTAAATAATCAATTGCAGTACATTTTAGCGCGGATTAAGCCGTGGAAAATTTGATATTTTCTGAAAAGTGCAAGTGACGCACATATTCTTTGAATAAAGGTTTCTTGTTTTGTTTTTGTAGATGTTGACAACCTTCCACCTGTCCACAATTTATTACCTACCAGATCATTATCTTTATTATCAGGTGTTAAATTACAACACGATCGTCTAATTGTTCAAACTAAAGGTATCTATTTGGTCTACAGTCAGATTTATTTTAAACTGATTGAAGATGTTAACTGGCCTGATGGATTAAAAATCATCAGTCATATTGTAGACAGGTATAATGATAATCTACCTAATGATGGGGAAGAGAAATTATTACAAAGTGTCCACACCTTGACAGAGATATCAACACAACGTAGAAGTAACATTGATTTCCACTCAAGTTATATCTCTGGTGTATTTGAGTTAGATGTTGGTGATGAGATATATACCAGAGTAACAAGTCGTCAGATTATATCTAGAGACCCAACACTCAATTATATTGGACTAGTCATGTTGTCAGATCACAAATACGTTCTAAAAGTGGGGGCCTCCTAGTGGCTAGAACGGTAACGTTTCAAACGGCTGACTACCACAAAAATTAGACGAAAAATAAATAAAAATTAGACGAAAAATAAATAAAACTAAGAAAATATAAATTTAGACATACGGTAACCCTGCTTCTAATTTCGGTTAAATGTTCAAAATTGTTGTAAATTTTGGTTGACAAACCGTTCAAGATATCTTTATGAAATATTTTGTTAGTCTTATTTGGCTTAATTATTAGTATCCACGCGATGATTATTCCGCAGCATATTTCAGAAACCATTCAAGATATCTTTAAGAAATTTTATTCAATTTTGTTTCATTCATGCATCAGACTTTAGATACTGTGGCAGTGTAATTCTTATAAACCCTTGGTAGTAGTTTTGTATTATATACGTTTGCAATAGGACGTTAAATCCCATTTCATTTATTCATTCATTGTATGCCAAATGTAACCAGTGAACATAATTGTAAGAGAGAAAGAGAAGGTTTAACGTCCACTCAACACAAACTGGTCCATTTCGGGACCAACAAATGGTTTAATTTTATTTCAATAATTCGCTTACGCTTGCGCTCGGGTCTATAGCAGTGATAGGAATCCCGATGAATCGAAACCACGCCACTTGACTCAATGACAGATCCTGTCCCCCCCCCCTTCGTTAACATAATTCCTATAGGTCAAACAACATGTACTCAACTAGTTTTATTGTCTATAGGAGTGTATATATTTTTAAATAAACACTTGTCTTTGTAGGTTGTCGATATATATTCCTTCCATGAACATGCCATCATATGATCAGTCTGTCCGTCTGTCTGAGGTGAATGTTCAAACTTGGTGTAGGTGTTTATTATGTGAATGCCTTGATGGAGAGAGAGAATGGGCTTTAACATCCACTCGACACAAACTAGGTCATTTCGGGATTAACATATGGTTCAACTTTATTTCATTAATTCGCTTGCGCGTAGGGGTCTTTAATAGTGGGAGGAAACCGGAAGACCCGGAGAAAACCCACAAGGTTGAAGTGGCGACCCCGCTCCTTGTCACGTACAGCCGGGGAATCGAAACAACGCCAGTTGACTCAATAGCAGACCCAATGATACAACGCGCACGCTCTAACCATTCGCCCCACCCCATGCCTTGATGGAGTTTGAAGATGAACATTTTCTGCTTAGGGTAAGCATAAATTAGCAATTAGATTGATTGATGCTTTGGGGCATGATAACTTTGGTTCTAGTGGTGACATTTTGGTGTATAGTTTCAACACTGTGTGACACTACAGTCAATTAAGAACTAGCTTTGATTTCACGTTGTGTATAAAACCTCAAGGATCAGTTGACTCTGGAACAAATGATGCAAATGATGCTTGATAAAGACGAGAGTATCATCGTCGAAACGTTGCATGTTAATAAACCAGTGATTGTTATTCCATAAATAGTGTTAGTGTGTCACAATAACTCTCCTTCTAATTGAGGTAGAGTATTCAAACTTGGTATAGGTGTCTATTAGGTGAATGCCTTGACATAATTCGACTTTGGATCTAATTGGGTGAGAGCGATGAAACACCGAGTACAGATTCATCATATCTATACCTTGACTGACTTCGATGACGAGAATGTTTTGCACATACGATGTAGCTGTTAGAAATTTGATTGGTCAATACTTTGGAACATAACAACTCTGCTTTTATTTGAGGTAGAATGTTTAATCCTGATGTAGATGTTCTTTAGGTGAAAGTCTTGACCGAATTCAATGATTAACGTTTCCCGCTGAAGCTAAGCAGAGCTAAGCAATTTCATGGGTCGATGCTTTGGAACAAGATAGCTGATTCTAACTGATGGAGAGTGGTAAAACTTAGTGTATAGTTTGGCTACCACGTACTTCACTTTATGCTTAGACTAACTATTGATAATCAGTTTGATTGCTCGATGATTTAAAAACAATAAATGTGCAATTAATTAATAAATTAATATTTATTTGGGATTTCGGAGGGGGATATCAGCCTCACCGTTAATTGGCTTGTTTGGTACCTTGCTCGGGAGTTTAGCGTACCCTTATCAAGGAGAAAATGTATGTCATTTTCAGTAGTAAGCGCTGCATGGTAATGGTTTCAAGTGGTACCTCAGTCAAATGTTTTAGACCCAAGTTTTATGTCCACTAGTAATGTAAACATATCATGCAGACTACCATATACTCAGATGACCCCATTTCCACAACAACCCAACTCATCCGAGACCTTTTAACCCTTAACATATGTTTTAAATCAGGGTGTCCACAAACTTTGTACATATTTCCCATTTTGCGTAAAAGAGGTAAACCTTTCCAGGATATATGTACATATTTTACATATATTTTAAGTTTCATCTAGAGCCCCACAGCCTTGGTATTATAAGTATTACGGGCTTTACCAATATTTGCGAGGGGTGAGGGTATTTTAACTGAACATTGAGACGCGAAATGAAAATTGAAAGGGGGTTTAACGCCCTACTTTTCTGCACCGACTAGGGTAGAGAAGACTGGCATACGCCATGCAGTGTGCTATGAGGGATATAATGTCGTCGCCCCTGTCTGTCCGCCGGACGTCCGTCCGTCCACTGAGGACAATCTACAGGTCACATTAATTTTCTATCCGATTTTGACGAAATTTGAAATATAGGTCTATCTCCCAAAGATCCCGGTTCCTTTCGATATTGGCATGTATCGGACCATAACTTCATGGATCATGGCCCCTGATTGTACGAAAAATCACGTTTTTAGCTTGTGGACACTCTAGAGGTCATAATTTTGATCCGATTTTGATGAAACTTGAAATGCATGTTTATGTCCCAAAGATCTTGGTTCTTCTTTGAATTACGACCCCTGGTTGTACGAAAAATCACGTTTTTAGCTTGTGGTCCCTCTAGAGGTCACAATTTTTATCCGATTTAAAACAAACGTTGTAGTATATCAGCGTTCCACCCTAATAATGGTTGAGTTCGAATTTCGTGAAAATCGGACAAAAACTGACGGACATAATGGCCGCCCCTTGTATGTAAATAGTGTAAAAATATGGTATATCAAGGTTGTTGACCCTCTAGATGCTACAGTTTTTATCCGATTTGAATGAAACTCTAAATATATGTTTTTATCATAAAGATCTTTGATAATCACACATATCCGAACGTAAGTACCTTCCTGGATTATGGCCCCTGATTGGTCGAAAAATCGTATTTTTAGCTTGTGGATTCTCTAGAGGTCACAATTTTTTCCCGTTTTTAAAAACCGTTTAGATATAAAACCATTCCACCATAATGAAGGTGGAATTCGAATTTGGGGAAAATCGAAATGAAACTGCCCGACAAAATGGCCACTCTTTGTACGCAAATTGTATATAAGTATGTAATACAAAGGTTATGGACCATAACTTTCTGGATTATGGCCCCTGATTGTACAAAAAATCGTTTTTGTTTTTAGCTTGTTCTTTATCCATCTCTTGCAAAATGTGGGCGTATCTTGCCTGGCAGCCGCTGGTTTGTAATAAATATCAAATATTTTCACATCAATCAAAATCGAATAAAGCGTGTAACCTCTAGGAGTCATGTAGGGGTTAATGTTTACTCGACTTAACATAGGTAATTTCGGGACTAAAACATATTCAATTTTATTTCAATAATTCGCTTGCGCGTAGGGGAGGGAAGCGCATGGGCCGGAGAAAACCCGTTCAGAGTTACTTTTATTTTTGTGATTTTTTTCGTTAACTGATTATTTAGAAATAGAAAATTTAATTATGGAATTATCTGCCATACAAACTGAAGTTAACCATACAGCATACTGATACTATATAGATAATCACAGAGTAAATTAAAATTATTTTGAAATACTGAATGGTTTAAAATTAGTGATAGTGCTTCAGTAAATATTTTATTGGTCGGATTATGGCCTACCAGTAAAAGGGGAAATGTGATTTTGAATAGCATAACAGTATTAGGCTTACTGTTTTATTAAAAGCTTATTGCAACTGAAAATTGAGCAAAATAACATTTTTGTTATGAAATTTGGAACGGTATATAAATATAACATACCATAAACTTTTAAGTTAAAACACTTAAATTGTTTACCACAAGTAATTGTAGGCCTACATAGAATCACATTTTGCGATACACAATCTTAGAAAAAATTAGGCTTGTCCATTATCCTTTTGCCAGAATATAACAGATTCTTCAGAAAATATAGTTGTTAGTTCCCTCGCACATATGAATCTAAATTTATTTTATTCGGTAGACTGTATAGGCCTATTATTGTGTTAGTAGATTTTATTTGTTTTTACAAAAAATATAGAATGTAAAAAGAACATGTGCAACTACAGACATTAATAGCACATTGATTTGATTTGATTTAAGTTACAGCGAGAGGTCATATTATCATAAGATAAAGATGTATAGTCGGTATAGGGATCTACTTCTTCTAGGCCTACAGTACTCAGTAGTCTACTCTGCATTAGAATATCATATGCAATATAATGCCAATTAAGCCTAACCAATCAAATATGAAAACATCTTTCACCAAATATACTCAGCCAAATTAAAAACTTGACACTGATGAATTTCAACAAATTTTTTTTTCTGGTAAGTCAAATAAATTTTAAAGTGTTTCTAGCGATAGTAAGTAGTAAGAAGCCTTTAATTTCATAAAATTGTAAAGTCACGTGGATCACGTGACTTTTGAGCATGTACAGATGAAAAACCTGAAAAACACGTGCAAACACAAACTCGTGAGGTCAATCGATGCAAGTTTGCTTAAACTGAACACGCACACGTAAATTGAACTGGAAAAACAAATTAAAATTGTTATTTTCATCTTTGTTAGAAAATGCCGACCCTTTCAAATGTAGAACGTCTACGTGCTATAGGTAGGCTCTATGCTGGTCAGTCTGTGGTCACTGTTGCAAGAGCCTTTAATTGTTCACGCCAGACAATAATTAATCTTAGAATGAGAGTGCTTCAAACTGGAACTATTGCCGACCGCCCAAGGGCTGGAGCGCCACGTGTGACGTCACTCCAGGAAGATCAAGCAATACGATTACGTCATCTTAGAAACAGATTTGTTACTGCAACCTCCAAAAGTAGAGAGATGTTTGGTGGAAGGGTAACTGCACAAACTGTTCGAAATCGCTTGCAGGCTGCTGGTCTTCGAGCTCGGGGGCCCTATAATGGACCAATATTGACACCTCTTGGTGTATTCACAGAGTAAAAATACACAGCGTGGCGACTGCTTCATTTGCATACAAAGTAGGTCGCACACTGCCTCTTGGGGTTTGTCTGTAATGTCACTAAACATCACAGAGTAAAAATAACCAAATCTCTTTAATTTCGTAGTTTTATAGTATATTCGGTAACAAAACTACTGAGAATTATCACACACAATCATATGTTAGTTGTGTGTGTGTTTCGGGAATTTATAAAACATGTTGCATATTTTTAAAACATGGATAAACGCAGCGTGGGACGGCCCGGACTGAAGTGAACGACGGCAATAATTGTGACGGTTTACGAATTGGTACTAGGCTGTAAATTATTGTCGATTTTAAAGGTTTTTATTAACTTTAAAACTAATCAACCAAATACTTGTAGTTTCGATTTCTAGATTTGAAATGTAATTTCCATACAACTTAAAATGGACCACGCCCTCTTTTGGATAAGGCCTATTTTACACAACATGATTTATTCCCCCCCCCCCCCAAAAAAAAGAATTCTTCTATAGCTTATTACTGTGTGCT